GGCCTCTGGAGGCGTAAATTAAGGTTAGGACTCACCGCAGGCGAACAAGAGACACGCGGCCAAAGTAGCGACACGGGCGTAGCGCGCCATGACGGGATCACAACAGGTCGTTGCGCGGCCGTCGTGCGGTTAAATAGTGGCCTCAATATGCGCCCCGCCCGCCCCGCTCGCCCACAGCGCTTACACCTCTGCCGACACCCTTCGAACTCATCAGCTGTGAATCACCTGCATCACCCGAGCGGCCCGACTGCCCAGCGCACCCTGAGATCGGGCCACTTGGCGGCTCGCGCACCCCCCACGCAGCGAGGCAAGCTAAGCCCCTACAGAATGCCAATCTTACTTTTCTGAAAGCTCTACTGAAAGCTCTGAAAATATGTCTTATTTATTTAGAATATGGGCAAATGATGCCTAATAAGAACGATTGTTGTGTATTAATTAAGTTGTAAATGTAGACATTGGCTTCTTGATTTTATGAGAATGTCGATTTTAAGAGATGTAGGTAGTATCTTACTACGAGCCCGCTACTCGTCTGACCGATACAGTGATAATGAAAGCAAAGATACCTTCTAGAAGTTAAATTATAGCATTAATATTGTACATTTTTCTTCAGTGCTCAGAATGCAGAATTTAATACTCGTATTTTATTTCTTTTGGCACTGCAATTAATTTATTGATTTATTTAGTCTGCAATTACACTATTCAAATAAGTAACAAGGTTCAGGATAATATTTAAATATCTACTCAAATAAATAAATCAATTTAATTGATTATTAAACTTAATAATTACTTATTTATTTCAATGATTATTATAAATAGCTGTATAATGATATATTTTTTTAATAATTAAACTTACATCAAAGTTTTTGTTTCACTCGGTGCTATGTTGTTTTATAACAAACTAGCTGACCCGGCGAACTTTGTTCCGCCTTAATGGCAATAAATAAGCAGACTTTTTTTTTATTTCGAACGGGATAAAAAGTATCCTATGTCCTTCTCTTGGCTCTAAACTACCTCCCTGACAATTTTCAGCTAAATCGGTTCAGCCGTTCTTGAGTTATAAGCGAAGTAACTAACACGACTTTCTTTTATATACAGGGTGTCCCNGTCGACAAAAACAGCAAAAATTTACCAAGTGTTATACCATTTTGGAATCCTTACTAAATACGCCAAATTATGACGTCACTTGCCACACTCGCGTAGTACATTTTTTTTTCAGTACAGTCAGTTTAAACTGGGCAAAATTTTTATTTTGATATTTTTTTTGGGAATAATGTATTTTTTTCATCCAAGTTGGAGCAGCTGGTTTTGTAATTTTGATAACAATTTAGAGAAGCATTATTCAGGGTTACATAACAAAAAAAAATTTGGAAAAAGTGAAGATTTGTAGCAACACGAGTAAAAAGACCGTCACCGGGAGTAGAATTTTTTTTTTTTTTTAAATGCCTATTATTTTGAAAATATGCCACATAGATTTTTTTTAATATTTTTCTGATAACCAGCATAACTTGCCTCAACACCCAGTTCCGGCTTGACGTTACATTACGGGACACCCTGTATATAGATCACAGGAACTCCCCTACTACTCGTAATGCGCTTTTTAAAAGCTTATTTGCACAAAATATATTTATTTTTAAAATTAGAATGTAAACTTCGTTTCACTGAAAAAAAAACTTGTGAAACTGAAAATAACACAAGAATAAAACATCTGAATGCTTGCCATTACTTGCTACAATACGAGCTTTTAAAATATATAAATAATAGTCATATTAAGACACATTTTATTCGGCCGATTGTTTTATCTGCATCCAATTTGTACCAGGAATAATAAATATGCGCACTTACATACATGTTCATAATGATTACCAACCCGACCAAACTATCGGCCGTTATAAAGTTGTTTTTATTTTATTTTTGTGTCTTATAGATGAGAAAATGACTCTTCTGAATCCCTGTTAATTTAAGAATTTCACAGTTTTTGGATAAATGGCACCATTTTTAAGAAAATATACTTTCCATAAATAAATAGACCTTTGTTTCTAACACACTTTTATGGGCTATGCCTGAATTAACCTACCTTTTATTATATTTATTTATTTTATAAATCAAGGTTCTATCGAACTCAAATTTTTGTTTATCCACAATTTTTTTTTTACTGATTTCAATCGTAATTAAATAACCATTTCAAAATGTAAATTTTTTATGTAAATAATATAAGCTATATTGCTTTTTAAACATTGTCGAAAGTTTTACTAGCTTTTGCCCGCGGCTTCAACATCCATCCAGACATCCAAACTTTCTCATTTATAATATTAGTAGGAAGTAGGACTGTACGTACAATTTTATACGAATGTTATGGTTTAAGATCTTTATTATATTTCTCACAAGAATTATAATTCACTTACGTGAGATAATTAAATACAATATTTTGTAAAATGTTGAATGTTTTAAAGGGTAAGCCAAGAAAAATGTATATTTTTGAAAGATATTTTTCAGCTATTATAGCATCTATGGTTAGGCTGAGTCCGCACTACGGTTTTTTCCTGCAAGCGGTAAACCGCCAAAGCACGAGACTGCCTGAAACGTACGTAAAAATCAGCCGCGGGAAAAAACCGCAATGCGGACGCTTGCATTAGTTTTACTTGGTTATAATATCACGCGGTTAAAAACCGCGGCGGTTTAGCCGGTAGTGCGGAGTAGGCCTTATGCAAATTCGAGTCTTCTGGCACAAATCTTAGTTAGGTACTTTTAGTAAATACGCTAGAGATCCTGATCTGTCTGAGGACCTCTAGTCATGATCAGAGAGCCTCTAGGAGGATTATTTTTAACCAGGCACATTAAATTATGCATGAGCATTAAATAAAGTTATTCTCTTTAGAGAAGCTTACCTACTCCAATATTTTTGTTACGACTACCCGCGCTACTCAATTAAAACCGGTAAGTTTAATAAAGTATCATAAGAAATGAGTGTAACAAATAAAATTAAAGTAATATTTTGCCTTTAATTTGGTTCATAATCAAATATATGGATATAAGCATGAGTATTATAATAAAGTTATTGTCTTAAGATAATCTTACTCCAATAAGTTTAACATAGTATCATAAAAAATGACTCGAAACCTAGCAAGTTTAATATTTTGCCTTTAACTTGTTAATACAACCATATCATTTTATTTGTTTAAAATGTAATTACAAATTATAATAATAGTTATTTCGAGTTAAACACTCGTGAACATAATAATAACATTAAAAATACCAATTAAGCTAGTTTCGCAATTTTTTAACAAATATCATAGTCGTTATGTGTCTGCGAAGTTGGTGATTTTATAATAACATGATCAACAAATGTTATATCAATTAGTCTGGCTCTGTCGTCATACTACCCTATAGTAATTTCTGAATTAGAAAAAGCTTGTTTCTTTTCCTTAACATAATATGGTATTAAATAAATAGGTAGGGTTAATACTGGGACGTGTAAAAGATCTTTTATATAGCCTATTTGCAGAAATAAATTAGTTTTATGATTTTTTTTAATATCCTTCGATATTTACATATCATTTATTGCACTGCGCCAAATAGTTCCAAAACTGAGAAAAGCTGTGTGTGGGTAACTTCTCGTACCTATAATAAACATGTGCTCAAAAATAACATTTTAAAGACCTATCCAACGATACCCCACACGATGGGGTAGAGGATGAAAAAGAAATTCATCCCCACTTTACATAATCCTTACAACTTACAACATCCTTGTGAAAACGGACTACGGAAGAAGCCCTGAAAAACGTGAACGTGAAATATTTAACTCTCTGAAAAAAAAAACGAATTTTACTTATTACTTACTGGGATTCTGGGCAATGATTTACAGCTTGATGATTTTACTGTTAGTGTTATGTTTGCTTTGAACCGCGTGTTACAATAACATACAATGTCAGATGCTAACTAACTACTAACTACTTACAAGTTTAGGTTGTTTTTGGATAATAATTTAACAAGGTAATTGTGTAGTTGACATATAAAAACCAAAATAAAAAAAAACTGCAAGTATTAAACCTACTCTTAGCTATAAAGTATTATGATATTATTATTTTGCATAATGCCTTATTATAATAAACACACAGAAGGAATTATTTATCCTATTTGAATATCAATTATAACAAAATAAATGGATCTCAATAGAACGAATTACAACACATTTCTTGGTATTTAAAAGCATGTTTATAAATGCAGAACTTTTAACTTTTAAAAATTGAGTTTGATACGAGTAGGTACGTACCTATAGTGAAAATTGTGATCAAGCATGGGCAACTTAATATCTAAACAAACCTTACTTGATTGTAAATGAGCGTTAACAGGATTAAAAATTCATTAAAAAAACACCTAAGTTGAGAAAAAAATAGGATGAAACATCCTTATTTTATAAGCTTTTACTGTAGGTATTAAACTCGTATGTACTCTTAAGAGTACGTTCAGGTCAAATCTTGGAAGCTTTAGTTACATTTTTTAACAACCGCATACACATGTAATACGGATGACAATGTAAATAATAATGCCATGGATCTGCCTAGCTGGTCTAACGATGGAGCCGGTAGGTATTATGATCTGAAACGATGAAACCCTATCAAAGGGCTCGTTTGATTTGCCTTGGCAAGTTCTTTTTAAAGTTTTGAGGTCTGTTATTGTATCTGATTATTTAAATTCTAGTTTATTGCTAAATTAGCCGAAGGTGGATAAGGTAGGGACTTTAATAAAATAAATGACTAGACTTAATAAAGATATTGCTTTTTATTAATAAAATTATAGCCGAGAGAGTTTCAACCTTCAGATTATTGAGCTAAACATGTACAAAATTATTTAATAGTCACAAATCACAGGAAGATATTTTTCTAAGATATTCTAAAATATTCACTAGAGAAAAAATAAAGTCATCTTTCTATATTAGACCTAAATCATGCTATAGATATAATATCACCACCAAAGATCTACATCATAACATTTAGTACGTACATATAGATACAGATAAAACTTTAAACTAAATGTATGGTAATTCTAATTAGAGTAGCAAAGTTTATACTATGCCCTAATCTAAGTATTTTTCTAATACAAAAGTACACATTCGTGATAATTTCTTAGGCTAAAAATTAATACTAGGCGACGTTATGAAAGCACAGTTTCCAAATAATTTTATGAACCTACACTAATCATTAAAATGTATTAATCATCACCTAGTTAATTCAGACACAAAATATCAACTCACGCTACCTGGACTATGCGACATTGATGCTAACCAATCTATACACTAGTAATAAATATCACAATATAGCTACTTGTAGACATGAGATTGTAAAGGGCTACGTATCTCTGAATGCCGAAGTTAGGTCGCGTATTTGTAATATCGATGAGCGTTTTGCGTCTAAACAATCGAATGAATCGATGCTGTATACATATTTAAGGAGATCTTGCGATCTAGCACACTAACCAAAAGAGTTCTCTCTAATAAACCCCATGAAAAATCTTTTATATGGGACCACCAACTAACTGTTAAGATGAGATATTTATATGGAAAGAACAACGTATGTGAAAGTTTTTGCATGTGAATAGTGAAATTATAATGTCGGGTAGTTAAAAGCTTTAAGTTCCGTTTTCAATAGAGATTATTTGTTCCAGAACCCCCTTGTAGGTACTAACATAATTATAGCATGTATCTCTTAGGCTAGTGCGCAACATGTAGATGTGCAAGTATCTCTATATTTATTTATTAATTATTTTAGAACAACCAAACGACAGAAATATGCGTTACTAATTTCCGCACGTGCGCTAACATTAGCTGGTAATTAATTATTGTCTAACAATTTATTGAGAGAACAAATGGTGGTTTTTCTTTCAACATTTTGTCTGTGGTTTAAACTCAACAGGCAAATTATTTGTTTGTTTAATAACAATCACCCATCGTTAATATGCCGCTCGATCAAAGGATCAAGAGCGTGCACATTTCGTCTGCCGACATTTAGAGACACAGCCGATGTAAATATGAAGAAATACCGACTGCAGATGACTACCCGTAAATCCTACTTTTGTTAGATATTGTAGCAGTAATTTGTACGTGGTTTTTGTTCTAATTACAGCGTTTGTATCACTATTCATATTAAATGCTATAAAACAACTTTAAATAGGTACCATCTTTTTAAGGTCTACGAGAATAAATGATGGGTCTATCCTGGAACCAGGGACCAAGTAATACCAACTCAGTAATCATGAAGTGTATGCATTTTAATCTAAAAAGCAAATCTTCTCCTCATCCTTGATATAAATCAATGGATTTAACAAAACAAGTTGAGTCACATTATTTGGTCTAACATTCTTATGATTAAACCTTTCTATTGTCTAACTATTCTGCTTGCGTCTTGCCGCTTCATTGATACACACGTGACGCGTGAGAAATAGCACCGAATGGAATAAACAGTTCGCTGATAAGTGGAAAATAATAAATAATAGATAGAGCGTCTGTTTTAGGAGTAATATAATGCCACTTTTAATTATTGTTTTTCCTTTGTGGAACCAATCGAAGTGAGCTGCACAATGCACATGTACTTGTGTTTTTTAGAATGCGAAAAAAGCTGTTTCCTCCTACTTTGCGCAAATGTCGCAAGGGCCAATTTAATGGGCTGGCTTTTATGGATTCTAGGATTCATAATGAGTGGCGGTAACGCGTTATCTGCTGACACGTTTTATATTGAGTGGAGTTACTTTTTTGTCCCTTTTTCCTCTAGTAATCTTAACGCAGCAGATGACCTCATGACACCTCGTCACAGGCTTCAGCATGAGTCGGAATCTTACGTAATGACCATTAGGCTACATTCACTTTCTCATTATTATCCGCAAGTTAATTCAAGGCGGTAATTTTAATTACCACGATAGATACGTTCACACATTCTTATCGGAAACGAGATTTTTTAAAGTCTCCTTGTTTAAACAAAAACTCAAATTTTGTTACATAAATTCATGATTATGAGTTAAAATTTCAGTTTGATTAATATTTCTGTACCTATGTATATTGTCTGCTCTATCTAAACCAGCGCTTGGTCATCCCATGTAAATATATTTTAATTTTTGTTAATGGGTAGGTATCTATAGACCATCAGGATTGCATTTAGCGTCCGATTTTCATTCTTTTCATTATTCAAGGAATTTTAAAACTTGTCAAAATCACATCTCTATGAGATATGCAAAACATAGTATGTAAAATTACACATCAATAAAGTAATTGTGTCTTACACTACATCTCTACAGCTAAATACTTTATTATTAGATATATTAGTGGTGTTTTATTAATACTCAAGCTTACTTGATAAATTAAGGCATAATAACAAATATCAAGTTTTTTTTGCAGTAAGCGTAATCCGTTTCAAATATTTTATTGGAATATCAGTATTTCACCTTTTTATGAATTTCGAAACGTACCGTTATTTTTACAGTCACAGAAATAGTACTATGAAGGAATGACCATTTTGTTCAACAAAGCCATCGTAAAATTACGTGACGCGGTCAAGGTCAATGGCTTCAAACAAAAGGTTAACGATCTTTGGATGAGAAAAGAGGCGTGTAAGATAATTTAAGATTTACGATTTTGAAATGAAAATAACCGATTTCTAAACATATTATTAGAATTTTCCGAAGATTCGTTTTTACTACGAGTACAATTTTGGTAACTGAAAACTTTTGTTTGTGAGACATCTACCAATTGTACTTTGAAAATAAAAATGATTATTGCCAAAGGAGAGCGAGTACGCTCTAAGCTCTCATTAACTATGCACTAATAGACTTTGGCGTTATGAAACTTTTCAGTGACTTGTAAAGATTGCGTTTTACGTGGTGGGTACGCTTTAGAACAAAAGGTATAGAACTACTCGGTTGGTGGTGGTTGAGATTGTAAGAGGGGTTTGTCATCTTCGGAGGCTGCGTGGCGCGGTGAAGGGCGATTGGGCGCGGGCGTGCCGCCGTTGGCTAAGAGCGCGTCGCCTGCGCCGCCCTCGTCTAGGGCAGAAACGTCGTCCTGAAATTTTCACCATTTCATTTTTAGTGTTGAATAGTATAAAGTACCCAAACTATATTCACAATACATTCAAATTCACAAAAGAGTATTAAGTGTAATATTTAGGAAGTAAGCTAAGATAACATATACCTAATCGTATGTCAAATATTTATGATACAATGTGTAATAATAATAATGGAATTAAAAAGGTATTATCGGCAACAGTGTTAACTACCCATTGCGGTCATGTCATCTCGTTCTATCGCAAAAAGCGCTGGTAGGGCCCAAAAGATAAGGAGACATGTAAAGTGCCCCATAAGGACTAACTTTTCTTTTTTATTATTTTTTATAATAATTTTGACGTTCATAAGTGCCACTTGTGGTCTAAACTGAATAAATACTTTTGATTTTGATTTTGAATCAACCCATTAGATGAGAGCGAGAGCAAAAACGGAAATGGATAGTTAACAGTGTGGTGTACTGTGTGCTTACCATGAGTTTACATTAGGTGATCTCGCTAGCGAATACGTCAAAAAATTCTATGAAGATTTTATTTCTTGAAAGTAGCCGCTAGGGGCGCTGCACAATATGTCATACATTTAAATGTCATTTTTTTACGCAGTCGCTAGCGAGCACACCTAACGTAAACTCATGGTAAGCACACTGTACACACAGTAAATTATTTTCGTTTCAAATCCGGTGCAACATATCTAAATGACGTATGTGTTACATTTTTCTCAGTAGAGCTATTTGTACAATAAAATGAAGAATTGCGAATTTAGAAATAAATTGTAGCGACTTTATGGTTTTTTTTCAAACAAGTTCTACTAGTATTTAGGCTCGCAATTTAGGTAAGTAGGAATACTTAATTATTGTATATTAGCTAAATGTTTAGGTGACAAGACAATTTTATAAAAGTTAATCCACACTGCAGCTACTTTTTGTGAAGCAATATTTTGCAACATTACAACATTAGTTAGATAATTCTATAACATTTTGGAAATGCTTTATGAAAAGTAACTGTAGTAAGGATGCACTGCTCATTAATACTTGTATTATAAAAACGCTATATTAAATCATGAACAATCGCTTTTCAGAACATAGAAAGAGAATACATACATAACTACGTAATTTAACGTAGAGATCAATCAGAAACTGGGTACTTCTGTTAAATCGAAGAAATCTAGATTAATTTAATACATCACAATGCTTAAAATGCGGATGCGGACAGAACAGGACAAGCCTTTGTGGAAATCCTTGTAGAAAACTTCAGCAGCAGTCTTTTAGTTTAAACGAATGTTTAACATGAGTTACAGTCTTACATATGTATAATGCATGACATATTTAAGTGCTTACTATATTATACTTAGTATCGAAAAACATTCTAGTGTGAAATAAGAGTCACAATGTTCTTATTTTCATAATGTAATTATTTTTGATATACCTAGTACATTATTAAAAGGAAGTGAAGTTGTTCCATCCAACAGCTCCGTAGATCTTGTCAGAAGATCCTTCGCAACGGTGCATCGTCTGTGGCGCTGATTTGTGAACGCAATCCGCGCGGCCTGACCGTGCAGGGCGACTCTATGAGGTCGGCCTGTCCGGGTAGACTGTGCGGAGCACGCCACTATGCTTCGCAGGGCTTTCCAACTTCTCAGCCTTCATCATCATCATCATCATTTCAGCCACAGGACGTCCACTGCTGAACATAGGCCTCCCCCAATGATTTCCACATGACAAGGTTGGTCAGCCTGCATCCAGTGCCTTCCTGCTACTGTTATCAGATCTTCGGTCCACCTTGTGGGTCGTCACACGTCTCAGTCTTGCTTTTCAGAAAAACAAGTATCAAAAACTATAAAATGTCACAACAAACAATATCATCTAACTTACATACTCGTACTACATAATATCTCTTACGTAACATATTCTAGTTAAAAAAATATTAATACGGTAGGTATTAAGTTAATGACAAAAAAATATATTTTGCATTTCAATTATTTACGCATTTAGTTATTATTAGTATTAACAACCTTACTATTGTTTGGCAACGAAGGCAATTAGCAATGTACTAATTAAATTATTTGGTGAAAACTATGACCAGTTTTATAGACCTTCGAAACGAGTTTGTTAAAATAAGCATTTTTGTTAGTGAAAGCGGTTCTAACGAAATAATTCAAAACACATTATTCGCTTCAAATGCTTTAAGCAGTACGACCAGTCTTGGAAAATAATGACAAAACAACCTTTACATTAACATTATTCAGATATGAATTGATTAACAAACCTAAAGTTGCTCAATGTTTAAAAACTGCTCTACATGAGAGTGCAACGTCCCACATCCATTCACCGTTTGCCACACTTTTAACTTCATCGTACAAAATATTGCTTGCTACAGATTATTAAAAAAATGATGATGCCATAATATGAGGATACATTATATCATTCTCTTAATTTATGTCTTTAATCAGACTTCACCTGGATCGCTCTCATATCACCTTATTTATTTCAGCCTGATAGTCTACGGTAAGGAAGGCGCTGAAAAACTGGAATTAATGTACATATCTATGTACTCGTATGTCTAAAGAATAATATAAAAATCTACGAACTCACGGGTTGTTTGATCGGTTGTGGTGTACCGCTGGCGTGCTTCCCCTGAAGATAGTAGGTCATGAGCTGGCCCTTCCCTTTGACTGCGACTAGGCCCCGTTGTTCGAAGTAATAACCAAAGTTTTCCAGAATGTGACAAGTCTCTTCCGTGACCTTTGATATTAAATAAGAGTCGATAAGTTATTTTTATTTTATTATTTATACTATCCCGATACCTAGTCAAAAATAACGTAGAAAAGGCAGGCTTTCCAGCAGAACAAAAAAACTAGAGAGAAAAATATAAACATTTTAACCTAACTACCTAGTTGTTTATGGTTACGTCCTTAAAGTGAAATTTAAAAATAAAAAGATTTGGCAAGCGGAAGGTCATGGGTTCAATTCCCGCCTTAGGCAGTTCGATTTTTTCAAGTTATTTATAATTTTCAAAAAAAAGATTTGAAGTAACCGAACACGAACCTGTATGCAGCCAGCTTTCCCCGTGCTCTCCATTCTCGAGGCGACGTTGACGGTATTTCCCCATATGTCGTAGTGGGGCTTCCTGGCGCCTATGACGCCGGCCGTGATGGGGCCGTGGTTGACGCCGAGTCTCAATACGAAGTGGTTAAACGACTGCTCGTTGATCCCAGTCAACACGTGCTGCAGCTCCAGCGCGAACTCTACCAGGCAGGCCAGGTGCTTCCACCGGACTAACACGCCATCTGAGGGCTTTACGCAAAACGCAGGCTGAATACTCCTTATTGTACCATACCAATACAGTATACCAGTATACCAGGCAGTAATCGATTAGGCAGTAAATAATATAAACTAGCAATATAGAAGATACGATAAATATCGACCCAGGTCTCCCCAACCCTTTTTGTCAGTGTGGGGGATGCTTCTTCTACTAAATTAGAGAGGGGTAAATACGAGTGATCACTGCAGAAGCACTGAAGCACTATAATGAAATGACCTGCTGTTGCTATGCATTGGCAGCTGAGGTAAATCGGCTTTATTTATTACTATCGTCACTAGTTATTTCTATTAAATACCTATACAGAATAGAAAAATGCGGAAAAGAGAATTATCCTTGAAAAAATGCGTGCACTGAGATTTATAACTAATATTTATGCATACATATTATTTGTTATGTAAGAGATTTGAAAGAATGTTTATAAGTAAAATCTCAAGTTCTTGCGGACGATTATTAACGGTGATAAATTATCATGATGTGCTGCTTATGCTTAACGCTGACTTTGCTTAATAAAAAAATCCATACACAAACCATTAAATTCCACACAACATCAGGCAAAGGTTATATTGCATAATAATTTACAACTACAACGCTTATTATATGCCATCATATTAAAGACTTCACTGAATCATCCGATTTCACTGAAATCCTTGACAACTTTGTTTATGGTTTGTACGTAGGATTCAGAGAAATTATATTTTGTTTGTTTTAGTTTTATTAATAAGCTTCAAACAAGTTAATAACCTTTGTGGTTGACTACTTACTTAATTTGCATATCTATTGAGAAATTAATATAAAATGTAGGTAGGTACGAGTAGGTTCTTACCTGCATTTGTCGAGTTGGGTTTAGGCCTGATGCAGCCATATACGTAGAGCTGATAGTCTTGATTTTTATAATATCTTTGAATCTAGCATCTTCTAGGAGCTGAAAAGAGAAAACAGACTATCAAAAATGAAAAATATAAAATAACCCAATATAATATTTAAAAAAATATCTACTTATAAGGCAGCGAAACTGAAAATTACAAGCTTGACTATTTTGCATTTAGTAATACTTAAGCTTTACAATCGAAATCTTGTATTCTTACTCTGAAGTACAATAAGCTGTAAAATAAACTTGTTATACTCGTAGTAATATAATGCGTCTACGCTTCATATGATAATTCAAGAATGTTCAAGGTTTGACCTGTTCGTTTGTCATGCATGTTACGTAGAGCATTGTCTACGTACGAGTATAAACAAAATTAATGAAAGTTTATATAAAATTACCAGATCGAAGTCCGATATAACCTCGTTGAGAAATCGCAAACATTCCAGGCCTTGGTTGTTAACCGTTTCTTCCGAGTAGAACTCTGTAACGGTTCATAAAATCCACGAATTAGAGTTATAGTAGGTAGCTAGGTGTAATAGTTAAGTCGTTTTCAGCATGAAAGAAGTTTTTATTTATGTTTAAAACAAATAGTAGTCATTTAAATTCACACGTAAGTTTATAACACACTGTTCTTTTATTAACTAGTATAAATTATACAAGCAAGATCTGTTGAAACATAACATTTGTTTTTATTCCTTTGCAAAAGGCGCCTTAAAATGGAACGTGAACTATTTTAGGCGGAAGTATTGGGCCAGATGCTTGCAGCAGTAAATTACTGCGTGCGCGCTCAATCTCAAAAGGCGTATCTAACATTGATTAAGTTTAATGTTTTGAAAGAATAATTTACTTTAGTTTTAATTTCTTATTAAATGTTTAGCAAAAATATAACAAAGTTAAAAACATAATTCTACTTATATTCACCATGGGAAAAAAATGCCTCAAATAAATAATAGTTTCGTCGGAAAATCTTAATGATATTCGACCTGAAAATAGGCATAGAGGCGAAGAGCATTCCAACCTCAGCGTAGTTCTGGCTGAAGAAGTCATGGTGGTGGTAGCACTCACCTACAACATACGAGCATACCTAGTGCCAGGAGAGACCATAGCGGGCGACTCACTGTAGGTAAAGTAGATTTACCTATCATTAACCTGAGAAATTGAGTCTCTAATCTCTATCCAATTTCTGAGCATGCCGAAATTCAATTTCTGAGGTTGCAATGATTTTAACTGACTTCTGTCTGCGTAGCTCTGACTGTAGAGGTCAAGATGATGGTGGCACTCGCTCATAATAAAATAGTGCCGGCCGAGGGAAACATTAAGGTGGCATCTAGACTATTAATTTTAGCATGTTGGATACCAGCTAGTCGTATATTTACCTGAGAAGTTGGCGAAGAGCACGCCGAACTCTGCGTAGCTTTGGCTGTAGAGGTCGTGATGGTGGTGATGGTGCCGCTTGCTCATAACAATAAGTATAATCTAGACTAGTCCTGTATTTACCTGAGAAGTTGGGCATAGAGGCGAAGAGCACGCCGACCTCCGCGTAACTCTGGCTGTAGAGGTCGCGGTGGTGGTGGCACTCGCGCATAATACGAGTATAGTGCCGAGGCCAACATTGTGAACTAGCTCTTAAGTTGGCATCTAGCTAGACGATTGACTTTACCTTTGTGGATACTAACTTACCTGAGAAGTCGGGCATGGAGGCGAAAAGCACGCCGACCTCTGCATAGCTCTGGCTGTAGAGGTCGCGGTGGTGGTGGCACTCGCGCATAATACGAGTATAGTGCCGAGGCCAACATTGCGGATCAGCTCTTTAGTGGCATCAAGCTAGACGATTGACTTTACCTTTGTGGATACTAACTTACCTGAGAAGTCGGGCATGGAGGCGAAGAGCACGCCGACCTCTGCATAGCTCTGGCTGTAGAGGTCGCGGTGGTGGTGGCGCTCGCTCATAATAATGTAGTGCCGAGGATAACATTAAGGTGGCATCTAGACGATTGATTTTAGCATGTTGGATACGAGTTAGTCGTATCATTACCTGAGAAGTTGGGCATAGAGGCGAAGAGCACGCTGACCTCCGCATAGCTCTGGCTGTAGAGGTCGCGGTGGTGGTGGCACTCGCACATAATAATGTAGTGCCGAGGATAACATTATAGTGGCATCTAGACGATTGATTTTAGCATGTTGGATACCAGCTAGTCGTATCTTTACCTGAGAAGTTGGGCATAGAGGCGAAGAGCACGCCGACCTCTGCGTAGCTCTGGCTGTAGAGGTCGTGATGGTGGTGGCACTCGCTAATGCAACATTGTGGACCAGCTCTACGAAAACATTAAGGTGGCATCTAGACGATTGATTTTAGTATGTGGATACCAGCTAGTCGTTCAGGTAAGTTCTTACCTGAGAAGTTGGGCATAGAGGCGAAGAGCACGCCGACCTCTGCATAGCTCTGGCTGTAAAGTAGTGGTCGTGATGGTGATGGGGCGGTGGCGCTTGCTCATAACAATAAGTATAATCTAGACCAATGATTTTAAAGTGGATATGCAGCTAGTCCTATATTTACCTGAGAAGTTGGGCATAGAGGGAAAGAGCACGCCGACCTCTGCATAGCTCTGGCTGTAGAGGTCGCGGTGGTGGCGCTCGAGCATAATACGAGTATAGTGCCGAGGCCAACATTGTGAACCAGCTCTTATAGTGGCATATCGTTCAGGTAAGTTCTTACCTGAGAAGTTGGGCATAGAGGCGAAGAGCACGCCGACCTCTGCATAGCTCTGGCTGTAGAGGTCGCGGTGGTGGTGGCGCGCGCCCATGAAGTGGCGCGCCACGTGCGGCGGCAGCACGTTGTGCACGAGCGCCTGGTTGCGCTGGCGCAGGTCGGCGGCTTGCTCAGCCTGCGCATAGTAATAATAAGCCTAGGCGCAGACCACCGACTTTTAGTTGGCTGACAGTTGGGCCCGCCTAGGTGCAGACCATCGACATTTTGTTGGCCGATAGTTGGGCCCGCCTAGGCGCAGACCACGTACTTTTAGTTGGCCGATAGTTGAGTCGGGCTGTTAATCAGTATGGACATGGATGAAAGTGCGCACATTAGACCGATTTGATATCGGCCGATTCCTCATACAAATTAAAATTGGACCCAACTATCGGCCAACTAAAAGTTGATGGTCTGCGCCTAGGTTAATGTATGAAGAATCGGCCTATACCAAATCGGTCTGATTCAACTATCGGCCAACTAAAAGTCGAAGGTCTGCGCCTAGGCTTAAGCCATTTATTTCATACTTCTACTTTACATTTCAAACGTTGTTAGTAGTTTGTTAGTAAGTTTGCTTAAATTAAGTTAGTAGTATTAGTATCTGTGATTGAAATATGGACTCCTGTAAGGGTAAAGGCCTTCTCCCTCTTCTTCCATAGCTCTGTGTCTATACCAGAATTTATCCAATCGTTTCCTACTACTTGAATAATATCATTAGCTCACCGTCTCAATGGTCTTCCAAAACGTACTTTCCCTGATGGGCCTTTCTATCGTGTGGTTTTAGTGGTCCATCTCTTGTATGCACTCACACTTAAATGCATGTGGGCCGGACACATCTCAAGATATTATACAGACTGCCTGCGCATGCCACAGACATATAGGACACCTTGACACCACCAGTTAATTGAAATTCTGTTTAGCCCGAAGGTTAACTGGCAGAATGCATTGTGGCATTAAGTTCGGCTTCCTACAGACGACAGCACGTCAAGCTCAACACTGTGCAGTCTTATACGTGTAATAGGAGCGATTTTTCAACAAAAATGTATATTCTTATGTGCTGTCGTCTACGATGCCAGCTCGATGTGTCGTCGTCTGAACATTATTTTGAACATTTCACAGCATACAAACATTACTTAGAACTACATTTTACCTAGACGTAGACTGACTAGATAAAAGATCTAAATGTTATTATAACTGCAAAAAAACTACATTCGCATAGATAGGTATTACAAGATCATTATCTAATACATAGTATTAAAGAAGTGTGACATACCTGTACACGCATGCGTTCCCCTCGCGAATGCCGCGCGCGCTCCAGCGATTCGATCTGCGGAGTAAACAACGCCACTTATAAATAGCGCCATAAACTATCGCGAGATTATCGGCCTATTCCAAACAATGTTTTGATAGAGTAGGTAACAAAATTAACTTACATATCTATTGAATATGAGTACGATGATTGTTATGAAAAACAACATCACGATGTGTCTGGCTTTGTGGATTTGTGACCTGTAAACAATTAATAAAAACCATTCAAATTGAATATTGAGTTACTCCTTGGAGATACAAAATTCGGAACAACATGAAGAGGGTCTTATTGCTCGAAAGCGATTTCTTCTAGAAAACCCAGATATAGAGAATAATTAAAATGTCATCATAAGCTTCTTTTAAATCTTCGATAGAAATAAATATAATCTAAATTATGTCCAAATCACAATACCTACTTACATAAATAAAAGGATGTCATACCCGGTTTTTAAAGTTTCAAAACATTAACTTTTATATAACCGGATAATGTAATATTCTGTTACTAATAATGTGACATCTTAGGAATGTTGACAAAGGTTAGGCGGTTATGCATCGCCTAGAGATCATTGTCGTAACGTAATCGAGGTTTCAGTGAATGTCACCAGTTTGTAAATAAGCAAACCAGCTCACGTAAAATAAATCAGATCAAAACTATATTAGTAAGATTGTGAACAAGTTTGTTCAGATATTTTCGACTTCATCGGCGTAGCTTTCAATCACCCTGACTTTGAGAGCAGTGGGAGAAACGGATAGATTAACATTATGTTGAAATCGTTTTGTAGAGCAAAGATGCAAGCAAGCGTCTCTGCTAATTCCTTTATGATAACACTGCTATAAAAATCAATGGTTGATCTTTTTAAACTCCTTTAGAAGTCTATATGGCTAGAAATGTAGGTAACGAATTCGTTTAATAATAATATGCTACTTTTGTGACATTTGATTACATGATAATATTTTATATGCAGTTTTACGATGCTAGATGTCATATTATGATTCAAATTATAAAATAACGGAATTAGATACCAAAATGAAGCAATATAAAATTTGTATTTGATATTCTGTAACCTTGTTAATACTCTAGTTATTCCTACCTTGAAATCTATTATGGGTTATTAATATAACAACTAGTTACAATGCCTATGTTAGATGAAGTAACATATTAGCAACCTACATAAAACTCACAGTATTTCTAATACGTTTTCGTCATAATCCATCGTTGCGTTGTAGCTTTCCCTGAAGGGGTCGCGGTCGAGGGTCGGCCGTGGCGCTAATAGCGCGGGGTGTAGCGCGGAAGGTAGCGCGAACGCCGTCGCCAGTAGCGTCAGTAGCGCCGTCCGCGCGCAACCGCCCATCGGCGTTACCCAAAGCACGCCGCATAAAAGGCCCCCGCCCACCTGACAAATAAAAAAAAACTGTTTATTTAGTACATAGGCCCTTTCCAGGGCACTCATACACGTCCCAAACATAGCTTGCCCTACCACCACTTCATGGGCTGGTGCTGAGAAGAGGTGGCGAAAGAAACTCAGTCACCTTTGTCATACAATACAATCATACAATAAATAATTCAATTGAATGTAGTCTCGAAAACACTTAAGTAGTCTCCTGCCAAAAAAGTGCTCCCTAAGCTCGGAGCATGTAAGTAGGTACTCATTTTTCAGAAGCTCTTTTCAGGAACTTTTCAGGGCAACTAAGGCAATTTTCCTGGTTCGATTTGAATAATGAAACTCTACTAGTGTATCCAGGATGTAAAGAGAACTTTATACTTGTAAAAACATAAAATACAAACAAACGAGCTTTTAAGCTTTTTGTTTGAGGTATTGTTTGAGGTTCAATTAAATTAGCATTGAGTTTAATTTGCCTACCCGGTCGTTAGCTGGCTAATAGATCAAAGAAGCTGTTTGTTGAATAAATTACTTGGATAAATTATAAATTGTAGAGATCCTCGTAATATAATCAGACTAAATATCAATATAAATAGTTAACCATCAATCTGCCGCCCAACGAGTAAGTTTTCCAGAGGTAGCAGCACAGAGTTATTGTATAAATTATAAAAGACTTTATCAAAAAGTGAAAAGTGTAGTTTTACATGGTCAGAAATATTTGAATGTAACTAGAAATCGGAGTTAGGTCTTCCTAACAGTTGCATAATTTATCTAGAAATAGCTGTGAAAAATACGGTATACAAACTCGAGTCACATTCACACGTGTCCGTTAATTTTTGGTAAATAATAGATTGTCACTTGCGTCGCATTGTCTGCTCGGCCTACAGCGTACAATAGATTGTGAAAGTAGCGCCTTACGTGGTAGAAGTAGGAAGGATGTAGGCAGCGGCGGGCACCGCTGTGCGCGGGCGCATCGGCACGCAGCCCATCCTGCAGAGCGGTCTCGAAGCCGCCGCAAATTATCTAAATAAATAAAATTACACTCAATACTGTATAATGATGTGTTAAATTATATTTATTAGTATTATTTAAACACTTTACACACGTACCAAAGGAACGACATTGGCTGCTACGTACATCCCTATGTTGAACATACTGCAAGTCAATTTCCAGTATGGACTTACTGAAATTTTCTGAAAAGGGAAAGAAAATCAATGGCTTCAATTTCATTTTAATTTAAAAATATTAAATAAAACTGAAATTGAGTTTGAAATTAATAATTCTCATGGCTAATGATCGACTTTTCATGGAAAATACCACTATGATCTTTTCTAACATTGCAGATTTTTCAAAATATTACCTTATATTGCGCATATCTACAGCCAGCGTAGTAAATGACATTGATCACGCCAGTCTCCAGGATGAGCGCGAGGTAGACTGCGCTTACAGGCCAGGTGGGCGGCACGGCGAATGTGGCCAGGATCAACGTAGCCGGTAGGAAGAACAACGGCGGTCCAGCCGCCGTCAAAGGGTAAGGGTCCCTCCTCTCCATAAAAGCCTTTTCTGTCTCCGCCGCCTTGAACGTGAGGCACAGAGTCGTGCCATCCGCGAGTTCCCTGAACGCGGAAACCACCAATACAACTGAAACTATTTCACTAAATATGCAGCCATCGCTGCGGCTCGGCAAGCGTAGTGTACTAAACAAAACAGTGTACGCATTAGGCCGCTATGCCTACTGAAATTTAAATAGGTAGATTCGTAACACAGTGTGCATTTTTGAGACGGGCAAGAAAGGCAAGTACTTTAGAAGTTTACGGAACGTTATACCCACCTACTTGTTTTGTTTTAAGGCTAAAACTACTAGAAAGTAAGAGATATATTGAAGTATGAATGCAGATCAAAATGTTACTCTAAGTTTGCACCAGACTAGTTCTTGTTAAAATTTTGTAGTAGCAGCGGGCAAGTATGTGCTTTTAATGCCCAGTCTCAAAACTTTACTCTACAAAGTAGGTACCTGTTATCATAGGTACAATAAGACAAGAAGATTTCAACGAATTAAAACAGAGTTAATGCTTTGTTACGAACTAGGTACGCCCGAGTCCTATACTTAGTAAATACTAATAAATAATCGAGATATGGAACAGTAGGTATGTCCGCGACGGCATAGTAAAATATTTATTCATCAAGTTCTTAACTTTGTAAGCAGAAACCCCATTGTATGCTTTCTAGTAGAACAAGAAAGATTAACAATTGTTAGAAATGCCATCAAGAATAAGGTGTCCGAAAATATATATATATGTATAATAAATAACGAAGTAATATGGGAAAGTATTGATCGAATTCAAATATAAATATAGTATGTTTCTATATTCATAAATCTGTGTTATTAATCTACACCATTATTGATCAATTTTACTACGACCCATAAAGATGGGGTGCGGTATTACGTCAGGCGTATCCCACAATACTTATCGTTAGGTTTCGTCTTCGTATAAGATTAAAGTAGGTTATTAAGCTTTTATAGCCTCAATTACTAAATCAATTCGTACACCGAAGGCGATGTAAATGTGTATGAATATTCTAATAGCTCATGATAATATTGAAATAGCTTTGAATATCGCCAAATTTTTAATAACTGCTCTACGCCATTACCAAAGCTGATGACGTAAGCCGCGGGCTATTCAACATGCTACACATTAAAGTATGTAAACTGAAACGTTACAAAAATTCGCGGCCAGCTAATTAACTTAATTGTCGTGACAAACAATGTTAACAATTAAATATGTAATGAGAACTTACTTGTCGTCATCTCTATTCACGAGTTCTTCTTGCAACATAGAGAGTATTTTCTGTTGTTCGCTGTCCTTGCTCTCGTCTTGCGGGGATAGAACCTACGAATAATTTACGAAGCGTCTCTATGTATGTAATATAAAAGCAAGATCGAGATGGCCGCTCATGGCACAGTAGCATGGTAAAGTCGGTGCTCGAATCTAATGAGCAATTAAATCGGATGAAACTTTCAAAGCTGTCTTACGTAGCTACACTAGAACTATGTAGGCTAGTGCATATCACGAGCCTAGTGCCCCAGTGTCCTAGATTTATTTAGGCTCGTGGACAGGAAGGGGTCGGGGGCGGGCGGGTATCTAGTAGTGCACTCACCGAGTCCTCGTCGTCGTCTTTGAGATCGGAGAGCGTGTCGGCGGCGTCGCCACCCTCCGCCTCGCCCTCCAGCGTTATTCTCTCTTCGCCTCCCTGGTACTTGGAAATAAAAACATATTCCACTGCAGCGAAGCTGGGAAAGATTGCTACATATAATATTGATAACTCGAATAACGGCAGTTTCTAAACCTTGCTCGAGCGAAAAATTATTTACTCAATTATTAAAAATAAATTCGGGATAATTTTAGATCTGTTTGCAATGTGAAACTCTTAAAACGGAAAATTAAGAAAATACATAATAAATAATAATAATAAAAAAAATACATATCATTCACTAATTTCAGTTCTGGATATAGGATAGCTCTTTTATAATCATAAACTAAGCTATCGTGTTGAAGTAGGTACACTTAGGTAGGTGCTCGTTTGCCTCCTGTCACATAAAAAATAAAAAATAAAAAAAAAACTTAAATAATTTCATGACTTGAATCATTCAATTATACACGATTTATTATAATTATTTAAACTCATCCTTCAAATTAATTAAATTTCAATTCAATTTATTTCTAATTATTTTTTTTTCCGCTGCAATACAAATAGAACTCTGTAAGAATTTTGATTTTAAGCCTGTCGGTTCACGAATTACAGCCTGCTGCAAGAAAGTCAAAGTTAAGGTAGACTTCCAATACATCGATTGGAACTTAATCCTTAAAGTAAAAGTACCAGCATAAAACTTACTGGTTTAAGCACGCGGACGATGAAGTAAGTCTTGATACCAGCTTGCCGCAGCATCTCCTCGCGGCGCTCGCCGTGTGCCGGCTCCACTTCGAACTCGTCGTTCAAGAACCCCAGGGTCACCTCGGAGATGTGGACACGACTGCAGTGGAATAATATATTGAAACTTCACTCTTCCATATACTCGTAAGGCTATTTTCACGTATCTAGCTAATTTCTTCATTTATTTTGAAGCTCACAAGATGAAAATGAGACAGAATCTTTACTGAAAAGTTAGGGTGCATTTGAACGTAAACCGATTAAAAATTTAGTAAGATGAGAAAATACCATAGAAATTAGGTATTTTATTAGAAGCCTATCGAAAATGTGAAGATAGAATTTCAAAGATCTCTACACACCCAGCCATCCCACTGCTTTCCATCTTGTTGGCGAGCTCAACGTCTCTGGAATAGACGTCGAACTGCCATTGGCGCTGACCCAGTACTCCAGCCAGGACTGCACCAGTGTGGATGCCCACGCGCATGTCCACTGGCGAGTTTGTGGTCTGTTGTACGTACCTACGATATAAAAGATGTATGTAGCACAACGACACTACGTAGACGTAGTGTATGAAAGGACACTGGTGAATTTACAGCTAAACTTTTTTTTTTCATTAATTAAATTTACTTCTTTTAAAAGTTTTACCTATCTGTTAGTTGTCACACATTTTGACCCAAATGCACTTCAGAATGCCCAAACAATTAATGTTTTCAGTTTGAACTAGGCCTTGTTGAAGAAATTGGATCAATAGCGTTTATTTATAGCTTTCAAAGGTAGTAATTTGAAGTAACTATCAAGGAATTCGAATAGCTCTATAAAATGGGATCTCACTATAGTCCAGAGTAGTCGTGCTAAATTGAATAAAGAATCACTAAAAGTAATTGAAAAGGATGCTTACTTAATAGCTTTGACCATAGATAATCCCATGTGCACACACAAAACGGCATGATCCGGCCGCTCTACCGGCGCGCCGCTTATGCAGTAGTAGCAGTCGCCAAGGATTTTTATACGCAACTGCTGGTATTTCTGTCCAAACAATTATATCATTTAATATGCTGAAAGATGTTTTCAGGGCTATAAATGGATTTAATGTATATAAAATAGCTTTATACCTCGGCCAGTCTATCGAAACGTGCGAATAACTCGTTGAGAATTGCCACTAGATCTTGAGCAGAATAAGTAGATGAGATAGCCGTGAATCCTACGATATCTGCGTACAGGATGCTGGCGAACAATAATATGGCATTAGCTTTTATATGGCATAGTTAATGTTACTAATGTATAATTGATGAAATTGCAAATTACATACCTCACGTTTTCGTGCCGTGACATATAAATCTTTTTGAACTGTGTGTCGATCAAACCCAAGTCTTTGCGCATCTGAACCGCGACATGCTCTGGTAGCACCGAGAGCAACAAACGCTCCTAAAACATAATAGCACGTATGTGATACATTATGTAGGTAAGTACGACGTTGGCGTAGAAAGCAATTATCAATGCACGACGCGTTTCGTACTCAGTTTTACACGATAATTGCGAGAAAAAATGACACAGTTTTCTTAAATGTGTAGTGCTTCGCAATAAAATACTGTATACGCAATTTGTTATCGATTTTCAGTGCGAATCGATCGTATTGGTGATAATATAATACAAAATAAAATGTTCAGCCACACCACGATGAAGTGTGTAGCAATTGCAAATGTTATAAGTTACATTGTTCATCAGCCACATTACGCCTGCACTTAGATAGATCGGTGCTTGTAAATAGAATACGTGTCACACACCTGTTCTTTACTTTGTTGTTCTATGGTAAGTTTGTCGTGAAGACTTCTCTTTGTTACAAGAAACGACAAACGTTGCAGTTTATCGCTTATTAAATACTCTGCTCCTCCCAATACCGAAGCCGAGATTAGTAAACACCCATTAGCCACTAGCTGTCAATGAAAAAGTTACTTCAATTAATCAAGTCGATTTTGAATCTATACATAGAATTTCAATACATCAATTGTAACAAATATTGATTTATTTTAGTTCAGAATCAGATTAGATTCAGGGTAGAGAAAAGAAAAACGTTTAGGTAGTACCTGATTTGGAAAATCCTCAGCGAATCTGCTCTCCGCAGTCGAAGCATTGTAGTATTGCACCATAAGATAAGCAGTGAGAGATAGACAAGTGTACACCATCAATATGAAGTGATGAAATGGCATAGTTGTAATAGTGAAGTATTGGATAACGAAGGCCCATCCCAGTAATTCATTGTAGGAATCTCCAAGTCGACGAGATGCGCTTATCAAAAGTTGCATCCAAACCACGAGCCAGGCGATATGCGTGAGTGCGGACCGAGCAGGTCGGATGCAAGCGTATGCTGTAGCCAGAACCAGGTTTATCAGTAATGATATAACTACCGATGAGTAGGCGAACAGTAAATCCCTCTCTCCTGGCACGATTATTGCAAATATTTGTAGCAGCGCACCGATCGCGAGCAGTCTTAGCACTGCTCGCTGTCTCTGGCGGTGCGTGTACGCCGAGTACAGTTGTTCTTCTTCTACGTCTTCGAATGCCCATGCTGGAACCAGACATCCACAACCGGTGTATATCTTGTTCAGTACTCGCGCCCGAGCGGACTTCTCCATTGCTCTCAATGCCTTGCCATGTTAAAACTGACACACGACATCTTCACTGCTTTTTATCGTAGTTTGTTTTCGTAGCACTTTTGTTATGGTTACGGTTATTTTTACACTACAAGGTAAAAGATGATCGATATTTAGCGAACACGGATACAATTTCGAAGACACTAAACAACTTGTTCTAGTTGGTTTTTATTATGAAACGGCAATTTAATGAAAAGAAATAAAAGTATAAACACACAATAAAGAAGCGTAGGATCTAAAGATAACTAAAAATAAAAAAGGCGTACAAACGTTTCACTGAAAATGATTTTTTCGTAAAGCGATGTGAGTCAAGAACGTGTGCGATGCACCGATAATATGACGATTGATCTTCGATAGCGTGCACTACTCGCGAGGACGTCAGAGTTCATCAGGCGGAGACTTTCCGTTAGTGACGACCTAATCGAGGACGCCTGTGTAATGAATAAATTACACGCTGAAACATTGTTCCGATACCCATTCATTAACTGGGCCGTCTCTACATCGCTAACTCGTTTGTCTCCAGAAACATACTCTACATACTAATTTCAATATTGACAATCGTAAAGACGACTTAACTATGCATGACCATGAAACGTAACTCGCATAATGACCGCGTATTTGTTTCACTTATTTTACTGATTGCCAGTTCTTGTATTGCCAAAAATAATGTCAGAGAATTGTGAATAACCATTACTCTTATTACTAGCCCTAAGTTCTCTCTCTCAGTACATTTTATTGACGAGAATGATTGTTTATTAATTATGGAGGAACGTCTCACTGTTCAAGGAGCCCTTTCAAAGTACATAACTAATCTCGAAGTAGGAAGATAGGTTTCTTTCATTATTCAGGTTTCATTTTAAAAGCAAAGTTTTTCTCATTACAAAATAATCATTTACCACTTGCTTACATACTCGTAGGTACCTACTTGGTTGAATTGATTCAAATCTAATCTAATGAACCTTTATATTGTTTGTCATTTTTCAGAACCAAACCTATGATAAATAACCACCACTCTTCCCATGGGTATCGTAAAAGACGGCAAAGGGACAAATATGCGAACATCAAGCCTCCCCAATCCGTCTGGCCATCGCGGGGAGTCGAGGCCAAATCATCCATTTGCCTCTGGTAAAGAGGGTCGCGCTTCTTCAGAGGAAATTAAATAATAATGGCCTGATAATAATAAAATTACAATGAACTAACAAATGTTTTTGCTTTTCTTAAGATTTGGATAATTTTTATTTTTAGTAAATAACAGAAAATTTTCATTTTCAAGTTCAAATATATTTAACATGCGCATATTTAAATTTATTTGTGACACCTAATTGCACTCTGTAAGAGCATAGCAAATATTATGTAAATATAGATTTAAACACGATTTACATTATTTAAAAAGGTTGAATGTTAATTTCATATGAATTCTTGTATTCCAGATTCTAATCCCATTATTGCCCTCCGGACTGTAATGAAATTCCACATAACGCTATTACCCTAAGGCTTATTGCTTTAGATTAGGTTTTCATGATAATATGGATTTTGTTTTGAAAAATGTCTTAATCGAAAATATTTACGTTAGATGACTTAACATCCGCTGAAATTCACTTTTCCAATGAATGGAAAGGTTTGAATTTTTAGAAAACATAAGTCACGCTAGCTTTAATAGCTAACTTTAGCAAATATTTTATGTCCTACGGCAAATACGGCAATATTATGGATATAATATACAGATTTTAATAGATATTTTGTGTCTTCAATTGATCATTATTGTATTAAATGTACAAAATTACACCAAGTGTCCAAATAAAATGGTCTCTACATTTACCTATTGCAAGTCTAAAAAAACGATTCGCATAATCAGTAGTGTTTTGTTTTCTCAATTTAATCACACTTCACCATTGCACAGTTACGCCGACTCTACTCTATAGCATTAGGTACTCGTATGGACGAATGACTTAATCCAATCATACATTGACTAAATCGTGATAAAAGACACTAAAGAAATAAAAATATGCAAAATAATGTAAATAAATCACCATTGAATAATCTTACAAAGCTGTTACATTTCCCGCCGAAATTGCGATAACGATGATGTAAGCAGTCTACGCGAAAGACTTACTATTGACCCATAAATGCTTAAGCCACTACAGCGGCGGTGAGGACTTGGCTTATTGAGACACGTCGTGTGATGACCGAATTAATAAAGTGAATTTCTGGAGCGTTGAATATTGAAGTGTAATGTGGGCGAATATTGACCGAGGCGGGTTGTTAGGGCGCGGGTGGCGCTGCGGGCGGAGGCACGAGGGCGAGGGCGGTGCACGCACGTGCTCGCGCGTGACTGCCGCGGCCGGGCCGCCGCCGCCGCCCAGCGCGCCGCCGCGACTCGCCCCGACCCGACCCGAGCTCCGCCGCCCGCCCGACCGGCTGGCTCACTACATCGATTCTACTCCTATTCCGCATCTGTAAGCGCAGACATCAAAATATCAAAAGAGACACCCACTAAATCAGCCTTACACATGTACGAGTAGGTCTGATTTTAGTGTGAAGAGCTTCTCTCCTACATTTTCTTTGTTGCGAATTCTCAATTGCTTTACACACTTGTTATGCTTACCTACCTAAATCAACGATAGAAGAGATTGAACGCTTTAGGGCTTTTCGATGTGTATAGCTAGCTAGTATTATCCATTCTGTTACCAACGTTTTACTAAGCATGACCTAGAATCCTAGATTGGTATGAGTTAAAAGTAGGTCTCGCTTTTAGTTTCATGAAATAAGAAGCACCACCAAGGGAAAATTGATACTTTACTATTGCATTAATTAATATTAAAACTCACAGCTTTGTAAACGTATTAGTTAGCTATGATTAAGTACCTACTACGATTAAGTACAAACGCGTCTTTAAATTTTAATGCAATACTTATGTATTTTACCTACACAAACATCACAAGGCTTTTTTATTTTTTTATCAAAAACTTTTTTTTTTCATTAACAACTCATTTTGGATTCAGTTAATAGTAGCAACCCTAGATGATTCATTCATTTATCTCGTTTTAATATTTTTCAGTGCAATATTTTTTTTCTAAATTAAGTATTTGAAGATGGGCTTAAATTTTGTTTGAGTAATTTAAACTATTATTGGTACCGTTTGATAGAGCTCGTCAAGCACTTTTAGGATCAGTAACCAGTTTTTGAATATCTTGTATAGTTTTTAATATTATGTGGTTTTACTAAATGTATGGGAGCTGGAAACATTGAATTTTCGGATAGATCCAGTTTATTTTGTAACCTATTATTGGTACCGTTTGAGAGCTCGTGAAGCATTTTCAGAATTAGTAACCAGTTTTTGGATATCTTGTATAGTTTAGAAATAATCGATTGAGATCACTTATCGTTTCCACCCTGTATACTTTCAGTTAGACCAGGGGTCTCCAAACTACGAGCCGCGGGTCATATCCGGCCCCACTGCCATCAATCCGGCCCGCGACAGCCTAAGACAAAGCCTATGTTTGCATAGGTGGGCAGACATATTAAAATTATAATGGTTCTTGTAACATACCGAAAAAAATATTATGGCATCAAAGTTTGGAGACCCCCGAGTAAGACCATCTAAATTGGTTAACATCTCTTGAATTTAAGTACAGATATGAGAAATTTGAGAAAATCAATATGGCAAGTGCGTAATTTCAGGATTCTGAAAGAAACTGAACGAGCAGACCGTAGAGTAATCAGGGAGGAAACATACTCGTACATATGAAACCGACTTGAAAACCTCCTCCTTATTTTGAGGTTAATTTACTTTTTATTTTATTTGGAGATTCGATTTGTAACGGTGGTACTTGTCCGCAGCCTCGGAAGTGTACTATACAGTGTGAGTCACGATAAAGTGTACATATGAAAAAAGATGAAACTAGACCTATTTTTATCGACAAAAAAGAGGTAATTTTTTTTTTAGTTTTTTATTTTAATTTTTTATAGAATATTTTTTCTTCGATTACTTAATTGCAAAGAAATCGTAATAACTTTTAAACTAAGAGGTATATCCTAAAATAAAAACAGTAATAAAGTTAAATAACAGGTGATACTAAAAAAATACATAAAATACTCAGAAAGTTCCAACAAATAATAAAAATTTATACTCTTTGAAAAAATCTGCTTTTAAATTCGTGTTTTTTTGGTTATTTGATAAATTTCTCCAAAAAATGCCCCTATAACCCTATATAATGGTTTTTATTAATTTGTATTATTTTCTATCGTATTACCTTTGTAAAACCAAAAACCGCATGTCTCTATCCCTATCACAATGCTATAACTATGCGGGAATCGAACCCGCGATTTGCATAGTAGTTCGTTAGGAACCACTACTAATTCTTAATAATTTAAGTTTAGAATTAATTTGCCTCCGAATTCAATGATTATTGAACAGAAAAAATACTTACTACACAGTGGTATCAAAACAGAAAACATGGGTATATATTAGAGATGAAACGGATATCCGGCAACTATCCGGTAGGCCGGATATCCGGCCTTAATTTACTATCCGGCCGGATACCGGATAGTAACTCACTATCCGGCCGGATACCGGATATTAAAAAAAAACGACAATTTCCTATTAATAAAATGAAATACATTAATCTTTAAGGTAAATATCAATAAAATGGCTTACAATAATGACGGCTTTTATTTAAAGTCCAAAAAGTTACAAAAAAGCCATATTAAGGCCTTTCAAAACTAATTTATTTTTCTGGGCTATTCACTCTAATGACGAATACATAGATAAATAGTAAATATCTGTTAATATCGAAATATTGCCAAATAAAAAAAGGCGATTTTTTTTTCACTGATGGTCTGATGATGACATGATGCAACTACACTGGTCATCACAAAGATCTACCCTCCCGCGACAAGCACTTTCAAACGTATGCATCCCCACTTCCCACCAATATTGGCACCATTTAAAAGCCTAGTTCTAAACTTCATTTCATTATAGGAAAGGGTTTTACCCCAAAAATGTGTCTGTAGAAGAATCCAGAGTCACTTCTTCAAAAAATAGGTAGTTACGCTTGAGCCGACTTTTATGGCTATAAAACTGTTAAGTTGGGATTAATCGCTATCCATCTGTTAAAGAGGACACGTGAGATCATTATTTGGTTTTATAACCATAAAAATTATAATAAAAATAAACTTTTTTAAAAACAAGCTTTTATTCTGAATTTCGAAAGTTTGTATCGCGCATGGAATTTATTCCTCTTTTTCTCTGTTTGCACTACAAGCTTTCGAAATTCAGAATAAAAGCTTGTTTTTAAAAAAGTTTAATTTTATTATAATTTTATTTTACACTTTTTAGTTACATCTTAATCTCAGGACCCTGGACATTATCTAACACTAAAGTGTTCGAAAAGACAAATCCAACGAACTCAAACTCGATGAGTTTCCGCCGTTTTGTTTAGGAGTTCCTATGGCCACCTTCCGACTCCATCATCAGACCAGCTCAATGGTACCATAATATTGCATTGTCATCATACTTACATAAGTATACCAAATTTCAGCTCAATCGGTTGAGGAGAACTGGTCTTAAATTCAGTTGCAAGATTTGTCCCACACATACTAACAAGTGAAGTCAATATAAAGCTTGTAAAAATTGGTCTAATTGATCCCAGAGGTGAGCCCAAAGTGAGTTCTTTTTTCAAGTCACATTTATTGTATATCGCGTTTATGTTAATCGTTTATTAAGAAATTAAATGTGTTTTTCTTTAATGATATTTATTGGGCTTTCAAATAACACCAATATTGTTGGGGCACCATGACTGTGTCAGTGGAAACGAGTTTTCCTGTAAAACGTAGGTGGGCCGATTTTTGTGATGACCAGTATAGTTAAATTTTTGCTATTCAATCACACACTTTTTCATTTTCATTTCATTTTCACTCACGATTGCAGCCGAAATTGAATTGATCTGCCCCCTAAACAAGTGGCAAAATCTGACATTCTATTCGGACGGATTCGATTTTTCAAAAGTGTAGTCTATTCTACTAATAGACCCACTGATCGCGTTCGAAGCACCTGTGCGGCGCTATACTCGTCACGACATGCAACGAGACAATGGGTCAACTATCCGGCCGCCGGATATCCGGCTATCCGGCCTAGCAGCTGGCCGGATATCCGGTATCCGGTATCCGGCCAAACAACTATCCGTTTCATCTCTAGTATATATTGTCCGTCTCTGTCTGTCTCTGAATTTTAATTACTTTTAATAAAATAATATACTACCTACTCTGTAATTTAGAATTTAACTCATTATGTAGGGGCCTAAATCCAATAAATATCCAGTAATCATTGTAAAATATTCAATTAAAAATAATAGACTAAGAGCTAGTGAACGCCAGCAATTATGCATAAAATTCAGATTTTTTGGTACCTACAACGTAAGAAGAATTACAGTCTAGAATATACAGAAAAAGCCACCGTAAAAGTTAGGCTTACGTTATACCATAAAAGCTGTTTTTTTATTTAATATTTGTGCAATAATTAAAAGTAGTTTCCTCATCAGCCAGACAGTTTTGACAGTTCCAACTCTTTGCCAGACAGTTTTTTAGGGTAGCTGCCAAAACCGCGATGACCCAAACTTCGTGATTCACCAACATTGTAACATTGGGAGCATACGCTGACAAACTTTCAGCTTTTATAAAATGACGTAGGTCCGGCGTTCACTAGCTCTTAGTCTATAAGGTATGGAAAGGTATGTGTATTAATTTCTAAATGCTTTACGCCATCTAGTAGCATGTAGGGTGAGACTGCGACGGCGGGAATATTTTTTGAAGCAATCCGCGCTCTTTTTATCCTTTGCAGAGTGAAGAGAAGGTAAAAAATCATGTAATGAAGGATGATAGATGATACCGCTTCACACCTCTTGAGTTTGTGGATGTGTTGCTTTACTGAGACTTCATAATTATTATAGACTACTTGAAAGAATTTGTAAACTTATGTGGCACTGTTTTGTTTCATTTTCTTACACTTATGCACGTTCACGAACACATAATGGTTAATAATCCACCAATACTACCCAATAATAGTCGACTAAACACATTTTTTTTAGAAAATAAAACAAACTGCAGATCTTGACGCTTCACTTTCCCGCCAAGAAGTCCGGAAATGATAGGAAAAGACAGAGACAAAATAGAATTAAGGTGCGGTTTCATGGAACAATTTCATTTCATTTACATTGATGATCTGTGACTGTCAGTGTCACTACTGCCAGCTGTTGATGCAAACGGTAAAATAAAAGGCGTCGGCTGTCGTCAAAACACGTCAAAAGTCAAAATACTATTTCTCAAAGGTGTTCAATGCTATTATTAATTTGTTTTAAAGTGTTATTGTTACAAAATGATAATGCGTGTTGAGCACGGTACAAAGGGTGCAATGTAATCGTGAAAATATCTTTGTTTCCTTCGATTTAACAATACGTAGGACATAACCTATAAACATGGATTTAACATTTATGCGACCTGTGCAACCCCACGTCTTCAAAGCAATAAAAGATATTGATATAGAAACGCTTATGTCATGTCCTCCTGAAGAAATAAGACCTGTTATACCATGTCTAGTTCGAATGGCATTGATAACTCCATTGGATACAACCAATTACTGTGCTGAAAACAAGAAAGATGTCCTAACATTACTAGCTGGAATCGACCTGGTCAACTTTATAGTGTCGCTTTTATCAATAGAGTTTCATGCTTTGGAAGTAGATCTGAAGAAAGAGCAACAAATGAGGTAAGCTATTATTGTACCTTGCAATACAAAATTCATATTATTTGTTTTATTTGTTGTAAAGATTAATTCTAAATCATTATTTAAATTGCAGACAAAAAAGCGGCTCGCAATGCACTGAATCCTTTTTGGTCCAGAGTATAGTCAATGGTATTGCAAGTGACTTCGAACAATCAGATTCAACTCGACGTGTGAGGCTGGTACTCTCTGAAATCTTGCAGATGCAAGCACAACTGTCAGAATTTAATCAAAACAGGAGTTCCAATTCTGATAGTGGCATCAAACCGTCAGAGCTGTTTGATAATGACATCTATTTGGAAGAAATTACAGATGTGATTTGTATAAGTCTTGCAGAACTTTCGAATTTACTCAATATTTGTGATGTTGTTGAAGTACTTCTTCATGTCAATAAAGGACCAACTATAATATCTTGGGTGGTGGCCAATATGCCAGATATGTTACAAGAAGGTAAGCAATGGATTGTATAATCTTTGATATTTATATGATTGCAATATTTTTGTATTAAAATATTACCTTTTTATTTTTTTACAGTGGCAGAATCATTGGTTTTGAATTCTGAGAGGGGTGAAGAAGGAGGAGTGAGAGCTAAAGCTCTTATGTCTCTATGTGATGCTTGTCCATACATAGCAGCTTATGTGCGATCAAAAGCTGCATTTGCTTCCCGCTTGCCATCCTTGATCATCACTCTTACTCTGACTCATCACCAGGATGACTTGGTATGTCTTGTATAAATGTTACAGATAAAATTTTAGATGAAATGTATGTACCTACAGCTCCTATTTATTTATCTTTATGTTGTAAATTTTAATTTGTTGTTTACAGGTGTCATTCATGTCTGGTCTTTTACTGGGTTCTGACCAGACAACCAGAGCCTGGTTTGCAACATTCTTGAGAAATTCACATAAAAGAGGAAAAGGAGATGGTCATTTGGCTTTAACAAAATTACGCCAAGATCTGCTGAACAGACTGAAAAATGCCACAGCAGGAGTAGAGGCCTCTGCATTGTTGCGACTTTACTGTGCTCTCAGAGGCATTGCTGGTATAAAATTCCAAGATGATGAAGTAGCAGGACTATTGAGACTAGTGACACAAAAACCTCCACCAACTCCAGCTGGTGTCCGTTTTGTGTCATTGAGTTTGTGTATGCTTTTAGCCTGTCCATCCCTAATGTGTAAGTTTATAGCAAATTAACTTTAATACCCATCATTAGTTTGAGGATGTACTGAACAAATTTATTTATTTGTATATGCTATTTATCTTTGTTTGCAGCTGCTCCTGAACATGAGAAGAAGGCAATAGAATGGGTGCAGTGGTTGGTTAAAGAGGAAGCTTATTTTGAAAGGTATGTAGAAGTTATTGTATAGGCGACAATGGCCTGATGATGACAGTGTTGGACTGCAGTTTCGAGGGTCGGTAGTTCGAAATTCGAATCTCGTCGTTTGTTGGACTATGGTGGTGAACCCACTCTTAAAACAAGCTATTGGGACTATCAGTATTACCACAGATCACAGAAACTAAAGGGAGACGTGACAAGGGGGCGGGGCCGGTGTCGCAGCAATATGCCCAAAAACAGAACACATTGCTCATAACAGCAATGATGACAGCAGCGACGTCATAATTTAAAGATTGAGTACTGATACCGCAGTAGATAATGAGCACATACAGGGTGTCCCAAAAACAATGGATAACCCTGTAACCATCGATAGGCCTCGCCATGGTCTCCTTAACGTCCAATTTTGACCCCAGTAAAAATATCACCGTTTTCAAGATTTTTAAGTTTTTGTGCATTTTTAGAAAATTGCCACCTGCGATTACTTTTTCTCATGCCATTTCTACAAATGAGGATACTTTTCAATCTAGTTTTTTTCCTTATCACAAGGGATAGTTGGGCTATCAAAAGAAAAGATTAAAGTTCAACAAACTAGTTTAAAAGTATGAAAATTTTAAGAAATTGCAGAGAAGAAGGAAAAATTAATTCATTGTCTTGCACTTTTGATCAGCCGTCGTGTAAAAAAAATGTAGGAAGACCATCGTGCCCATTACCTTAAAAACTTCCTTGGTTAATTGAGATTCTAAAAAGGTATCACAAGCCTATGTATTCTGTATTATTTTTATCTTATGGCTACTTGAATAGCAACTAGTATGAAAACTGCAAAAATGAGTTTTTCTCGTAATAGTTAAACTAGGACTGCATAGTGGCATTAAATACAAATGGATAATTTTTAGCGTAGGAATTTTAATAAAGCAACATTTTATCATCATCATCATCATCATTTCAGCCATAGGACGTCCACTGCTGAACATAGGCCTGTACCCCAATGATTTCATAATGACCGCTTGGTAGCGGCCTGCATCCAGCACCTTCCTGCTTACCTTTATGAGGTCGTCGGTCCACTTTGCAGGTGGACGTCGTACGATGCGCTTTCCGGTACGTAGCCTCCACTTTAACCCTGCTGCCTCAGTTCTGCAAACTACTGTGCCCTGCACATTGCCACTTCAGCTTGCTGATCCGTCGAGCTATGTCAGCGACTTTAGTTCGTTTACGGATCTCCTAATTTCTGATACGGTTTCGTGAAGAAACCCGAGCATAGCCCCTTCCATAGCACGCTGTCCAAAAAATCCACGTTTCCGAGCCGTGTATTATCACGGGTATCTGTCTATAGGCACATTTATAAGGTTTAAAACAAAAATTAAGTAATCACAAAAACGCAGAACGGACGACCAATGGGGCAACAGGGTTCAAGTGGAGGCTACGTACCGGAAAGCGCATCGTAGGACGTCCACTTACAAAGTGGACCGACGACCTCAAAGGTAAGCAGGAAGGTGCTGGGTGCAGGCCGCTACTACGCGGTCATTATGAAAATCATTGAGGTACAGGCCTATGTTCAGCAGTGGACGTCCTATGGCTGAAATGATGATGATGATGATGACAAAATGTTGCTTTATTAAAATTCCTACACTATCCATTTGTATTTAATGCCACTATGCAGTCGTAGTTTAACTATTACGAGAAAAACTTATTTTTGGAGTTTTCATACTAGTTGCTATTCAAGTAGCCATAAGATAAAAATAATACAGAATACATAGGCTTGTGATACCTTTTTAGAATCTCAATTAACCAAGGAAGTTTTTAAGGTAATGGGCACTATGGTCTTCCTACATTTTTTTTACACGACGGCTGATCAAAAGTGCAAGACAATGAATTAATTTTTCCTTCTTCTCTGCAATTTCTTAAAATTTTCATACTTTTAAACTAGTTTGTTGAACTTTAATCTTTTCTTTTGATAGCCCAACTATCCCTTGTGATAAGGAAAAAAACTGAATTGAAAAGTATCCTCATTTGTTGAAATGGCATGAGAAAAAGTAATCGCAGGTGGCAATTTTCTAAAAATGCACAAAAACTTAAAAATCTTGAAAACGGTGATATTTTTACTAGGGTCAAAATTGGACGTTAGGGAGACCATGGCGAGGCCTATAGATGGTTACAGGGTTATCCATTGTTTTTGGGACACCCTGTATATTGATTACTTTGTGTGTGAATTTCTAATGCGATACTGAGTTTCGAACTTACCGCATTAATTGGCATCTCTCTATGAGTATAAATAACAATTTGTGTTATTTTCCAGTAATTCGGAAGTGACAGCGTCATTCGGAGAGATGCTGCTGCTGATAGCGATCCACTTCCACTCGGGGCAGCTGCCGGCGGTGGGCGAGCTGGTGTGCGCCACGCTCGGCATGCGCGTGCCCGTGCGCCCCAACGGGCTCACCAGGATCAAGCAGGCCTTCACGCAGGAGATCTTCACTGAACAGGTTAGCACATCTTCGACCAGGCTTATGCCTAATTTTTAAGTGACCCCTATGTAAACAAAATTCTTGTTATTTGTTACCATAGGGGTAATTGTGGAATATGGGAGTTCAAGGAAAGAAGTAATTCTTCAGCATTAAACTGTATTTAGCGTTTTCTACAATAATACACAACCACACCTGCCCGCCTCCATGACAGCAGAGTGGTTCACTTCCGTATCCGCTAGTGAGGTGACACGACATTAGTGATGTGGCATTGTTCTCACCACAACACCCTTCCTCAATGACACATCTCCAACAAACAATTAAAGTTTCAAACTAACTTAAATGTTAATACACTTACAAAAAAAAAAAAAACTCATCCCGGGCTGCACCATACCTCTCTAACCATAACTAAAGTATCAAATTCCAAATAAATTATGATGCAACTCAGGGCCTAGTTTGTAAAACTACATTTTACAAAATCCTACCTTGTTTCTACAGTTTTCAAATTTAGATTTAGCCAAAGGCTTAGTACACATGTCAGCAATTTGTTTTTCACTTTGTATATATTTTAGAATAACAATTTGTTTTTCAACTCTATCTCTAATATAATGATATTTCAAATCTATGTGCTTCAATCTTTTATGTTGTTCAGGGTTTTTTGCAATATGAATGGCAGATTGGTTGTCCTCAAACATAACAATTTGATTACACTTTAAATTAATTTCTGTCAGCAAGTTTATAATCCAACAACCCTCAGATATCCCGTTAGCTAAAGCAACATACTCAGCTTCTGTTGAAGATAATGATACACACTGTTGTTTACTGGACGACCATGAGACCGTGCACCCATACAACTGCATTATGTAGCCCGATGTAGACTTCCGGTCAACCTGATCTCCTGCCCAGTCTGCATCTGTGTATCCAACCAAACATTCATCACCGTTCATACTGTAAACCAATTTCATATGTAAAGTTCCTTTTATATATCTTAAAATCCTTTTTAAACCCTTCCATACATCCTCATTTGCACAACCTTGGTAACGACTCAAATAACCCAAAGCATAACACAAGTCTGGTCGAGTACCTAACATAGCATACATAAGACTTCCAACTAACTTTCTACACTTTCTTGTCAATTCTTCATTCTGATAATCTTGTTTCTCAATTTTCATTCCAGGATCCATAGGTGTACTAACCGGCTTGCATTCTTCCATCTTGTATTCCTTCAAAATTTCTTTCAAATAATCTATCTGATCAATTACTATTGACTTTTCATTCCTTTTAATGTTGATTCCTAGATACTTAGAAATTCCTTCCATGTCCTTCATATCAAAGTTTTCCTTAAGTGTTTCTTTTAGCTTTTCAATTTGTTTACTATTTTCTGAAATCAAAAGTATATCGTCTACGTATAATAGTACATAAAATCTTTTTCCTGGCATGTAATATAAACAATAGTCACAGTTACTACGATGAAACCCTTCCTGTATCATTAATTTATTGAACCTTTCATTCCAATATCTCGGTGACTTTTTCAGTCCATACAATGATTTTTGAAGTTTTAATACTTTTCCATCCTGTTCCATACCTTTTGGTTTTTCCAAATATACTTCTTCCTCTATATTTCCATACAAGAAAGCGCTTTTCACATCCATCTGCTGTATATCTAAACCATACTTGCATGTTACAGCCAGCAAGATACGTAAAGTTGGTAGCTTGGCTACTGGAGCATATATTTCAGAATGATCAAACTTACTGTCTTGCTTAAAACCCCTAGCGACCAATCTTGCCTTATAGATACCTTCAGTTCTCTTCACCTTAAAAACCCACTTGCTGTCTATTGTCTTCTGACCTTTAGGTAAATCCGTTTCTATCCATGTATTATTACTTTTCAGTGCTTGCAGCTCCCTATTTATCGCCTCCAACCATTCCTTACTATCCTTCCCAGTTATTGCCTCTTCATACGTTAAGTCTTCTTCGCCTTGTGCCGTCAATCCCACCTCATAATCTTTCAACCTTTGAGGGGTTTTTACTATTCTGCCACTCCTTGTTTTCCTTTCCTCCAACCTTGCTTCATCTGGGCTATGCCATTCTTCTGATTCATATTCCTCGTCCTTGTCCGCATATCTCCTTTGACCAGCACCCACTTCAGATCTTCTTTCTCTCTCTTGTTCTTCATCAACATTTGTTATTTCTTCCGGTAAATTTCCATATTCCTTCTCTTCCATTTCCTCATGATTCTCTATATTCTCACTCTCTTCTCCCATTGTCTCCTCATCATCGCTATGGCACACCTCTTCTATGTCACCCTCCCTCTGACTGATCCTGTTATCTTCCATATCTTCATTTCTTTTCATTCCTAGCACAAAAACAACATCTCTATGAGTTTCAACATCTCTCTTATTTTCAAACCAAATCCTATAACCTTTTGTATTTATTCCATAGCCGACAAACCTACCCATTTTTGCTTTTGAATCCCACTTTAGCCTTCTTTGTTTGGGGATGTGAGTGTATACTTCAGTTCCAAAAGATCTTAATGTATTGATGTCAAAACTTCGTTTATAAATTAGTTCATATGGTGTTTTACCTTTCTGGCTACTGCAACCTGTCCTATTTATTGTGTACACAGCATTACTCACAGCCTCAGCCCACAACTCCTTGCTTACATCCGCATTTATGATCATAGTTCTAGCTGATTCTACAATTGTTCGCATCTCTCTTTCTATTCTACCGTTTTGTTCTGGAGTATACGCCACAGTACATTCATGCAAAATTCCTTTCCTTTTAAACACCCCTTCCAACTCCCTGTTTTTAAATTCCCCACCACCATCCGATCTAAACTTTTTCACCTTGCATTCAAACTCATTTTCAAATTGCTCAAGAAACTCACATATTCTCTCTTTCGTCTCATACTTACTTTTAAGAAAATACACAAACCTGTAGTTACTGTAGTCATCCTTTAATAATAAAAAATATGAAGACCCACCTAAAGATCTTGTCTCCATCGGGCCACATAAGTCTGCATGCACCAAGTCTCCTGGTCGCTCAGCACGGCTCTCACTGCTAAAGAAAGGCAACCTATGTTGCTTGCCCTGTATACAAGACCGACATTGATCAATCTGCCCTTCATATTTGACACTATTTTTATTTAATATTTCCTTGACATGTTTAAAATTTTGATGGGCTAGTCTTTCGTGCCATGTGGACAAACTTAATAAAGCATTACAGTCATTTTGATCAGAGTTACTTTCAATCTTAAATTCCATTAAATACAAACTTCCTACACGTTTAGCTTGAGCCATAACTGATCCATTTTTGAGAAATTTACAATAGTTTTCACTTGATGATAACATGTAGCCATGGTCAACAGCACTAACCAAAGAAAATAAATTCACATTTAAATCAGGCACATATAACACATTATGCATGACAGAAGGTATGTATTCTGAGCCATTGTAAGCCAACAAATGTATGTCCCCCATGCCTTCAACATTTAACCTTTTCCCATCCCCAACTATTACCTTTTTATCAATTTTACAAAAATTCTGAAGAAACCTTTTATTATATGTCATATGTTCGCTAGCTCCTGAATCCATTATGAAATCCAAATTATTTTTAATATGTAATTTAGGCTCTTGAACTATGAATGCATTTTTAAACTTATTTTGAGATAAATTACAGTTTTTAGCCAAATGTCCAGACTTGTTGCACTGATAACACTTTACTTGTTGGTTACACTCAGCAGCCATATGGCCGGTTTTGTTACAACGATAGCACTTTTTCTGATGACAGTCACGCTTCATGTGTCCAACTTTGCCGCACACAAAACACTTTCTATCACTGTTGCCATTTCCCTTGAATTTGGTTCTGGTCGCAAATGCAGATGATGTAGACTCCCCTTGGTTATTTCTTTCTTCTTCAATCAATAATCTTGAGGTTAGTTCCTTTAGGTTTTGTTGACACGCAGGCACCGACTCCCAAGCACTTACAAAGTGTTTATATTTCTCTGGCAAAGACATCAAAATCTTGGTAATTAGCATATTATCTGATGGTGGTTCGTTCAACGTTCTTAGCTGGTTAGCTATTTCTTCCAGTTTTGAAATGAAGTTCATCATTGGTTCTTCAAAGGTTAAGTTAAAGAAACGTTGTTGTACGAGATGCACACTGACCTGCGATGAGGGCTCATACAAAGCAGATAACCTTTGCCACATTTCCCTGCTAGTCACACAGGACGACAAATACGTCATAACCTGTTCCTCAACTCTTGTTACAATGATCTCCTGTGCTTTGTAATCCTTTTCATACCATGCTTGTTTTTCTTTCGAATCCTCTTCCTTAAGTAGCTCGCTGCCAATGACCACATCATACAACTTCTTAGCCCTTAGTATCACGGACAGTTGAAACCTCCATGCCCCCCAATTTCTGCCATTCAGCATCATACGCTGCTCCGCTCGACCCTCCATGATCTTGATTTTCGGAAACCTTCCCAACAGCTTAATTTCCGCACCACCTCGTGTGAAAACAGGTTACCCACACCAACCCACGCCGCGCCACTTCAGACAAAGATGCTAGTTTTATAGTCACTTTCCCTTAAACTCCAACACGCGTACGCGTGTCTGGGCCCATAACCAATTGTGGAATATGGGAGTTCAAGGAAAGAAGTAATTCTTCAGCATTAAACTGTATTTAGCGTTTTCTACAATAATACACAACCACACCTGCCCGCCTCCATGACAGCAGAGTGGTTCACTTCCGTATCCGCTAGTGAGGTGACACGACATTAGTGATGTGGCATTGTTCTCACCACAACAGGGGTCACTTAAAAATTAGGTATTGATGGTGAAAACGGGCATTAACCTTTTTCTTATAGATCCTTAGGAAATCAAGTAAGGACCCCCTTAGTAAAAAAAAGCAGAAATACATTTCGGGATTTACGAGACTTGGTGGCATTTATTTATTGCTAAAATGGTCCATAGATAAAGCTGCGGGACCCCCAGAGGTCCGCGGACCACAGGTTAAGAAACACTGCCTTTTAGGGACATGTTATGTTACTGTAAATGAGGGTTTTCGCGATTGAAAAATCCGCCAGATGGCAATACGTAGACGCGAGGTCCAAATGCTGCATGATTGGTTATTTTTGACATGACATTGACAGATATGTCAAAATCCACCAGCATTTGGACCTCGCTTCTACGTATTGCCATCTGGCGGATTTTTCAATCGCGAAAACCCTCATTGAATAGTCTCTCACAATGTCAAGGCCTGTTTTGTCATTCTCCTTGCTTAAATATTGTTGCTAATGTACATATGTCAATATTTTCAGGTGGTAACAGCTCATGCAGTAAAGGTCCCAGTCACAGCAAATCTCAACAGCAACATACCTGGATACCTTCCAGTTCACTGTATCCACCAGTTGCTCAAGTCAAGAGCATTCTCGAAACATAAAGTCACCATAAAAACATGGATTTATCGACAGATCTGCAACTGTATAGCACCTCTGCATCCTGTTATGCCTGCTCTTGTTGAAGTCTATGTGAACTCCATTCTTATTATCAATAACAAAGGCACCAACGAATATGTTAACAAACCAATAACTGAAGAAGAAATCAGGAAAGTTTTCAGGAATTCTATATTTGGTGCCAATTTCGATGATCAGAATAAACCTGTAAACCCAATGGAAATTGAAAATGGTGAAACACCGATTGATATTGACATAGAGAAACCCACATTAGCCTCTCAACTTTTACTCATCTATTACCTCCTCTTATACGAAGATGTCAGACTAGCGAATGCCGCAACCCTTATCGCTAATGGAAGAAAAGTTAAAAGTTACTCTGCTGCGTTTTTATCTGAACTTCCAATAAAATATCTGTTACATCAAGCCCAAAAAGATCAGTTGAGTTATGGGTGCCTTTTCAGTCCTCTGCTCCGTCTGTTAGCGACACATTTCCCTCAGCTATCTCTCGTAGACGATTGGATGGATGACCAAGTATTCGGATCCTGCCGCCTTCAAGTTGATATCAATCTGACAGAAACCGCTATCAACGAAGCTTTCAACAGCATCGACGAAAACCCGTATAAGACTGGTAAAATTTTGAAGGCTATGCTTAGTAAAAATCCAACCGACATATGGCCATTTGCCGAAGTATTCGTGAAATATTTCAAAAGTGTATTGGGAGACAAAGTACCGCGACATATCCAGGAGCTTTATCGTGAAGTTTGGTTACGCCTCAATACAGTATTGCCGCGATGTCTTTGGATAATGACAATAAATGCTCTATTGGACCTTAACGGCAATGTTATAGTAACCCAAGAAAATGTACTTTTGGATCCTTTACAAGTACTTCGCTGTGACATACGAGTGTTTAGATGTGGTCCAATTCTGAAAATAATATTGAGAATCTTAGAAGCTAGCTTGGCGGCTTCAAGGAGTCAACTCAGCCGGCATCTATTAGATAAACCCTTGTTGGAAAAAAGCGGACAGCTGACGTCGGATGCCGAGAGAGAAGAGTTGAAGAATGCTCTTGTGGCCGCCCAAGAGAGTGCCGCTTTACAAATTTTGTTGGAAGCTTGTTTAGAGACATCAGAGGACAAATCGAAACCAGAATTGATGTGGTCTTTGCGAGAGGTGCGAAGCATTATTTGTTCATTTCTTCATCAAATATTCATTTCTGAGCCCTCATTGGCAAAATTGGTACATTTTCAAGGATACCCTCGTGAATTGCTACCAGTCACCGTCCAGGGAATCCCATCTATGCATATTTGTTTGGATTTTATACCTGAACTTCTAAGTCAAGCTTCATTAGAAAAGCAAATCTTCGCCGTCGACCTTGTGTCTCACTTGTCAATACAGTATGCGTTACCTAAAGCAATGTCAATTGCTCGACTATGCGTGAACACTCTTTCAACGCTTTTATCAGTGTTGCCATGTGACTTGCGTTTAGAGTTATTCCAGCCGGTTTTAAAATCACTTGTTCGAATTTGTGTTGCTTTCCCATCTTTGTTAGATGACATCACTTCTTTGCTGCTGCAACTTGGAAGAATATGCGAATCGCAAGCCTCTCTCGGCCATTGTTGGAACGACACTCCAATATTAGGAGAAGGAGCGTACGTGAGTGCGGAAAAGGAAAGTGATTCAAAAGTTTTAGTTGCCGAGGTTTTATGCAGAGATATAAAGTTAACCATGTCTGAAATTATAGATAAAGCTCTTTTGAACGATAAATTGTATTAAATATCAGAGCTCCATGAATACATAATCATAAGTTTTCATCATTAAAGTATTAAATAAGGCCAATTCCCTTTTTATTTAGCAAACCCTGTATGATAAGTTGGTATTTACTTTAAAAATTTAAAAGACGAAATGTGCTTCTTACAACTATTTATTGATATCAATACATTATTAATAAGGTATTCGATGGTTCTACTGGGTTCTGTGTTTCTAGTTGTCTATACATCCAAGCACACTGGTTTCTTGCAGCATGGTTGCCGATGTCGTTGTACAGTTGCGCCTGAAAAATTCGACATAATTCATTTTAGTTCTATGCGTATCGCATCGCCTATGCTGCCTAGAAAATTATTAGCGTAAATAGTGAAAAATTGGTAATATAATAGCCGTTTTGTAGGTAGGTACAGTCGACAGCACATCAGTTATACATTTTTGTTTAGCCTAATATTTTCAGCGTGCCTCTGAACTGTCAAATAGTTGCAAAAAATGGTTCTGTTTGACGTGACGGTGACGGCATCACGCATCTCTTTTTATCACAGTGTTGCTGCTGTGACATCTCGCTCGCTCAGTTCTTTGTTGCTCTATTCCGCTAGGTATATTAACTTTATGGTCTGAACCAGTCCTAAATTCCTAATAGTTCAGAAACTTAGTTCTCGCACACTTGCATCAAACCGTAACCACACGGTTACTCTGTGGTGCGGTGGACTTAGAAAAGATTCTGAACGCCTTACAAAATCGGCATTATCAACATGAGCCTTCTCGTTATTTAATTTTGAGCGTTAAGAGTTGCATCTCAAACTAATTTGAAAAAAATAAAGCTCAGTTGGAAGAGCAGTCGCCCGGCAAGCGAAAGGTCGTGGGTTCAATTCCTGCCTTAGGCAGTTCGATTTTTTCAAGTTATTTATTATTTTCAAAATGCGCTATCTCACCTGCAAGTACCAGGTCTGCAGCAGGCGGGAGTGCGCGCAGACCCTGGCGAAGTTCTTCTTGACGGTGTCGAGCGCGTCGCAGCACGACTGCAGCACCAGCGCGCGCGCCTCGCCCGCCACCGGCGCAGATGCGATCCGGCACTTGGTGTATAGCAGGAGCGCTGCACGTTAAATAAGTTTTTAAAATATTTTGACCATGTTATAGCTTTCATAAGCGTAATAACTAAAAAAAATGCCGAATAAAAAATACAATTTTAAAGGNCTGGACGCAGACCGCTGCCAATCGATCAACATGGAAAGCATTGGGGGAGGCCTATGTTCAGCAGTGGACGTCCTATGGCTGAAATGATGATGATGATGATGAAATAAATGACCACGACTGCAACACCAGCGCCTGCCCGCCACCGGCGCCGACGCGATCCGGCACTTGGTGTATAGCAGGAGCGCTGCACGTTAAAGATGATCTACACTGAACTGTCTTACCAAACTCATGGATTGATTCAACTGGCGCTGGTGGCGCCCCCCTGTCAATGTCATGAGTGGGACAGTTCACTGTATTGGGTCTATACATGAGTTTTTAAAATAGTCTGTGCGCGTAGTGTGAGTTTACGTCAAACGCATTCGATACCGACAGCGTTAAAAATATATAAAGATTTTATAGTTCTTAAAAGTTTTCGCTGGGGGCGCTGTAAAATCCGTCATACATTTAATGACACTTTTTTACGCAGTCGATATTAAATGCATTTGACGTAAATGACCATGTAATAGATTCCATATGGGTGCCTAATATTTTATAAAGAAAATGCCGAATAAATAACTACAATTTAAATGTCTTAACAAATAAATGACCACGACTGCAACACCAGCGCCTGCCCGCCACCGGCGCCGACGTGATCCGGCACTTGGTGTATAGCAGGAGCGCTGGACGTTAAATAAATAGTCTGTCCACGTTATAACTTCTATATGGGTCCCTCACTTAATATTTTATAAAAATAATTCCGAATAAAAACTGACATTTAAGCTTAGTTGCACCACCTAACTTTGACCGTAACTTTAACGTTATCCGGTGTTTTTTGTATGGATTTGACTGATTTTTGACGTTTGTTAAAGTCAAAGTAAGATGGTGCAACCCAGCCTAAGTCTTAACAAATAAATAACAATAGAGCACGACTGCAGCAGCAGAGCGCGCGCCTCGCTTGCCACCGGCGCCGACGCGATCCGGCACTTGGTGTACAGCAGGAGCGCTGGACGTTACATGAGTTTTTAAAACAGTCTGTGGGCGTAGTATGAGTTTACGTAAACGCATTCGATATAGACTGTATAAAAAAGTGACATTAAGGCTGGGTTGCCATCTACTTTAACTTTGACAAACGTCAAAAATCGGTCAAACTCCATACAAAAAGCACTGGATAGCGTTAAAGTTAAGTGATGCAACACAGCCTAAATGTAAGAATAAGAAATTTATTCATAATGTTCATTACATGTATGACGGATTGTACAGCGCCCCCAGCGGAAACTTTCAAGAACTAAAATCTTTAATATTTTTAACGCATTCGATACGCCCCCTTACAAAAAAAATGCTTCACAAGTCGCCTCCTCGTATAATAACAAAGCGCATGTTTTATTCTATCGATAATTTGGTTAGAAAAAATCGTAGATCCGTCAGCTGTCACAGCGTTTAGTAAAATAAAGCTACTTAAATAACCAATTACCTCTGGCACAGTCATAAGCGCTCCCATGCGCCATAATCCCCGGCAGCACTTTTCTTATCAGCAGCAACGCATTCTTGGCGCAGCCCATGTTCAGCTGGACGTTGGCTATATGCATTTCTGCTGTCGCACCCAAATAGTGCAAATGATATTTCTTAGCCAAAGACACGGCCTCGTTCAATAACATGATATTAGTTGACTGGATATTGCTAAATGAATGTTGTACTTGAGACATAAGAATCATAGCCTTCAGTTTTAAAGACATGTAGTGTAAGCTGTCGTCTTCTGTCTTGCAGAAATCTAAAATGTCGTGAAGAGATTCAAGCGCCTCAGTCGAGTCTCCTTTTAGGAAATACATTTCGGCTTTCAGTAATTGACTTTCCCATCTATCGGATGATGCCAACTGTCTGATGCTTTGTTCTGCTTCTTCCCATTTTCCTGAAAAATTGAAAATATGTTATGTGAAAATTACATTCGGACCGGAGAACGGTTGGTTATGCAAAGACAATTTTGAGAAGTCATTTAGTACAACCTTCTACCATATAGAAACGACATTGACTGGCTTGGTGTTTGGTGAATTGTTACACGAGCGGATTGCTAATTATGTTATTTATAATATCCTTTTATTTTGGACCAATTACGAATTGGCCCAAAACGAATTGGACCAATAACGAATTGGCCCAATAGCGAATTCGACCAATCGCGAATTGGACTAATCGCGAATTTGTAAATTTTTCACGATTGGACCAATTGCGAATTGGACCAAGGCGAGCGCGGGTCACTGACCTGCCATGAGCGCGGCGGCGGCGTGGTTGCGCGCGGCGACGGCCAGCAGGCGCGGGTGCTGCAGGTGCGAGCGAGCGCGGGTCACTGACCTGCCATGAGCGCGGCGGCGGCGTGGTTGCGCGCGGCGACGGCCAGCAGGCGCGGGTGCTGCAGGTGCGAGCGAGCGCGGGTCACTGACCTGCCATGAGCGCGGCGGCGGCGTGGTTGCGCGCGGCGACGGCCAGCAGGCGCGGGTGCTGCAGGTGCGAGCGAGCGCGGGTCACTGACCTGCCATGAGCGCGGCGGCGGCGTGGTTGCGCGCGGCGACGGCCAGCAGGCGCGGGTGCTGCAGGTGCGAGCGAGCGCGGGTCACTGACCTGCCATGAGCGCGGCGGCGGCGTGGTTGCGCGCGGCGACGGCCAGCAGGCGCGGGTGCTGCAGGTGCGAGCGAGCGCGGGTCACTGACCTGCCATGAGCGCGGCGGCGGCGTGGTTGCGCGCGGCGACGGCCAGCAGGCGCGGGTGCTGCAGGTGCGAGCGAGCGCGGGTCACTGACCTGCCATGAGCGCGGCGGCGGCGTGGTTGCGCGCGGCGACGGCCAGCAGGCGCGGGTGCTGCAGGTGCGAGCGAGCGCGGGTCACTGACCTGCCATGAGCGCGGCGGCGGCGTGGTTGCGCGCGGCGACGGCCAGCAGGCGCGGGTGCTGCAGGTGCGAGGCGAGCGCGGCGGCCAGCGCGGGCTCCCCCCGCCACGCCGCCGTCACCACGAGCCCGGCGCACGCGGTCGCCATCGACTCCGTCCAGTGCCACACGCTGCTGCTGCCCACGTTGCACTCTGTAATTGCCATAAAAAAAACTAAGAACAACTAGCATGACGAATAGTCAATATACACTTACATAATCAAAACCGAATGTTCTTTGCAAAGAACTATTATTTTCAATCGATAATTTTTGTTCCTCCTTAGGCACATCGTAAATTTTAGCGAAGGCCTCCAGATACGAACTTTAAATTAGAATAAATACTCACTAGTATTCAAATTGAGAAGCAGCTGGCAGCTCACAGACGCCATCTCCGTTTTCCCATACAGAGCCCACAGTGCCGCCGTGTTAGCCAAGCCCGCCAAAGTTAAGTCAGTCATGGAATGCAAGTAGTTCAACGAATCCCCCTTAGTGATGATCTGCGAATGACGAGCAATCTAAACACGGCTGATATATCTGACAGTTCACAAGAAAGAACTAGAAGGCAGTGCTGGGCGAATGTAATTTTTTTGTCTTCACAAAGCAAAAAATTATATTCGCCGGAAGCCCCACAGAAACTAGCTCTAAACTAAGCTGTAAAAAACTTCGCATTTGCTTTATACAAGGTGACACATTTTTGTTTCCATCCACATTGTACTGTGCCACATTTTCACTTTAACTTCCATCAAGTGAACCCGGCCGAGACCTTATTCCGAAATACGTGCGCACGGGATCTTTCCACTCGCTTACTTAAGTTTTAAAGGAGCTTATAGATTAAGTAACAACCAACACTACCAAAAATGGGAATTCTGAACTCCATGGTACCTTTTAAGGAGAATCCAGCGGTGACTCCACATCCTGGTCTTACAGTTTAATATTAGAAGTAGTTGAAGTAAATTTATTTTTTAAACAATTTATAAAATATAATGAAATTAATAGTAAATTCAATAATTTAACTATAAATTCAAATAATGCTTTATGAGCTAAGAAATAAAATGGCTAATTCATTACAATAAATGTCATGTATAAATGCAATAAAAAACCATAGAAATGTAGAAAGACTACTAGGGTCCGATCTTTATAGCGCAAAATAGAATTGCTGAAAATGATGTGGATGACGCCACAACTAAATAGTGTTTTTGAAAAAGGTAAAAATTAATTTAAATGCTAAAAAGCTTATTAAGGATGTCGTACTAGATGACTAAAGGAGAAATATGGAAACTTCAGGCTTCCCCAACCAGCCTGGTGATGTATTGTTCAATTTTCTGAGTAAATAATCATCATCATCATCAACAGCCCTTTACAGTCCACTGCTGGACTATGAGCCTCCTCCACTATAGTGGAGGGTTTTGCCATTATCCCCACGCTTGGCAGGCGGGTTAGAGATCGCAGTTTAAAAGATTGATGTTTTTCAGAGAGCGCTGCTGCCCGTTCTTTGTTTGATGTGTAGTCCCTAAGTCGCCTCTTGTGACACCCGTGGGAAGAGTAGGGGTTGATGACAAATGTATTTTACTCTGCCGTCACCACACGGCTTACGTATTAGTAAGAGTAAATAATAAGTATTATTAATCTCTTCTAATCATTAACTACAAAGCAGTTTTTTTTATTTGACTGTCCTTCCTTATTACAAGGCGCAACGTATCATAACGTTTTGTTTTGCTAGGGGAAAAGTATATCAATGTAGATGGTGACAAAAAATTCACGAATGACATGAACACGAGTTAATACTTCGACAATCCAGTCTTGATAGAAAAAATATCATACTACGAGCAACTTGGGATCGTTGAGGTATTAACACTGATCTTCTACACAATCTAGGCATACAGAAACCTTATAAAATCTGTGATCGACACTGATTTAATATTTTAGATGTCGTCTGTACACTGAGCACAAATAAATATCGTTCTCGTTATGGTATGGTAATCGTATTAATTGTATGATAACCAGAACAGCGCCGCTTCGTCTACTTTACTCGCGCTAGAGGTACTGCGATCACAGATTTAAAAACAGTTTCAGTATACCCTCGTAAAGCCCGATCTCCGAGCACGTAGAATTTTGTCCAATGACCCCAAGCTACCCATCCTTATCGCTCGCGCGTAATTATATTGCTGTCGCGACTGTGCGACGCAGTGAGTGTGCGAGCGCAACAGCAACATAATTACGGGCGAGCGATAATGATGGGTAGCTTGGGGTCATTGGACAAAATTCCACGTGCTCGGCGACCAGACTATAGCACACAGAAGGCACAAGCCGTGCGGAAAAAAAACTGCAAAAAAAAACAAAAATGTACCACAAATAAGCTGCTACGTACATTCGCGCCAGCACTGCCGCTGGGCGGCTGTGGAACCGACCTGGAAGACCTCGGAGGGCCTGGCGCCGTTGACGGCCGCGTGTTGGGCCATCAGTTGCGCGGCGGCGGCGGCCACTCGCGGCGCGCGCGGCACTCGGGCCAGCAGCGCCGCCCGCCGCGCGCGCCCGCCCGCTAAGGCGCCCCACGCCGCCGCGTGCGCTAAGCACGCGCCGTCGCCCGCCTCTTGCGCAGCAGCCAGCGCCTCGCGAACTCCCTCCATTGCTACCGACCTAATGAGGGCTATCGTTTTAGCGCTCACCAGTTGGCGCCACTGTAGAGTAAGGTCCTGTCACTTGCTAGTAGCGAAGACAGTGGCACCAACTGGTGAGCGCTAAAGTGGTAGGAGGACTATCGCATTTGCACTCATCAAGATGGCGCCACTGTAGAGTAAGGTCCTGTCAATCGCCAGGGGTGCCAACTGTTAAGTATAAAAACGATAGCCCTCATTTGTACGACACAATGGGTGCGTTTCCCAGAAAAAAGCTCTCGCAAAATCCCAATCGCTACGGCAGTTTTCGGCAAGGACACTTCAATAGTGTTTGCTAACTGTGACAGCGCTTGCCGCTTGGCGATCGCCATTTTGCTTCCAAGCGCTTTTTTCCGCGAAACGCCCCCAATAATTTATTGCTATAGGTGTACCAGAATCTCATGGCAAACAAAAATATTGGAAAAGTGTGTTTTTCATATGGCAATTGTCTATGGCTTTATTGTCACCTGTCAAAGTAAATCAAGAGATCTGTCAGCCGCAGCAGATATTTTGTAATCTCTTCATGCCTATTTGTTATTTTTGTGAAAAAGTCGAAAAAGCTCAAGTAAGTCATATTGTTTTCAATGTGTATTGTAAAATAAGGCATAATTCAAAGTCAATCTTTGATTTTAAAGTGCGTCGTTGAGTTGACAGTAAGTTGGAGTGAAATGTTTTGATACATTTAGTTTATTACCTAACTGCGTCAGAAGGAGGGTTATGTTTATTTTTATATTATTCTTACCTAATAGCTGCTTTATCGGGGTTTTCAGGTGTACTTCATACATTGGTGCAGAGGAATGGTGAAAATGTTATGACCATGTAAAGAAAATTGAAAAAGATTTCATCAAGCAAGTTTGAGTAATTGAAATGCTGAAAGATAAAAAATGCCTCTTTAACTTGATCATCTATTGAAGAATAAGAAATGCAAGTGGAGTTCTTAGAATCGTTTTCTAGTTCTGAATGAAATGATAAGTTACAAGTATGATACTTAATAAAATTATTTACAGTAATACACGGTTTACTTATTTTTCAAGACATACTCCTATGTTAAAAACCCGATGTACCTATAACAACATTCTTCATACACACACCTAAAATGTATAGGTAGGCATTCGTACTTCATGTTATATTAATATTAGGGTAAGGTGGGGCACAATGAAACAAAAAAACGTTTTTTGTTCATAGAAACAAAATACCTTAATATTTTAATAAACTCTTTTCAAGAAAATTTACATTAGCTATCCCTTTAATAATCAACAATATCAAACTACATGTTTCTATAAGTAATCTTAAATTATTGGCACTTTTTCGAGATCAATTTTTTGTTGTACTGTGCCCCAGATCTGGGGTACAGTAAAACTAGGGTAGGGGTACTATGAAACAGATTGGGGCACAGTCCGTAAACACTCTTCGCACTTTGTAGTTTGGNGCTGTGCGCCGCACTGAGCCCGCGCGCCTCCCTAGGCGAGCTGTGCACTGGTGTCATGAGTTGTGCAGTGCACAAATCTGTAACGCTTGTTTAAACGCACAAAACGGTAATGTGTCACATGTTGTAGCATCTCCAAAGGTTAGTATTTTCTGCTGAGTTGATCCAGGTTCTTATGAAGGGGCTAACACCCGTATTCACAAACCATGCTTGCTTAAGTGAAGCAGCAAATCGAACGCACAGCGTTGAATAGAGCTCTGTGATTGTTTCGCTTGTGACCCTGTGCGTCCACGCGCACTTTGAGACGACCTCATAGTAATGTTTGTGAATATGGTAAGACAGGGTCGGACTGGGCCGGAAGGGCCCGGGTGGCTGATAGCAATCCCGAGGCCCGAGACTAGATCATGGTGATGGGATACTATCGAAAAATACTGAGATACACAAATTGAGATAAACAAACTGTAAAAAATTTATTACAATACTAAAATAAAGTAAAATAATAAGTAGGGTAGGGTGGGGCACAATCCGCACAATGAAACAAAAAAACGTTTTTTGTTCATAGAAACAAAATATCTTATTATTTTAATAAACTATTTTCAAGAAAATTTACATTAGCTATTCCTTTAATAATCAACAATATCAAACTACATGTTTCTTTAAGTAATCTTAAATTTATTGGCACTTTTTCGAGATCAATTTTTTGTTGTACCTACTGTGCCCCAGATCTGGGGTACAATAAAACTAGGGTAGGGGTACTATGAAACAGATTGGGGCACAGTCCGTTAACACTCTTCGCACTTTGTAGTTGGGCGTATATCGCACGACCTGTCCCTCTTCTTCTCGGTTTTCCTTTTTTTCTTGAAATACCTTTACAATGTGCTGAAATCAACATTTTTCAGATTTTCTGCTTCTCTTAAGTTCATATCTGCTTCATTAGGTCTTCGCTATATCCGTTTTTCTTTTCCGGTTACGAACCATTGTGGTGTTTTCTAAAAACAAAAACTTATCTTACACTGAAACATGTTTTACTGTGCCCCGTTTCACTGTACCCCATGACCCCCTTCAATAACACAAAAACATAATAACATTCTTTAGGTTATAAACACCGGCCTTCGTCTGATGTCAATATTACAAGAAATATGCAAGAATTATTAAAAAAATAGCCATACATACCTTTGGTAAACAGTGTACTAATAAAATCGAAAACCATTTCGTGAAAAAAGATACGAATTACTTTCAAAAATCAGTTTTTTTGCAAGAATTCAACAGGCAGCTTTCAAATTGAGAAAAGACAACTGCACCAAGATGGCAGTGCGAACGCTTAAGAGCGTTTACGCCGTTTGGNATATTAAACTTGTTTTACTGTACCCCGTGTGTCACTGTGCCCCCTGTAACCCTAGTCATAAATAAAAAATTAAACAGTATCAAGATCGTTTAATCCAATTTCCCCAGTATTGCACTCAACAAAGTTTATTTTCCCCATTTGCCATGAGATTCTGGTACACCTATACTATCATGTGGTTTGTTGGTAGTAACAGCTCAAGATTACAATCCTGATTTTGAACTTTAATTTATCACTTCAAATTGTATCATATTCACAGCAGTGATTTGTGATGGTGTGATTTTGGGAAGGAAAACTATTATTATAAACAAGACTCGTGTGGCGACAACTGCATTATCATAATCCAGTTCTCGCCAGCGTTACAACACTTACATATGCCCAAATTGAGTGTGCATGGCGGCGCGGTTCAAAGCAGCATATCGAAAATTCTTGTTCCTGTCGTTACAGTTACTACCGCCATACACGCTTAGTACCGAGCGATCGAAACAGTTGTACAGAGAAGCTTGAGCTCCACAGAATTCCTTCATTCTTATACAGTTTAGAAAACTAAGGAAGTGCTGAAAAGTTACAAAATATTTTTACAAATAATCAATTATTACTGAAAAAACTAGTTTTATAGCCTGACCAGGAACATAAAAACCCTGGCATAGAGGCGCCTCAATTGCATTTGATAGTGCAACACTGAGTACAGTCGTACCTGTGTTAAATTAATAGGCTAAATTTATGTATCAGGATTCAGGATTACGGGCTAATTTGATATTTTCATAAATTACCGAAAAAATATTATTAAAGGTAACCTGGTTTAAATAAATTAAATGAAACCATCAATCGAGCTAGTAGGATTTATTTTATTATTCATCAATAATCAAATTCAGAACTTGAATATTCAACTGCAATGTCTGCTCATGAACGCTTCAAACTCGGTACTTCTTTCCCAATTCCATAAAATTCAAAACTTAGAAAGTGACAAAAAACTTTAAAATAGGTAGTTGAAACAGACTACAGCTAATTTTCATAGTGGACTGTACTATACGATAAACTTGTCAGTCAATTTGACAACCTTTGTCGGAAACATTATTCAATGAAAATGTTGTCCGAACCGTTAGTATTTCTCTTCGACAAATACATTAACACATTGTGAACCACTTTTCTTTCACGACTATAAAAATATTTTAGCAATTTAATTCACAAAATCAATTGCACACATTTAAAATAAAGTTTGTTTACACTTTGACAACAATAGACTGACATGCAAGGTGACATGTCAATGAAGTTTTCAGTTACTGTTGCCATTAAAAGAAATTAGTACCATTAGTTTTCCGCAACATGGCGAGGGTTTTTATGTTCCTGGTCAGGCTATAAATATTGCACTTTCAAGTTTTATACTGTTGGAATTAAAGACTTACAATGTCTGGATATTCTGGTATATCATTTATGATCTGCAAAATAGTTTTCTGTAACTGGCGAGGTGGCATTGCTTTTCTTTCGTTGATTTGGAGCAAATTGGCCTGTTGCGCCGTAAATAATTCAGCTTGCTTTCTTGACCATTGACACTCTTCAAAACTGCTGAAATATTTCAACATAAATTGCCATTAATCTTTTGGTACATATCACCACTTAAGCCACTTAAAACAATATGATTACTTATAATACACTAGGTTCTCCCCGCGGCTTCACCCGCGTGAAATTGAGTCTGTGACAGATCGTCATAAATTATAGCCTATATGTTATTCTGGGTTATAAACAATAATACTGTAAAGTTTCATCAAAATCCGTTCAGTAGTTTTTGCGTGAATGAATAACAAACATTCAGACATCCAGACATCCAAACTTTCGCATTTATAATATTAGTAAGAAGTAAGATTAGTAGGCTGAGATGAATATAGGTGAGGTCATATAAATTAAAAACTTACTTGTCTCTGTCAATAATATTCATTTTCATAGACAGTTCAGTAGGTTTAGCTTCTTCAGACAATGCTGGTGATGTTGAAGTAGGACCTTGGGGTTCCATGTTGTTGAGTTTCTGAAAATTACTTACATAATTAAATAATAATAATACTAATAATAAAAATACATGACTAATACACATAGAAAATACCTTGCCCAATACAGTTGTATTCATGTGCACAAAAATTAATAACTTAATTTAGTATACCTTATGATTTTTTTTAAGTGAATATTATTACCTCTTTACTCAATGATCTCATCATTAAACCAGGTCTACCTCTTTGGTAATACAAGCAAAATGATTTGTACAGTGATACCACTTGTGTAAAACTGAGTTTGTCCAAGTGCAATAGTATTCTTCTCAAGTAAAATCCTGAAAGTAAAAAAAATAAATAAATAAATAATAAATATCCTTGGACATTTTACACTGCGCTTCTAGTCCCAAACTAAGCAAAGCTTGTACTATGGGTACTAGACAACGGATATAAACATAAAGTATATAAAGTAACAATAATGTGTTATGGGTATTATAACCATATAATGTTAGAGTAAGTTACTGCACTAGTTTTGGTTGTCATTTAAATATGTAACTTAAAATGGTTTTAAAGGAATTAACCTCAACAATTTCTAATATCTTATCTACTTACCTAAAACACTGTATCTGGTTATAACACATGGATTAGTTTCATTCTGTTCAATCATCAATTTGTCAATGGTGGACGTAACACAATCCATAAGTGCGCTAATGCCATTAACATAAATATTTTGTAGTCGAACACAAAAATTCTGCAGGTGAACGCTCAACAAATTGTACCTTCCATCAGTTAGAAGAGTTTCTAATTCTTTAAATTCCATATCAGGACACTGTAAACATTATTTTCATATAAGAACAAGAATTACAAATAGTTTGTGAGTGAATCTTTTCATAAAAAAAAAACTGTCTATCTTTAATTGTGTACAGTCATGATGATAATAATAATCCAATTATATTTCATATAATTTTACAGGGCAATCAATATAGTCATAGCATACCACAATAAATTCATAAAATAATTTTACATACCTGAATTAATTTCAATGCCAAAATACAGAAATCTTTTCTATATTTAGGAGCAACAATACAATCAATTTTTTGTTTCTCTAAAACAGAAATTCACAAATTAGTTAGACCACAATTTTATTTAGTGACTATGCCTAAGATTATGCCTTACAGAAGAGGATCTTAGATTTTTTTTAAAATTAAACAAGACAGGCCTGAAACCATTGAGGATAAAATGATTGGTTCTTCGTAAAGGCTTCTAGATGCAGAAATATATAAACTCTTAGGTATTTTAGCATCAAAGAAAGACATAAATTGCGCTTCTGAAGCCGGCTAAATACTTATTCCGACAATTGCATTGTTACGTATTTATGCAACTCGGAAGCACAATACGGACAGCGTAAGATCGGTCATTGTGGAAGCTGGAAAGCCTTGGGGGAGGCCTCTGTCCAGCATTGGATGTTATAGGGCTGAAACTATATAACAGAGCCCCGATTACGGTAACTTTTATAACGTCTACAATCCAGACGCGTTTCTGATTCTGCGATACGATTGGTCAAAACAGCTGACGTACGCTGTTGAACGACCAATCGTATCGCAGAATCGAGAAGCGTGTCTGGATTGTTGACGGTAAAAAATACCGTAATCGGGGCTCAGTATAGCGCATGTTACGGAATCAATGTTTTATTTTTACCTTCGACTTTTAGAAGCCCATACTCCCGTATAAATGCCACGACTGCTATTTTGTGAGGCGTTATATTTTCATCGTGTCCTTTGATGATTAACTTTACAAAATCTAAATTATCGTTTACTAAATCCATTATAGGAAATTTAAATTACAATACCCGGCCATACAAACAAACATCAGAAACAANCGTTTCCCGCGCTTTTTTCAAACAATTTTTTGTTTGACATGACAATGACATTGAAGTTTGACTGTTGACAGCTGATTTAGAGCTGTGCCTTTTATATTATATCTATATTAGGGAATCAGGGGGAATCAGACTCAAACGAGTAATCGTTATACACCCACTCAAGTACTTCAAATTTGTTATTTCATTTATTTAATAATTTTCACAAGCAAAGATCTTATCGCGCTGACATGACAAAAGTGTGAGTATGAAGTGCTCCCCCTCAGTCCCTCATCATAAAATCATTCAATCATCAAGAAGGAAGAGCTTTGGAATTTGGAAGCTCTATCTACGTTTTTGAGATTTATCATGTCTGTGGATTTAGCCCTACACACACTATGAGCCATTGACAAGTGGGCATAGAGCCCAATCAAATGCTTGTTCTTGTCTCTTGTGTTATTTTTTTCTGTCAATGGTTCATTCATTACATTTCTTGTTGTTTGGTGTTTCTCCGTATTTTAAAGTTTATAGCAAATTAAAAATTATGTATTTTCTACACGATCTGAATCGTGAAAAAACAACAACAAGTCAGTGAAATAATGTAAAGCACAACACAAAACATATTTTGTTTTTTTTAGCAACATTTTTTGTAGACTTCAAGAATGGGAAGATTGTGGATATCGCTTTTGAAAGTGCTTTATTTATTTGTATACACTGAAACATCACGCGTGACTGTCTATCAAGGAGATACTTTGCCTCACCATGGACGATGCGAGCCAATTACCATTCAGTTTTGCCAGCAACTGAGATACAATGAAACCATATTTCCCAACATTCTTAATCATGCTAAACAAGAAGATGCTGGACCTGAAGTACATCAGTTCACACCATTAATCAAAATAAATTGTTCCCCAGACCTCAAATTCTTCTTGTGTTCAGTGTATGCACCTGTTTGCACAATTTTGGATACTCCTATACTGCCATGCCGTCATTTATGTGAATCCGCGAAACACAATTGCGACCAACTGATGATAGACTACGGCTTCCCATGGCCAGAGCATCTGGAATGTTCAAGGTTCCCGGTTGCTACAGATGAAAATGTCATATGTGTTGGTGATAATAATGTTACACATAAATCAAAGAAACCTACAGAAACCAAGCTACCTAAAGTAGATTTCAAATCGAATATTGAAAGGGATCCTACTAAACTGCATAGTGCAAAAGATTATGGATTTGTTTGTCCTGTACATTTTAAAGTACCCAAGAGTTTGGATTTGGAATATTCTCTGAAGGTTGGAGATAAGATTGAACATGATTGTGGTGCACCATGTAATGGCATGTTTTTCAGTCAGGATGAAAAAAACTTTTCAAGATTGTGGATTGGTATTTGGGCAACACTATGCACTGTGAGCTGTTTATTTACTGTTCTAACTTTTTTAATTGACACAGATAGATTTAGATATCCAGAAAGACCTATTATATTCCTATCCGTATGTTACTTGATGGTAGCTGCAGCATATATCATGGGATGGAGTGCTGGAGACAGTGTTAGTTGTCAAGGGCCTTTTCCCTCGACAATAAGTGGGACAAGATTACCAAACATATCAATCATATCACAAGGCACAAAACATGAACCATGTACAATACTTTTTATGGTGGTATATTTCTTCAGCATGGCATCAAGTATTTGGTGGGTTGTCTTGACACTCACATGGTTTTTGGCAGCTGGACTTAAATGGGGCCATGAAGCTATAGAAGCAAACTCACAATATTTTCATTTAGCAGCTTGGGCAGTGCCCGCCATCAAGACAATATCGATACTAGCAATGGGAAAAGTTGATGGTAAGAATAAGTGCAATTTTTTTTTAATATTTAACTAGAATATAGTCCTGCTTATTCCATTCCATGCCCAAATCCTTGTTGTAATTACATTTTGCAACTAAATATGGTACAAAATAAATCATTGTGAATTCTTCTTCTTTTCGTGTCGACAACAAACCTACACAGTGTCAGCCCAAAACTCCGCCACAAGGCGTTGTCAGTAGCACTCATCAAATCCTCCTGAGTGCAGTTGCTTGGGCACTTGTGAATGGAAAAACAATTTTGAAATAATAAATCTCAGTTATGTGTACCTACTGTCTCTTTGGCAATGAAACCTAAAAGAAAAAAAAGTTCAGAAATATTTTATGGAATTGAAGATCTCTCTAAGCTCACTGAGCTACTAGAAAATGTTGCCAGCAAAAGCGACTTTATATACAAAATAATTAACAAAAACCAACTTCGCTTGAATTGTGCTGATGTAGAAGTATATAAATCCATATTAAATGTTATCCGAGAGAAAGGACTCATTGGACACACATTCAACAGAAAAGACACCAGACCTTTTAGAGTTGTTATTAAGAATCTTCATCACTCAACGCCTATTAGCAGTATAATAGAAGCTCTTGAAGAAACAGGAAACACAGTTATTGGAGAGATAATAAATGCAAAATATGGACCTGAAAAGAAACCCACCTCCACATTTTTTGCTACCCTACAACAAAACCCCAACAACGAAGCCGTTAGGAGCATCAAATACATTAATCATCAATCAGTTGTCATAGAACAACCACGAAAACGAAACACAATTATTCAGTGCCAAAAATGCCAGCAATATGGACACTCCAAAAACTATTGTATGCGACCATACCGCTGCGTAAAATGTGCCCAAGGACATAGAACAGCAGACTGTCCTAAAACCGATCGGAATACTCCTGCAAAATGCGCCCTATGCTTTGGTGCACATCCAGCCAACTTCAAGGGTTGCGAGGTATACAAGGAAATACTATCCAGGAAGTCAAACAAACAGGCACACATAAAGGCTAGAGGAAGAATAATACAATCGGAAAACACAGATAACCAGCAAGTGTTAGTAAATCGGACACTTGGTGCTAAAACCGACAGAAAGCAAAAAACACAACCTCAAGAAATAACAGACAGCAACAGAAATGAGAGAGTAAGTTACGCAGATGCATTGAGAAGGAATAAGAACGAAGAAACAACAACATCAAATAAAATCGAAGAAATGCTCCTCAAACAAGCAGAAAAGTTTGACATCATATTACAACAAATGAGCACGTTAATTAACCTNAAAAAAAAGAAATATTTTAATTGCTAATACAAATAATTTTAATCTTGTATTTTGTTGCAGGTGATATTCTATCTGGTGTGTGTTACGTTGGAATATGGGATGCTGAGGCTTTACGTGGATTTGTACTAGCACCGCTCTGTGTATATCTTGTCCTAGGAACAGTATTTCTTTTGGCTGGATTTGTATCATTGTTTCGTATAAGAACTGTAATGAAACATGACGGCACAAAAACAGATAAATTGGAAAAACTAATGATTAGAATTGGTGTATTTGGAGTCTTGTATACAGTGCCAGCCTTGATAGTTATTGCTTGTCTTTTTTATGAGCAAGCTCATTTTGATAATTGGATGGTGACATGGCATAGGGATATGTGCTCTACACCTCTTTACTCTATCCCCTGTCCATTCACACGTCATGAGATGGAGAGACCTAAGTTTGAAATGTTCATGATTAAGTACTTAATGACAATGATAGTTGGTATAACATCCAGTTTTTGGATTTGGTCAGGAAAAACTTTAGTTTCCTGGCGTCAATTCTTTGATAGAATAAAAGGTAGAAGAGTTGAAGTGTATGTTTAATTTTCGCAGCTGTCATTTTATTTTTAATATTTTTACTTTTAGCTACAATATAAGGCTGATAATGTAAATAGGAGTCTCAGTAATTTGATAAGTTTTTTATACAAATAAGTATTTTTAATGTGAGTATTAATTAAGAATCAATGTATTAATAAATATTTTCATTTTCAATTATCTTTTCTTTAGTGATTCCATTATTCAGGGGCCATGAACCTCTACAGAAAGATCTGTCTGCAAACTATATCTGTTTTTGAGCGCTTAAGACAATTTAAAGACTTTAGGAACAATCAAATAGATTTGCCTTGCTTGCAGAATATGCCTGTAATTTTCATGTACCACTAAGGAAGAAATTGCCCTCCTTCAGAGATACACCTTACTGGTGTAGTATGCCATGAGTGGATGTTAATAGGTTTTAGAGCATGTAGTGGGTAACCTTAAATTGAATGGAAAAAAATATTAAACTTGCTACTTATTACATTACATAAAGGTAAATAAAATTCAGATGGCAAAGATTTACTTAAAAAAAGAAAGGTCAAGAATTTGTTAAAAACTAATTTCAAGATTATTATAGTATGGAGGTAAGCCTACATTGAATGATCAAATGTGTATTTGTAGGAGCTTTTGACTTTGCTAAGTAAAAATCACATCTAAGTATAATACTTAATCATTATATGTATTATGTAAAATAATGGGATGGGGAATCAATAAATAATTTCATATAATGTCTTTGCTACTATAAATAATAAAAAATATGTTAATTAACTTAATTTAATTCAGAATAACATTAATAGTACATAATTTATTTAGCCTATATAAAGTACAAAACATACCATCATACTTTCTCATTCATTTACACAATAATGTATTATTCATCATAAAGTATCCCATTATGCCCGAGTGTATTTTCCCCAAATGTGCAGCATAAACACTGATGCAATGAACAAAAGTGACATAACTAATACTGGAACTGGGCCCCTGAAACAAAATAATAAAAATAAATTAATTAATACAAAAAAATATTACTATTAAAGTTTAATTTAAAATCAAGGCAATAGGTTTATGTGGTATTTGAGTATTGACATATCATTCATTCGTTTGTTTCAGCCAAATGACGTCCACTGCTGGACAAAGGCTTCCTCCAAGGTTTTCCACAACGCAATTGTCATTTAAATGTCTTTTATTTATTTAAAATAATAATAATTTGGTAAAGAAACCAAAATTAAAAATAATGTTTAAAAGAAGAGATTTAGATTTAGAAAATCAATTGTTTTGCTTGAGTCATGAGATTCAAACTTATTTATAAAAAAAATTATAACAGAATCAATTGGGCTTTTACAATCAATGGGTTTCTAAACTTAACAAAGAAGGTTGAATAAAATTTTACTTCAACTTACACTTTCACTCCTGGAGAATCATCAGTATAGAAACGCCACATTCCTCCTGATCCTGCTCCTGTGCTTCGGTTTCTGGCTGCAGTAGTTGTGGTAGTAGTTTTGCGTTGCCGAACTGTACTTCCACTAGCTGACCGAGGAGCAGCTGTTGCCTTGCTTGGCGAACGACCACCAGATCCAACCGCAGTAGAGCTAGGTGATGGTGGCTAGAATTACAGTTAATTTAGTAAGATTATTTTATTCGTCAACCTTCGTAAAACTAATCAGTTTATGTGTAGTAAGCACAACTTACCATTTTGTTATTTATTAAAATAACAAATCGTTTAAATTAATTCGAACAACGTTAATTCAGGATTTTCTCAAGCGTTCTGTGAGCAGCAAAATACGAACACCAAAGAAATCGTGGAGTTGGCTTACAACGCGTACAATCAAAATGACACGTCTTCAGTAAATGTTGCATGTGAAGAAAAACACAAAGTGCCACATCAGAGTTGCCATACCAACTAATTTAGAACTTTTTTTCTTCGGATTGCGAGTTTCGATTTCGAAATTATAATACGGTTGTTGTTTTGCAGCTTGTCTAGAGAAACTAATGAATTGAATTTTCATTTATATAAACATACGAGTACTGTATATGTTACCGGCAATTTGTATAATTTAGGAATTCTATACAATCCCTAGTCAATGTGAAAAATGCCTGGGGCGCGTAGGCAATGTATGAAATGTTATAAATATTATTGTCCAATAAATACGTTACCTGCCTAGGCAGTGCATGTAATTCCTAGGCATTGTTTAGAATACCAGCTGGCCCATCGCCAATATGTAAATATTTTGACTTGTATTGATCAATACTATTAAATTACGGTTAGGGTGCCCGGGTGTAGCTAGAGATGGGTAGTGGGTAAAAACCCATTTCACCCGATTGGGTTAAAACTGGGTGATTTGGGTAAAAACCCGGTTTTTACCCATTATCACCCATTCTGGTGGGTGAAAACAAAAATAGCGTTTTTTTAAAGTGAGAAGTGGTATTTGTTGCTAAGGGGGCGTTCTAGTGTTACGTAATGCAATCTGGGGGGAGAGGAGGTCTTGAAAAACGTTACAATGCGTTACAGTGGCGGAAGGGCGGTTCGATTTCAAGTTTTTAAGCAGAAGTACTTTGTAGTTGGTGTTGTTATTTGTAACTTTATACCGTAATGTCATCAAAGAGAGAGTTTGGCATCTTTGGCATCCCCCCCTCCATGTCCTTGCCATGATCACAAATTATTGTGTTCCTACTAAATTTCTTCTAAATCGGTTCAACGATTCTTGAAATAACACCATTTTATAAAATAATTGGTCACATCATCATAACGTGATCAATTTTACGATTTGGCCACGATATAAATGCATATCAGTGTTAAATTTGACTTATTACTTATTAATCAATAAACTTAAATGAGAAAAATTCAATAAAAATAAAGAAAAGATACCAATTGAAATAATTATAAAATTATTTGTTTTCACCCGGTGTAAACACCCACGGGTGGAATGAAACGGGTTTTTATTGGGTTTTTACCCTCATGTGGGTTTTTACCCGGGTGGAAACCCATCTCTAGGTGTAGCACAGTAATTTGCATGGAGCTGACACGATTTAGTTTGAACTTTTTCAACATTTACTATCTAGAGTAGTAAAGGGGGTGGGGGTCATTTAAAAAAACTAGCTGGATTATAAAATACTAGGTTAGGTTAATTTTACCCAGCGTGAAGGCGAGTGAGCGAGCGAGCGCAGGCCTCATCTGTGGTGCTGCGTGCGGCAGTGGCCGCCGAGTACGAAGTCTAGATTTTTTCTTAAAATTTCACGTATTTCGTAATCAGCCCGCCCCGCTCGTCTCTCCTTTCCCTGATATCATCTTTTACACACATTGCCCGCTGCGCGTTTGGTATTGTATATGTTACGGTCAAAGTGATAAATGTGAAAATTATGAATAATCGCCGGTTATTGTGAATAATTACCGCATGATTTGGTTAATGTGATTAATATGAGGATTAATATTTATGTGTGTATAAAACTAAATAGGCGGCTTAGGGGTGGCCCAAGGGCCAGCCCCGCCGCACCTTAACCTATTTTTCACTTTAAATCAAAATATTATGTTATAGGCATCATGGAAAAGTAATATTATGCAAGAAACATTCCAAACTCATTATGCCAAATTATATTAATATATGATATCAAAACGTTTAAAAGTTTGGCTGTACACGAGCACGTACACAAGATGTTGTTCTCTTTTAAGAAATTTGTTAGTACTAAGGTTGAATTATTAAATAATCACTGTTAAATGTGATTAATTTATCACTTTTACCCCGACTGTCGGTAATTATTCATAATAACCGGTTATTATTAATAATTTTCAATTTATCACATTAACCGTAACACATACACCACTAAATTTTTATCACCGAAAAAAGAGAGAAAGAGACGAGAGAGTCAGATCGGCTGAAAAAAATAATAATAAAGATGGCCTAAACTCATTGAGGGGGCGCCACCATCCTTCAACTATATATTTTTTTGATACGTACGATCCGAGCGTAGCGATTTCGAAATTACAACTGTCACATTTTACCAGGTAAAAAAAGGTTTTTTTGTCTGTGGTAAGTGTCATTAGTGTCAATGTCATTTTTGCGTTATCGTACTATGATTTTGAGGTTACAATTTAAAGTAATGAGATTACGATTACTTTTACGTAGATTTTCTAGTTTAAATATTTCTAAAACTAAAGCTATGAATTCCGAAAAATGTTACTTCAGATATATACAAAAGGAAGAAACGGTAGATATTACATTCCTATACAAAATTAAGGATTCTGTAAGGCAATTTAATTTTAGTCGTAAACCAACTGAAACCCTGCAAAATGTGTTTGTTCGTATCGCTACGAATATACAAAAAGCTATAAAAAAAGCAGATAAAAAGAAGGCAAAAGAAGGCCTTAACGATATCGAGATAAAGTTGGTAAATGTTCTTAATGACATCAGTGAACAGTCGAGTTGTTTAGATTTGTTTAATACTAAAGAGCCTATACATCTTAAGTTTGGAGACCAGATGTTTAAAGCGGTTTTTAACGCTCCTTGGGTAGTAAACATAAATTTGCCTCAAAGTATTTTAATGGGCTTTCCTGTTTACCCAGATCATTTGGCACTGCAATATGCCAGTAAAGAAACAAGCCTTTTCAAATGGTACACAGGTTTTGACAAAAATGAAAAAGGAAATGAAATGAGTCCCTTTCACATTAAATGGGAATTAGTTGGTGAAAGTTATACATATACACCAACAGCTCAAGATGTTGGGAAGAAATTGAAAATAGAATGTATTCCAGGTAACAGTAGTATTGTCCTATATTAGACCTTCTAAGACAAAATTAATTTGTTCAAATTGATGATAAATTAGTTGTTTTAGGTAATGGAGAAACTACTGGACCTACAGTAGAAGCCATTTCCAAAAATGTGGTTGAAGCTGGTCCTGGGAAATGTCCTTTCGAAACAAGGCATATGTTCACTGCATCAAAACTAACAAATAACAGGTGATATAACTTGACTGATTTCATTAGATATATCCTTGAATTTATCATTCACCGGGTGGATCAAATTAAACTGGGTCTAACTGTTTCTCTGTATTAAATTAATCATAATGGCATACTATTTTACCAATAGAGATTGAGTCAACATCTTAAATAGTTGGACTGTGGGTAGATTATACATAGATCCATACTTCCAAGAACCCTACCTATAAATATATGATATAATAATATATTTGGATGGAATTGATTTTGGGATTGACTAAGGGCGGATTCGACCAAACAAGAGTAAATATTAATCGCAGAATAAATCATCAGTTGTGACATATTTCCCATACTAAAACTGTCAATGTGCCAGTTTCTCGGATGAAAGTTTGGTTGAATCGGGCTTAAATGATCTAAATTTATATAGCTTTTCAGATTTCGTTGTGTGACATATAATATCCTGGCTGATTTGTATTGCGATTCAGATCATACAAGAGAAGTTCTATATCCATATTGCCCACCATATGCTTTGAGCATTGATTACAGAAAACAACTTATATTAAAGGAATTGACAGGTTTGTGAAATATTTAAAAAATATTTTTAAGTGTTAACAATAAGTAAAGTTGGTATAATTAATATATTATGTATGAGTATAAAAATAATATTATTATTTTTTACTTAGGTTACAATGCTGACATTCTTTGCCTACAAGAAGTTGATGCCAAAATCTTCAATCATTATTTGCAGCCTCTCTTACAAGAAAATGGACTTCATGGTGTGTTTTATAAGAAAGGAAAAGAAGTTGCAGAGGGATTGGCTTTGTTCTACAGAATGGACAGATTTAGGTATGATTTCTGGCATTTTAGCACAATGATTGCAAGTATGTGTTACGTTGTAATGTATTATGCTGTCATGAACATGATGGGTAACCTTTAACGAGACTCAAATGTTATGCTGTAATTGTTATACATTTAAGAACTACTTTTTTTTATAAGATTTACATGTATACCAAGAAACTACTAATGAAAAACCAAAAACACTATCTACAAATTTTTAATAGTCACTTAAAAATAACATTTTGTTTTATTTGTACATTTCAGAATTTTAGGTGAGGAAAAAGCACTGATTGCAGAAGTTATACAGACTAAACCTTATCTACAAGAAGTTTGGAATAATGTTAAAGAAAATAACAAGCTTACAGAAAGATTGTTGGACAGATCAACAGTGGCAAGTGCAACATTTTTACAACCAATTGAAAATCCAAATGAGATACTTTTAGTTGGCAACACCCACTTATATTTTCACCCAGATGCAGATCATATAAGACTCATTCAAGGAGGAATTTTAATTTATTGGTTAAATGACGTAAGAAACACATTGAAAAATAAGGTAATTAAAATTTGAATTTTTAACAATATTATCTTTCTAAATAAGGTCAATTAATTATACTGGACTCATAAACAAAATATTGAAAGAGTGCGAAATATTATTGATTAAAATAACATGCTGGCTGATGGTTCGGTTATTCCCAGTTGCCCCCACCAGTGGAAATGGCTTCTACTGTAGGTCCAGTATTTACAAAAATGACCCAGCATTAACCTCTTGTGAAAAACGGTATTATATAAAAAAAAATAAAACCGACTCCAAAAAACCTACACTAAAAAGTAGAAAAATAATTAGGTACTAATTACTTATATTAGGATGAATTAATATTTATGTATACCATGATTGATACTTCTGGAGTCGGTGCCAAGATTATGAAACGTGTAAAGTTTGCCTGCACTGACTCCAAAAGTATCAATCATGGTATACATAAATATTAATTCATCCTAATATAAGTAATTAGTACCTAATTATTTTTCTACTTTTTAGTGTAGGTTTTTTGGAGTCGTTTTTTTTTTTTAATAAAAATAACTTATTTCTTGCTTTTTAGTTAACTAATTATTACCTTGATGTTACCACTGAAGGTAGGCAGTACACTGAGACTATATTCTTCATGTCAAGTGTAAAATAATATTCCCTACAAAATACAGGTTACCATATCGGCAACCTAAAAAGACATTAAACCGTTAGCCCACCTTAAAAACATGAAAGAATACAACTGTTAGTCTATTTGTACCTATAATATTTAAAGAATTATCCTCCAACTCCTAAGCGTTAAGGAGTTGTTCCTACTATGACCACTTCATCATGATGAGATGATGACTATCTGATGCAAATACTTGAATAACTTACGAAACTATACTTATCTATAAAATTAAAAGAATTATCCTCCAACTCCTAAGCATTAAGGAGTTTTACCTTCTATCATCAGCTCATCAATATGAGATGACGATTTCCAGGAGCAAATACTTGAATAACTTAAGAAAAAGTTTGAAAAATGATACACGTGCCTATAAAATTTGAGGGTTGCCCTCGATTTCCGTAGGATCCCATCATCAGATCCTGACTTGGTGACAATGGGACCACCTCGGAAGTGTACCCTATCGAACAAAAAAAGAATTTTGAAAATCGGTCCACAATTGACGGAGTAATCGGTGAACATACATAGAAAAAAAAAACATACATACAGTCGAACATATAACCTCCTCCTTTTTTGAAGTCGGTTAAAAACCACTGTAAATAAATACAATTATTGAACAAAGTATCGTCAGTCTATCTGAACGCGATAATCAATGATTACCGGAAATTGATAATATTATTATGGTCATCACAATTTGATAATTTATTTGAAAGTGTTATTTTTCGTCCCATTACTGTGATATGTTATTGTTTTATTATTTATACATTTACCGTTATTTCCAGATAAACTTTCGTATATTATTATAATATTCGTAGGAAGTAGGATTTTACCCCTAAAATGTATTTTTGTAGTTTCCAGGAAAAAGAATATCTGTGATAGTTTGCGGAGACTTTAATAGCGATCCATTAGCCGGCATTTATAAATTATTCACCACGGGCTCAGCTCCTAATTCCTTGCCAGATTGGAAGTCAAGTAAGCTTTTTTATTTAACTTTTTATCGCTTATTATCTTTTTTCGATTACATAACAGTTATTTATCCTGAATTCATGTTTTCAGATCTAGATGAAGCTATTTCTTATCTTAGCTTGAATCAGGAAACTATTCTTGCAAGTGCTTGTGGCACTCCACCTTGCACAAACTATACAGCTGGTTTTGCAGGCTGTTTGGATTACATATATTACGAGAAGGCTTGTTTCCAAGTCGTACAGGTAAATGATTATTTACTTTTAAAGATTTCTTTAGATTTGCGAAACCACAAATTTAAACACAAGGTTTTTAAACACAATATTAACACTAGAAGAAAAGCATAGCTGGGCATTAACTCGTTAATCCGTTAATCGTTAATTAACGAAGTTAACATTTCTATTAACGGATTAACTTTTAAGTTAACTTTAAAAAATGTTAACGGACTCGTTAACTTCCGTTAAATTATCCTAAGTCCGTTAATCGTTAATCCAGTACCTACTATTTACCAAAAAGATACAGCAGGCACGCTGAAAAACACTAGAATAAAAATAGCCAAGTGCGTGTCGTCGTGCCACGCGCAGTGTAGGGTTCCGTAGTTGTCCGTCATTAACACAATATATTTCAGAAGCAAGCAATTACTTCATCTAAAGTCACTTAAATATTTTCTTCTAAGGAATTTTCACTAGTTAAGGAATTTTATAATACATGAGTTAAATGACTATTACTCTTAATCTAACTGATGTATCTTAACCGCTACAAAGTTTTCCTTGAAAGTTCATGAAAAGCAGTATCGTTACGAATTTTACTAGATTTTTAAAGCCAACAGTTTAGTTTTTAGAGGGGGGGGGGGGCTACTCGAACAAAAATTGGCACTTTAAACTTAAATATTTTGCAAACCGATCCCTAAAACGAAAAATAGTCTTAGAAACCCCTTAGTCATTTTTTGACCTATCCAACTATACCTCACACAATGGGGTAGAAGATAAAAAAAAATCATCCCCATTTCACATGGTAGGGGAGCTACCCTAAAAAAATTTTTTTTTTTCGAAATTTTATTTTACCTTTTTGTCGGCGTGATTAATATACACACCTCCACAAAATTACAGCTCTCAAGTGACAATAGTTTCCAAGCAAAACCTCGGATAGACAGACAGATATATCGAAACTATAAGGGTTCCTTGTCAGGACTACGGAACCCTAAACACGCGTTCTGACAAGTACGTTCGGGCTTCCAGAACTTCCAGAACCCAAAACAACAGTTTTTGGGTTCTGGAAGTTATGGAAGCCCGAACGATATAAAAAATGCTATTTTTTTATTTATTCACAATCACAAGCCTTCACTTGACTTCACTTGTTAGTATGTGTGGGACAACTGAATTTAAGACCAGTTCTCAACCGATAGAGCTGAAATTTGGTACACTTATGTAAGTACGATGAAAATGCAATGTTATGGTACCATTAAGCTGGTCTGATGATGGAGTCATCAGGTGGGCACAGAAACTCCTAAATGAAACGGCGGCATCGCATCGAATTTGGGTTCGTTGGATTTGTCTTTTTGAGCACTTTAGTACTAGATGATGTCCAGGGTCCTGATGATGGAGTCAGGAAGTGGCCATAGGAATTCCTAAACGAAACGGTGGAAACTTATCGAGTTTGGGTTTGTTGGATTTGTCTTTTCGAGCACTTTGGTGCTAAATTGTAATGTAATTAAACCAAGGCTCTGAGATTGAGATACTATAGACTAAGAGCTGGTGAAGGCCAGACCTACGTCATTTTATAAAAGCTGAAAGTTTGTCAGAGTATGCTCCCAATACAGGTTAGAATGTTGGTGGATTATGAAGTTTGGGTCATCGTTGCTTTGGCAGCTATCCTAAAAAAACTGTCTGGCAAGGAGTTGGAACTGTCAAAACTGTGTGGCTGATGAACTTCTAATCATTGCCCAAATATTATACATAAAAATCAGAATTTATGGTACCTATAACGTAAGTAGAATTACAATCTATTGAATATACAGAAAAAGCCACCGTAAAAGTTAGGCTTACGTTATACCATAAAAGCTGATTTGCTTTCGAAATGATTTGAACCTTGCATACAATTACTTTTTTCGTTTTAAACATGTGTTAACGGATTAACGATTAACGTTAACTTGCGTTAAATCTTACTAAATGTAACGTTTTAACGTTTTACGAAGTTAAGTTTTTTATTAACGGTTTAACGATTAACGAAGTTAACTATTTGATTAACGGTGCCCAGCTATGAAGAAAAGTTACTTTAAAGTATAAAGCTTTTACAGTGAAAAATCAAAGTTAAAAATTATTTATCTACACGTAAGAAAATGTTTTGATTACATAATAGAAATAGGTATATAATTTTAACTGTATTCTTCACTAATAGGTATTTTTGAATATTTTATTTCTTCTTACAGGTGGTTCCATTACCCAGCCTTGAAGAAATCCAAGCATACACTGCTTTACCAAGCATTGTATTCCCTTCTGATCATATAGCCTTAGTTGCAGATTTAGAATTTAGCCATAACTAAATAGATTCTAATCCCATTTTTACCCTCATAAGAAATAAAACAAAGCTACTTTTTACAAAAGCTTTGTTTTATTACTTTCTTATACAAATTACTTAGGTTTAACGGACAGAATTTAGGTATTTTGTTTTATTTTGGTAAATAAAAATAAGTTATGATCGGGTAGTGTCGGGATTTTTCATAATCACTGCTACTGCGTGCTTAAAACTGTGTTAAAAGAATGGGGGATATTGAGTTCCACATATCGTGCTAGCAAAAAAACTCAACAAAACTCTTGTCTCTCAACACAGCACAAAAAACAGCGAACCGACCGACGCGACGTCGCTATCTGACAAAGCTAATCTGCACAAGTATTTGCGTGTGGATTCCTGTGTCAATTTAATAAATAATATTTATATACTTACATACTGAGAACTGTATTAAAATTGTTAAGAAATAAATGTTAATTAAATAAAGTGTTTTAGTTTTAGAAAAGTATAAATTTTAGATCCTAATAATACCTAAAACATCAGCACAACAAGCTTAAAATACAAATAAGTCTTTGCTTGTGTTTATCGCTTATTTAATATTTTATTCGCCTCAACTCTTGCTGCGCGATCTCTATTAAGGTCATAATAACCAAAAAAAAATTAAATCTGAAGACTTGTTACCTATTTGCCTTTGCCTTTTCTGCAAAAGGAAAGAATCATATTGACAGTGACTGTGACATTGACAATTCAACTGGTCACCACCATGAAGCTACAGATAAAAATGGAGGGCAGAGTTTGGAACAAAACTTGAGTCAAATACCTACTTATATCTATCTCGCTCTCTGCGGCCCTACCTCTCTTTTTAGTGTGAACTGTAGTATTGCTATCTTCTGATTTAAATCTCCTTGTAAATTCTTCGAAATAGCCAATACACTAACCAAATCAGAAGTTAAACAAATAAATAATTAATATTTGAAACTAAGATTACCTAGTTAAATAAAAAATCACAAAATTGTCGGCCATTTAGGCTTAATGTGTTGGCGAATCAGGGAATTACAATCCCAATTCCTGGGTAATCGGTACCATGTGGCAACATCGGCCCAATCCGGCCCATCATGGCGGTTGTTTACTATTTTGTTTATTAAGCAGTTAATTTCGTTTGAGATTGTTTACAGGAAATAATCATTGTTTTATCACAAGAATTGGTGCAAAATTTTGTAGTGCGTGGTTGCGGTAGTACGTGCTGTCCTGGAAGTGACATAAGATTCCACGCGTAAGTGTTTATTTCGTGATTTCCGACATTGGATCATTGTAAACATTTTTCACATTTTTTACAGTAATTTCTTCCTAAAACGTTTTACCAGTAACTACACTTATCATTTTTAATGATACCTATGTCAAGAAATAAAGATTTTACATTGGTTTCATTGAATTTGAGCAATTTTATATTTTTTGTTTATTTAGAAAGAGCAAGTCTGCCCACAGAGAGCGAGATACTGATACTTAGTTTGTGCTTCAAGTAGGTATTGGGAGTCTGGCCTCCATTTTTATCTGTAGCTTCATGGTCACCACACACCACACACACACATGCAAGCAAATATACAACAAAAGTTGTAGAACTTGTATAGCAAACAGGAAAATTACTATGAGAAACAAATACTAAACTGCGATAACTTTATACGTTCGACAGCAATAAAATAGTTCCTCAAAATGTACAAAATTTATTCCAGATCAAACATTTATCACCATGGAAAAAATTGCGTGTCGAACCAAGTATTTGGTGAGTACATTTTATTGTGACTAAACAAAAAGAATTAACATAAATTATGAGTGTACGTACAAATTCACAGCTAAACTCTATTTTCAAGGTGGAGAAGCAAGAGTTATCGAAAAGACTATCCATGTCTCATTGCCTTACAAATACCCTCAAACTGCGCTAAAGTTGCCGACTAATGTTGTTGATATAAATGCATCTGAAATGGGAAGGTTTTCTCCTCTTCGTACAAGAGACATATCTGGACCCGTTATGAATTCATGCTATAAAAGACAAATTGAAGATTTTTCAAAAATTGATATCACAGCACAAGTTGATCCTCATGTAAACAAGTATGATTGTCGTGGGGCAGTGAGTCTCTCAGCGTCTATGCAGAGTAACGTCCCAAGTCCATTCAGTGGCAATCACACTCATTTAAATATGCCAGGCTCCCAGTGGGGACAAGGATACAAATATCTTTCTGATCACTTGCACAGCGCTCATTATTTGACCCTGAGGAATGAATACCGCAACAAAAAGCCCAATTCCGGTATGTAAACTTAATTGTGGATAAATAATATGTCATGACATTAACCTCATTATAATTCATGTTATTTTAACACATTCATTATTTCCATTGCATTTATTATATTATAAACAAATATATAACCAGCTTTATTATTTGTAAAATGCAACAGGATTGTTAACACCATTTTTGGTTTATTATATTTTTTACTGTTTAAGATGAGGCTATCTACTGTTATTGTCTTATTTGGCTTTTGAATATTATGACTGCTAAAATGCTGTTAAATGTTATGTAGTTTATGATAAGATAATAACAAGTAGTATCATCAATCATATCAACTATCCTATTGTATAGAATCTGGTGGTGTTCACTACAATGTAATATTTTTTTCAAAGCACAGCTGTTACATTTGGAACAAGAAATATGAGTACAAATACAAATCCCCCGTTGACTTCTAAAGAAAAATTGAAGAAGGCTGTGAAAGATTATGGTTCAACAGTGATTATATTCCATGTTGCCATTTCATTAATGTCTTTGGGGGGGTGCTATCTTCTTATATCTAGGTATGTCTGGCTAATTTGAACCATATACATCATGCACCTTCTACTATTTTATGGCTTAGCATTAAATTCGACACTAACACATAGTTGCTTTAAATATTTTCATGGATAGCTCATCTATAATCATAAATGTCATAAATATGTAAAATATTTTTTTAATAGCTAATTAGAACATTACATTCAATTCACCTAGTCCTATAATTTAAATTAAATCAAATAGGTAATGCAATACATCTTGCCTATTTTTACCTATTTGCTCAAACATATTTTCTAGACTAATATTATTGTGATAGGATTTAAAAAATTTGACCCAGTGAAATATGTCCAAAGATATTATTATTAATTAACCTTAATTTGGTCTATGTATTGTAAATTTAATGAGAATTATTATGTTTTCAGCGGCGTCGATTTAGTGGAGATATTAAAACGATTCAATGTTGGTGAAGGCACATTATCTAAATTAGCAACATCAAATGCTGGAACTTTTGTAATAGCATATGCAGTGCACAAGTGTTTTGCTCCAATAAGGATGGCCATAACATTGACAGCAACGCCTTTTATTGTACGTTATTTGAGAAATATTGGATTCATAAAACGAGGCATTAATGCCAGTGGTGGTGGGAAATAAAATATTTTATCAGTAATTTTTGTTTTATTTTAACAATAACTTTTTCTCAATTAAAAGGCTTGAATTTATTTTTAGGTTATTCTTAGACGAAATGCGAGTAGTGGGCGTGGTTACTCTTTATTCTCGAGTCGCTCAAATGACACAAAGCCCCAAAATATCGATAGCAGGGTTTTTGGGGTGTGGTGGAAAGAGTACGGTGTGTTGCGATATAATAGGTACTTGTATTTTCGGTACTGAACACAGTACCGAATTTGTTTTATTATCATCTAGGAAGCATTTAGGTACATCGGTAACTTCTTTATAAGGTAAGCAGGTTCATCATTACAGATTCATTAGATTGGTTATGTTTTATTTAACCTTGAAATCTACGTTCTTAGTTACAAACGTCTAAGTACAAACGTAGCTATAGATGTAGGCATTGCTCTTATGAAAGACGTCTAAAAATAAGTACGTAAATATGTTGGTACCTAGGTACCTACTACATAATTATAGTATGCATGCATTCATTGTGTAACCTACCTACTATTTAAGCGGGTATACAGGGGGGGGGGGGGTGGATCGCCCCGGGTGCCAACCCATGCTACGCCGCCACTGAGTATAGGTAGGCTTAATCATTATCATTTCAACCATAGGACGTCCACTGCTGAACATAGGCCTCCCTAAGGGCCTCCCGCAATCAAAATCAAAATTATCTTTATTTGTTTAGACTAATTAAATTAGTAGGTACTTGCAAATCGTCAAATGCTATTAGGGAGCCTATACATGTCTCATTCTTTTTTTGCCCTACCAGCGCTCTCCAATGATTTCCACAATGGCCGGTTGGTGGCGGCCTGCATCCAGCTCCTTCCTGCTACCTTAAACGACCTTTATGAATTCGTCAGTCCACCTTGTGGGTGAACGTCCTACGCTGCGCTTTCCGGTACGAGGCCACTGCAGAATCTTGCTGCCCCATCGGCCGCCAGTTCTGCATAGGTAGGTAGGTATATACCTACTATATGCCCTGCCCATTTCCACTTCAGCTTGCTAATCCGTTGGGCTATGTCACGTGTCAGTAACTTTAGTTCGTTTACGGATCTTCTCATTATTGATAGGTAGGCTTACTTATAAAGAATTCTATTCGGTTATTCAGTTTTAGTAATTGTATATCACTAAACATTAATTTAAGTAAATAAGTAGGATTAGAAGAAATGCTGTAGCTTTACTAAGTACAATAAAGTAAGGTAGATGGATATAGGTACAAGTGGTGGACAGTGGTTAGCATACTTAAGTAGTAGGTAATAGCAGCAAAGGAAAATACAATTCCTTTACTTACATCACACATGTGATGACCACGCGCATTTTATTAGCACAGTGATATTAATGATGAAAAGTAGGTATTGAATATATCTGAATCGTGAATGTTATTATTTAGCGAGACGTCAAAATTAAGTCAGGCTAGCAAAAATACACAATCCTTTGAGATCGACAAAGTAGAATGAAAAACTTAACTCGATTTTTCCTTTTTGTAATTTGATGTAAGTTTCGTTCGTTCGTTTCTGCCGAAAGACGTCCACTGCTGGACAAAGGCCTCCCCCAAGGATTTCCACAAAGACCGTTCCTGCGCCGCTCGCATCCAGGCACGGAAGACGTAGCGTGGGCAGGCCAGGCCTCTCACTAGGTGGACCGATGTAAGTTTAATAAGTCCTAATTCAGAAGCGCGATAACCACACGGTTTCTTCTGGGTAGTTCTCATTGGCAATGCACAGAGGCGATAACCGCGGGGAGGTTACGGTTTGATGTAACATGTACGAGAAGCCAACGAGAACTTAAGCTCAGCAACCGCGCGACTATCGCTGTGGCTGTACCAGACCTAAGAGAAATAGTTAGGTGGGTACCTACTTACTTACAGAAACGCTTTTGGATGCGTACTTACTTACCCGAATAAAGTCACCCGTGCCCTCAAGCCAGATTCAATTTAACGTCTGGTGGGTGTGTTGGGCTGGGAGTCCCAGCCTGGGATACCTACCCCGGGGAAAAATATTGACCGGTGCTTTCGAGTACTATTGCTCTCATTGACATCATCAGCGGGGTGTTGTCTGCCGATTAGATCTGGGGGCACGGTAGTGTCCCCACCAAGTCGAGCAAAAAAGCGGCACGGCCGTACCATCCTTTTCTCGAAGCAATTCAGGCGATTTTCGACTGCCTGTAACTTCGTTGTGGATAAAACTAGAAGGCTGAATTTTCATTAGCTATGCAGGCATTGTAAAGACACGGTATATTTAAAATTTCATTCAATTTGAACCAGTAGTTTAAGAATTATAACGGGTCAAAGTTACTTAATTTTGTCACTCACTGACTGACTCACTGACTCACTGACTCACTCACTGACTCACCGATCATCAAAACTCTAAGGCACTTCTAGCAGACCTAGAAGCTTCAAATTTGGAATATAAGTAGTGTTTGGTGTATGAATCAAGGAAAAACTAAAATATTTGGGGGCACGGTAGTGCAACCGCCAAGTCGAGTAAAATTTTTCAATTTCGGTCCAGTTTTCTAGATACATAACTGCTGTCTACAAAATACAAAAAGAAATGAGATCCCATCAAAAACAATACTTGTCAAAAAAACCAAGTCTCGCAACTCAGTTGTTCTACGGTAAAAAGTTGTGAGATCCATGTAATACCAAGTCCAGGCCAGGAAATCTTTAACGTTTTACATAAATATATTGACTTGGCCATCGCATGAAAACACGTGTAAATTAAATTATTTAGTGCGATGGCCAAGTCAATAATTTATGTAAAACGTTAAAGATTTCCTGGCCTGGACTTGGTATTACATGGATCTCACAACTTTTTACCGTAGAACAACTGAGTTGCGAGACTTGGTTTTTTTGACAAGTATTGTTTTTGATGGGATTCCTATTTCTCGTAGTGAGTGAAGTAGGTATTCTAGTTATTTTTTCAGTACTATTACTTTGATTTTTGTTCAAATGCACAAAACCGTTTATTCCCGATGTCCCCCACTATTTGTCCACCACTGGTGGACATCGAGAAAAAAAGTTGCAATATCCACCAGTGGGGGACAGCGCTACTGAAATCTTCCCGTTGGGCCCTACTGGTGGACACTAAGAAGAAATGAATTGCTCTGTCCCTCAGTGGTGGACATCGAAACGTATAAGTAACGATGTAGGTAACCTACTTAACTTACGTAGGGACTCGGTCCGTGGGTCTTGGTTTTTATTTCCAGTAGGACGCACAGTCATTTGTAGGGTAGGTACGGATTTAGTGGCAACTTAGCTGGCCCTGCGAATGTTAATTGCGGAGTAGTAAATAACGTCCGGGCCCTCAGATCATAGCTCTTTCTATGATCTGAGTCCGGGCCCCTCTGAAAAATATAACTTTTCAATTATATTTTTCAGGGGGGCCCGGAATGCCCGGATCCTCACATGAAGCAGTGCAAGCATGATTTTCGGAGCCTATTTAATGCCAATATCTAATTTTTCCTCTTACTTAGTTCATAACTTAGTAATCTGAGCTTAGAAGTTAGGTAGGCGGCCTCTGACTGTTTATATGAATGTTTCTGGATCTTTCTTTCTCTGTATCTCAATTTATCTAATAAAACCCCCAGAGGTGGTAGCTAGAATTTGCCTAAGTAAGTAGGTTACTACTTGTTAAGCAGATACTAGTTGACTAAAGCCCGGTCCGTGAGCACGTAGAATTTTGTCCAATGACCCCTAGCTACCCATCCAGACTAGTTAAGTAGGTACACGATTTCTATTCTGTTCACGTTTTCTTAACGGTAGATTGCATCAATAGTTGCAATAAAACCGTTACACAGAAATAAACGTAGCGCTAGTTTAGTGTCCGTGTTGCATTGCATTTCTCTTGCACCTGTTGAAGAAAGTTGTGTGAAGCGCTGTACTGTGATGTCATTACTCGTAAAATGAATAAGGCCATGTATACGTATCCACATACCGCGTAATAATTTAACCCACTATCGAATATTTTTACAACGATAAGACTTTAGGTTCAAGTAGTCTAACTATAAAACAAGATACTAGGACGTCATTAACATCATTAATATAGATAACAGTGTCAAATGTTCATTATTTTCATCGTGTTTACAATATTAGTCGTGGTGCTCGAGTGTATTATTAATTCAAAATTAATTAAACATTGGAAGCGTTATTTTTTAGCCTATTACACTTATTAAAAATGTTTTACTATATTAGAATTACGGTTTGTGTGGTTTTTTTAATATTGTATCTTGTTCCCGAAAATAGGTAAGTGCTTTGCTTTTATCTCAGATCATAGATGATCTGAGGCTTTTATATTGACTAAGGGCCGGTTTCTGAATTGAGATTTCCTACTTGAAAACCGATATTAAAGTCAAGTCAAAAAACCTTTGATTTGTTAATCTTTGAATTTTATTTATGTGTAGCTAGGTAGGTAAGTAAGCAACTGTCTTCGTAATAAAGGAGTATTTTTAAACAGGTAAATGGGTATATGAGCCGACACTAGCCCATGTTAACATGGGCATATAAATGGTATGGTGAAGTCAGAAAATTGATAATCTTCATTTTAATTAGGTATTTTAATTTTCATACAAATCCGATTTTATAAAATTTATTTTGTATGAAAATATAAAAAATTGAAATGATGATATCAAATTTCTGACTTCACCATANCATATAAATGGTATGGTGAAGTCAGAAAATTGATAATCTTCATTTTAATTAGGTATTTTAATTTTCATACAAATCCGATTTTATAAAATTTATTTTGTATGAAAATATAAAAAATTGAAATGATGATATCAAATTTCTGACTTCACCATACCATTTATATGCCCATGTTAACATGGGAGAGTGTCGGCTCATATACCCATTTACCTAACACCCTGTATACGTATTTTGTATGAAAGAAAATAATTTCAGTCTTAATTAATTTCGGGCATTAGCCCGCTTAAAGACTGAATTTGCATATTGTGTTTATATGGAAGACGTTTATTTCCATAGTTTCAATCAACTTTCATTTCACAAAATATATATAATTTAATGATTATTGTGCTACAAGAGCATCTCCTCGGCGACCCTAGATCTACTGAATAGAGTACGTTTGGACTCCATCATGCATCTCTAACATTATCTTTCTTTGATTTATAGTGGAACAGGAGCAATGAACTCCGAGCAATATCTGTACGACTTCACGAAGACAGATGGGGTCGACATGTGGGTAGAGCAGTCAGATACAGTACGAGACGTAGGGATGTCTAAGGCGGTGTTGGTGATACACCAAAATATAGGATTCCGGAGAGCTATATTCTTCGCTTTACTTAATCCTCAACCGAACGGAGCTGGATTTGCTGGAATTCGGGTTCTTCGGAGATATGATCTTACTGGTCACACGATGCTTCAGATACAATGCAGAAGTCAAGGACAGTATAACGGCTTCAAAATTGTTATGAGACACAGAGGATTAAATGATGAGCCAAACTATTCATTTGAACAAATATTCCAGGTAGGTACCTAATTAGTTGATTTTTTTAAATAGTTATTCAAAGAATGCACTTTGGCACATTGGATGTAACTATTCCAGTTGCGAGTTTTGTAACTTACCTATTACGATATTGTTAATAGCTGTCATTATGACCATTTGTGTAAAAAATGGACTTTAATACCTGTATTACCTGCTGTGAACGGAACATTCCCGAGAACTAGTCACGTCTGTTAATATCCAATTATCGTCTATTAATTTGAACGTCTTGTTTGCTTTCAGGCACCCAAAGATGAATTTGCTGTGCGCGAACTGCTTTTCTCGGATTTCAAAGCTTACTACAGAGGGAAAAGAGTAGGAAATGAAACTTTGGACATATCGCAAGTGTCTAGTATTGGTTTTCAAGTTTATGGCGGAGTTTATCAACCAGTGAAACAAAAAGGACCAGCCACATTGGAAATAGATTGGATAAAAGCAGTTTAAAAATTATATTAATTGATAACATCATGTTTTCTATAGCTATTGTTGATATGATTGTATACCTACGTATTACGGCTGAATGGAGGGTATGTAAAGGATTTGTTTTGTCCAACTCAAAGACAATAGGGCAAAGAGTAAAGAGTGTGTGTTGTAGAGGTATCTAAGGAAAACAAATGAATTTTTATCAACGTTTTATTATCTAGAATAGTTATTGCTAGATAACCTAAAAAAACAGTATACACACAAATCCCTTAAAATAAAATGTTTTCCAGTACTTAAATGCTTTTTATTGCGACCCGTGTAACCTATCGCTGTCTAGTTGGCAGTAGCAGAGTGAGTGCGGTCATTGCATCCGGGAATAGGGAATGGTAATTGACGAGCGGTACGTACGCGGCGGTGATCACCCGCCCGGCGAACCACCGGCCGTGGAGCGTGTTGACTGACGCCACCGCGGTGGCTATAGTCGGGCACTTGCAATACACGTTGCCCTGGGGCGACGCCTTATCTACGTAGACATGCAGCACGCCACCATGCTTGTTACATTCGCTAATGACGTCATCCCGAATTTCAATGTCCCAACTTGGATTTGTCTCACTGAAACAATATTAGTCATCATTAGTTTTACTTTCATTATAGGCTACTCTCGCACAATCGGTTTTAATTTAGTTGATTTTAATCTTATTTAAGTAATGAACTTGGTATTCGTAGGCGAGCGGAAAAAAGCACTTGGAAGCTCTTGTAGGCAAAATGTCGATCGCTATCACTGCTGAAAAATGAATGAAACACGTTACTATTAATTAAGTTAGCAAACGTGTCCTCGCCGAACTGCTGTAGCGATGCCGTTGCTTACAAGCGTTTCCAAGCGCTTTTTTCCGCCAAACACCCCCAATACCTTTCTCATAATATGAAGCTAACCATAGACAACTCTAACTCATAAAATATCAGGGTTCGAAAATATCCGATATTTATTATAAATGTCAAAATATCGGATATTTATGATATATATCCGATATATATCAACTTTGATATATATCAATTTTGTATGAAAGCCATAGTATTATTTTATTGTATTATTCATGAATACTATTGCATATGTGTTACATAAACATGTTTTTAATGTTCTTAAAACTTAAAATCAGACAAATAAAGAAAAACATAAAATGTCTTTGAAATACGGCAAAATCAACTAAAAAAATAAAAATCTTATGTCAAAAAGTACAAATACAGTAACAAATTTTAAAAATTGATATATATCATCAAAACCGGCTTGATATATATCCCTTGATATATATCCTCGAACCCTGTAAAATATGACTTAAAAATACTTACGTTGCTGGATCAAACATATTGTTTAACATGAAGCATTGTGTTGCGATTGGTGGAGCCACTTGGGGTTGAGGGTTGACCAGTGCTGAGCCTGCGCCCATTAATACCGATGCAGCAGCCGGCGGTATCTGAAAACGGTGTTAAATATATTACAAAACCTTCATAATTATACTCACTTAATAAAATATGGGACAAAAGAACCATTGGTTAGGTGTAAACAAAATAACATACCTGAAGTCCTGTACCCTCAGCAAGTTTGAACATAAGTTGTAGTCTCCCGGTGGCCCCAAGATCAACACCAGCTCTATCCAGTTCGTCTGCATCAAAACGGGTACTAGATCCACCATCTGTGCGCTCTGTAACATTGCCTACTTTCATGGGACGGCCTGCTAACTCAAAACCATTCAATTGTTCCATAGCTTTCTTGGCATCAGGTGCATGGTGAAACTGAAAGAAAATACAAATATAATTTAATAATCACAATACAAAATGAGGCAGTTTAAAAAAAACAACAGCAACTCACCGTTAGAAACCCATATCCTTTACTTTTGCCTGTTTCTGGATCTGTCATAAGTTGTATGTGATCTATCTTTCCAAATGGTTCAAAAATACCCCGTAACATATCTTCAGTTATATTAAAGTGCAAGGAGCCAACATAAAGCCTGGTTGGGCCATTACTAGTCTTTGGAGCTAAGTTAGGCAGTGTGTTCCCAACTCTGTTTTTCTCAGCTTGTGTGTGTTGCACTATTATTGGTACACCTAATAACTTTTGTCCTGTCAACCCCAGGGCCTGAAATTAAAAAAATAAACATTAATCTATTTGACTAGATATGTATGACATGAAATTACAAATAACTCCAAATCTAGCTTACCAGAGGCACGGATTCAGCATCTTTGAATTCAATATAAGCTATCCCTTTGAATCTTCTGGTCTTATTACATGTAATAAGCCTTACATCTCTAACTTTACCAACAGAAGAGAAAAATTCTTCTAAGTCCTTAGCTCTAATTCGTTGAGATAATTGCATGCAAAAAACTGTGCGCAAGTCTCTCTCTTCTGGGGGCAGGTCTTCTAATTTAGGTTCAAGGCCTCTAGATGTGGAGCGATATTCTTTATCTTTTTCTTTACTTTTTTCTCTTTTATGGGAGTGTCTGTCACGACTACGCTCTCTATCTTTACTACGATCTCTATCTTTGCTGCGCCGCTTATCCCTATCCTTTTCTCGTTCCTTCTCCTTATCTTTATGGCTACGGTCTCTATCCCGGTCCCTACGATCCCTGTCCCTCTCGCGTTCTCTATCCTTTTTGTCATCCTTGTCTCTTGAGCGACGTGAGTCTCTGTCACGTGATCTTCTTTTTTCTCTTGATCTGCTGCGTCTGAGTACATAATGAACAAAAAACATCAATGTAGATTAAGTTAAGATATTGAAAGGTTAAAATAATTATATGAAAACTACACTTAGTTAAAAGATGACTTTCAAATTAAAATATTACCTTCGACTTCCATCTCTGTCCCTTTCTTTGTGCTTATCAGAATACTTGTCCGATCGATGCTTTGAAGAGGAAGTGTTATCCTGTCACACAAAGCACAAGGTAGAAGCAGCGCCAACAGCAACACACGCCGAGTGAATAAATAAACATTGCATTAGTTACATAATAAAGATTTTATGATCATCTGCGATATTTCATCATTGACTTGATGAATGTCACTGATGAAGTAACACAAATGTCCAGGAATTACTTTTCTTATGCTACTGAAGGTGGCCGTTATATTTTAACAGCTATCGTCTGAGTCATCGATGTCAGTCGCGTTGCCCTGTTCTACACTTACCAGTCATTAAATCACTGACAAAGGAGGCACACAGCGCTAACATCACACACGGATACTTCTGCAAAAGATTTACGACCCATCAGCGCATGGTCTTGTTTCTCAAATAGGACTAGGTATAATATATTTTCATCAGATTTCAGCTATGTTTTTAACTCATGATAAAGATACATCAACAAAGTTTTGAACATTGAAAGAAAATAAAAAAATAGGTAAGTAGTATAGTAGTGGATACCTCTCTGTCTGTTCAGGTTGGTGAAGTATGCTGGACTATTACCACAAAGTTCTATAAATACAAGAAATGATTCTCAAATGTAATTTTGTTCTAGAATTCTTACTAAGAACTGTTCAAAGATGAAATAAAAAGATGTGCTAAGTAGGTATGTAAGTTACAATAAATAAATCAATATTTTATAACATCTTTGAGCAGTCTTTCCTAATGAAATGTTCATCAAATATAATAATGCCTAAGAATTTCAAACTAGTGTAAAGATTTTAGTGTGATTTGACAGTGAATGTTTTGATACATTCTTACATGATTTTTTCATACAGAATAAAACAATTACTATTGTACTGACATTACTAATATGATGAAAAAGTGATGACATAAATTTTATTTCAGATAATGATTTCAATTGTTAGAAAATAAATAATAATTATGCCCATTTTAGTTTGTTAAAAATAGGCTAAATTTACTACCAGTTAATGTATGTAAGATTTTTTATAATTACTTTGTACAAATTTAAATTATCTTTTGAAATTTATGAAATATTGATATGACATTCATAATAGCTAAGATACTTATGTAAAAAATACTCACCGATTTATTGTAAGGGGCTTCTAACATAGCCTCTACATCCAAGTCTTCTGCCATTCTGTAATTAAAAAGAGACAAGAACTGAATGATTAAGTTAGGACAGTTTGCATGATGCCATTATGATGCACCAGTATCTGGTTAAGTAGTAGGTAATATTTTACAAGGGTGTTTCAATTTTACTAATAATAAACCAAGCTAAAGGGGTTAGTTTTGTGCTGGATACAAACAATGAATGTTTTACTGATAGGCTTGCCTACCTAGGATTCGAACCCGCAACCTCAGCTAACGTAGTTCTCGACGCCTATTCAAACCACTAGGCCAGACGTGGAATTTGATTACAAACCAATAAACATTAAAATGTAGGTCAGGTACTCATCGATTAATCACATAAATATTTCCATTTTGAAAGAGTATTACAGAAAGAAATTAAAGATTATTATCTCGAAGAGGCAATGTTGAAATTGGGATACAGAAAATACTTTATCTGAAATATGAACATAAACATGTAAATATCAATTTCTTGATTGAATTGACGGTTTACAATTTGTAACCATTTTCGATTTAGTTCTGAACTTCTGATTGAGACCATTCTATTTTAACATTAACAAGATGGCGTGCGTTTCAACAATCGAACTGCTAGGGTGAACGTGAGTCATAACCAAAAGAATTAGGTTACTTGCTTACCTTATGTTCTATAATTTCCAACAACTATATTAAATAACAGCAGTCGTCGAACAAGTGTTATTATCACTAAAATAATTTGTTCGTTTGGTACAAAAATATGTGTAATTATTGCAAAATGCGAAGGAGCCCACTCCCACGGCAACAGAATCACAGACAATAGAAGCGATAATAAACAATATAGAGGTTAGTAGCAGAGAGAAACGAAAGCATAAACTATAATGGTGCAAGTACACTATGTGGCAAATTGACCGAGACGAAGCGCGAGCCCGCACACCGAAGTACGGGCGATACACGGCGAAACTAACCGAAGTTTGTGTTTACACTACGTACGTCTTGATTAATTTGTCACATAGTGTACTTGTGCCTAAGAAATAAGGCTAGACACACACGAGTGACTTTTCATCGCCGTGGCAGTATGTCTGTCTCTTTTGCACAAACAGCATTGTCGTACTCTGTTACTCATGTGACACTTTCTATCTCCTCATCTCTTTTATCTCTCCATGTCAGTGTCTCTAATAAAGTGTCAAAAGCATAGAGAAAAGTGTCAAAAGTCTATGTTTGTTTATAGTTAATGTTGTGTGTGTGTGATGGAAAATGTGCTACAAGATACGTAAATAATAAAATTTTGTTTGCGTTGATTTACAGTACTTAGATAGGATAATATTTGTATTGTAACAGATTTAAATAATAAATTACTTTAAAAAATGACTACAGCCGCAAGACCCACTTTCGACCCAGCCCGAGGTGGTCAGGGTCGTGGTGAAAAAGATCTAAGTGCTATTTCTCGCCAATATTCCAGCAGAGATCTTCCTGGTCATACTAAATTAAAATACAGGTATGCAAATCTATATCACATGTATACATACGGTTAGACTGAACAGGAATGAATAAATAATCTTACCCCCATACTGATTAATCTTGTAGACTATTAAACTTGAAAGATAGATCAGGAGTCTGTGATGCATTAGATTTATTTAGGTGGTAAAAATTCCTTTTACAAATCATAGATAAACTACTAACAATTTTGCTGCAACATTTATGCCCCACTAACTTATTGCTTGGTTTCTGCTGTACCAATATTTAATGTTAAGTCTGACATTTCAGAGAGCAAGGGCAGGGAACGACTGACGAATTAAGATCTCGTGATTTCCGCAAGGAATTGGATGAGAGGGAAAAAGAAGTTAAAGGTCCTAGTGCAAGAAGACAGAACGAGCCACCAGTAAAAAGAGCTAAAATTGACCAAGTACCTGCAGCAAGTTTAGATGCTGATGATCCACTTGAAGGTGATTCATCTGATTCCGATGATTCTGATGATGACACAGCTGCCTTGTTAGCGGAACTTAACAAAATCAAGAAAGAACGAGCTTTGGAACAGGCTAAAAAGGTAATAATTGGCATTTGCTTACTTAAATGATTCTTACTTAGGTACTATTTTAATTTTTATGCAATATGTTGTACTTTTGTTGTAATGATAATAATACCTTTTACACTATTTTGTATAAAGACTAAAATGTGTATTCATTCATTACTTACAGGAAGCTGAGCGCAAACAGGAGGAAGAAAGGATACGCATGGAAAATATATTGTCTGGAAATCCCTTGCTAAATTACTCTGCTGCTGGACAAAAAAATGATTTAAAGGTAAAAATGGTTTTATTTTGTTTTTCATTTTAGTGTATACCTATAGGTAACCATAAATATTACAATACAAAGAATGTATATTAACCAATAAAAATAACTAATACCTACACTTTTAATTGCAGGTAAAAAGGAGATGGGATGATGATGTTGTGTTCAAGAACTGTGCTCGGTCAGAACCAGAAAAGAAGCCAAACAGTTTTATCAATGATTCACTAAGATCAGAATTTCACAAAAAGTTCATGGAAAAATATGTTAAGTAGATGAGAACTAAGCTGATAATTATAATTCCATATTTCCATTTTCATTAAAATAAATAATTTCTATAAACAAATATTAATTTTATTTTATAAAGGTATTTCCATGTTATGAAATGCAACATAATTGCTAAATTATGAAATTTTTTACTCAATAATAGACTATTAGACCTTACCACATAATTAGTAATAGTAGGTACCAGCCTTACTCAATCTCAAGTATAAATTCAGACCTCTTATTGGTACACATCACCAATCAATCACCATGCTATAAGTATAATCTATCCTTGTGTTTGAAACGAGTATTGAGCGTCGTTTTGTAATATTGTATTATGATTCCGTTAATTAATTGAGTTGATTACTGGATATTTATTTTCGCAATAATTATTGAAAAACATTGACAAAATCCGTACTTTGGGTTTGTGGTGCGTGCTGAACTAAATAGGAAAACAAAATATATTTATACCTGAATGTAATTTTTTGATACACATGATATATTTTTAAATCGTTGGTAGGTACTTATCTAATTTAAACAATGTTCTTTTAATTTTGAGTCCTCTAACTATCCTATTTTGACGTCTAGTTTAAATAAAGTAAAAAATAAATCCTCAAAACGAATTCCATCTATCGATCAATTCGCTCCATACGTTATCTGGAAGAGATTGCTAATCGCCAAGATGCTATTTAAAATACGCGTTCGTAATACATACACCCGTCTTTAAGTATTTGAACATAGAATATACCTATGTAAGTACTTGTATACATTAATCTTGCGCTCTATACATTACTCGTACCTAGCACGTCTTGTCTTCTAGAATTAGATACACTTTTAGTACACCCTGTATTAAATATGATCCTTTGTTTTCGCGTTTCATACTTCTTTAAAACGATGTTTGCGTGTTAAGTGATTGATCCTCACCGCTCGCGCTCGCTTATGATACTCTGAACTTTCTTACTTATCTTCATTACTGTAACATTATTAGCGTTGTTTAACTGCGTTGTAAAGTACGCATTTACAATCTGACGGCAACGATTCTAAGTGTGCGTCTGCGCCGGTCAATGTTGTTTACGTTATTCATGTGGCAAGGGAGGGGAGGAATGTAGTGAGTGCGGCGCTGGCGGCCTACCTTGAGTGGGCAGGTTCGGCGGGAGACCCCGCCGCGCGCCTCAACGTCTCAGCTCGCCAGTCACTGGCCGCTCTGGCACCGAACATGGCCGGTCCGAAGCTGGCGTGGCAACGTGCGTGCTTCCTTGTTGTGCTGTTGTTTACTTTAGCGGAGGCGCTGCTCTCCGGATTATATATAGACAATGGTGATCAGACAATGATACATCATTCGATGACGCGAAACGAGAGATTAGTCGTGGAACACGAGATACTGGAACTTTTAGGACTCGGAGAACGACCGAGGCGGGCCCAGGCTCCTCCGCTGGACCGCTCGGCGCCCAGCTTCCTTCTGGACGTGTACAAGCAACTGGCAGAGGAGCACGAGCAAGCCCGTCCTACTCGCAGCTCCGAAATGGCCTTAAGTGGAGAAGAACAACAGGCGATTGATGAAAGCGACCTGATTATGACTTTTCAAAGCAAAAGTAAGTAATAAACTTGAATAATTTAATTAAAATTTAAAGGTTACAATAACTTACCTTGTTACAGTGAAAATATCCTGTTAATAGTATCATTTTGAACAGTTTATCCTTCATTCTTAAGTAGGACAAAAATAATCCTATTTTCCGTTTGATGTTTACCTGAGTTCGATGCTATCCAAAACAATTCTAAGCGCTCGAGAACTCACTAGGCGTTATTGATATGTGAATGCTATCTTTACCCATCGTACCTACCTTATACCAATAGTTTTGAACCTTTTATAGATGACATACAGAAGTTACATACATAATTAACACATCTGCTATTATTAAAATACTAGCAGCCTGTTTTGATTAAGAATTTATAGAAATCCCTGTAGAACTCTATATTTTGGTAATATTGTTCTAATGTAACGTTATAAGAATATGAAGTAATTTATTACGAGTACCTATATTTGATTAGTTTACAAAAACTTTACTATAAAGAAAATTTAACAAACTTCCTACGTATCAAGCAGGCTGGTATTGAAATTTCAATGTAAAATAATAAGATTTCGCTATTATAAGTAGCATAGATTTCTACTACTACCCTATATTTGGAGTTTCATACCTACGGTCGGTACCTAAAGCTTTTGAATATTTTGAGCAAATAGTCACATGCTCTACCTATATCGAAGAAATTCTCGACTAGGCCTTTGGAAGCTACATTTGCCCGCTAATACGGATACCTCTGGCTGGTAGACATGTATAAAAATAACTGTTTTCAGTTAGGTTTAAATAATTGAAAGTTCGCATGTAGGTAGGTACCTACTGCTTACTGCATCTATGTATTATCGAGAAGTCTAGCAATAAAGAAACTAAAAGTGGGCAACGTCTCTACATAAAACAAATCCACCCAAAACATAAAATTGATTTAGTCAGTTCTTAGATATTTCGTAGATGTGAATTTCTAAGTATTCCTAAGTTATGCGCAAAGGCAAAGGAAGGGCCTCAGGTAATGTGGCGACGGCTGAGTCACGGCTCACGGGCCACCGCATACCACACAGATTGAAACCGGCGCCAGTTTAACAAAAAAGAACATAATTGTTTTATGGCACGAACTGCCCAGGAGAACAAAACCATTGGGTTTTTTGTTTCGTTAGTGGCTATTCCAGTAACAGCTTTCTTCGAAAAGTGGTAGCTTTTATTTATAAAAAACTCTCGCTCTATGATATTGTTAAAATCCTATCTTACTGGCTCTGCAGTTAAATAGCAGATAAAATGACCATTATGTCCATAGATGTTATTATTTCTAGGAACATATTATGCGAAAACAGTTCATCTGTGTTATTGTGCATGTAGTATCCGCTATTCATTATTCTTATCACAAAGAAGTGATAAATAGATGAGGCAGACATAGTTGTTACTTAGGTATTACCAACCTACTAAACAGCATTATGCTTTTTAGTCGTAGGAACATTGTGGAAATTAAGTTTAAAATGAAAAGTTTACGATTGCTTGCTCAAATCGTGAATTCAATGAAAAGCTACTGCGCTTTTATTACAAACAAGTACGAGAAATATTTAACCTTTTTTGAATAGGTTGGTATTTGCCTACCCATTGATAGGTAATTTTACCTACTTCTGATTTAATAGCAGTCTATACTACACCTGCATTAGGTGTTAAATTACACTCGTCAGACAACTCGGCACCTGCTACCGACCTCTCCGATTCTCCATATTATTTTACTTGCAAATTGACTTATTTATTAGCTAGTCTTCTAATAGATGTGTCTCCTCATGTTATTCTAAACTTTATAATAATTGAGATAAAGTTGTTACTCGTATTGTAGTTGTCCACACCTACTAATTAAGGTACATGACCTACGTTGCAGCTCACACACAATAACACTATTATGCTCAATTATGATTGTTTTAATCATGCTATTGTGTGGCGCATTGAGTTATTTCTATTATTAGATTCGCCATACATTTAAGACGCCCTATAATGGTAGGTACTTAAGAGACTAAGAGTAGATTTATTTGTAGACAAAAAAGGAAGCTGTGTAGGTACATTAATTGTCTTAATTAGTAATAATTAAGTTGTAAAGTGGTCAGTTCACCGTCATATGTGAGACCTTGCGTGCGCCCCGAGGACTTCGTTCATAGGATGAACATCTTAAATTGTAAATTGCATAGATAATCTTTAATAATATACAAATAAATGCTAAATATTTATACTGTAAAACAACATCATCATTCAAGGTGTGTAAAGAGTAACTTAAGTACTATATTAAAATACTTACCTAAAAGGATAATAGATAGAAAAGGAAGAAGTAGGATAATCTACCTGCAGCAGTGGCCGTAGCTTCAATGGCTCCAAAGTGCAACAGTTTGTTTATGACACAGGTTAAAGTGCATTCTGATTTGCATTGCGTCACAATCTAGCGTAATCCCAACTCTGTAAACTAAACAGTGCCCGCGAAATACGACTTCTCTCTGTCTGCGACTTAATTGCATTGCTGTGTTTGATTTTACCCACCACTAAGTAGTAGATACTACATCCAGCTTTACGTCCAGCACTAATGAAAGCGCATTTAGTTGAAAGCCATATTATTTTTCCAATAAGCATTAAGTAGGTACGTTGTGCTTTCTACTAATAAACAACTCAAACTTTATTCTACAGAACGCAACAGTGCAAACGGCGAACTTAATGCTATAGAGCTTTCTCTTCCAGTCAATCGTAAAGAATTTCGTGATCCTTGACAGTGAAGGAACTATGAAGAAGGAGAAAATCATAATATAAGTAACAACTGACTATTATTTACACCATCTGCTGTAATTATTCAAATTTTTTAGAGTTTAGAGTCGACTGGTTCATCCAGTGTCTAAGTAGCTCTGATAGAAAGAGCATTCGCTCGGTATGCGAAAAGTCGTGGGTTCGATTCCCGCCTTAGGTAGGAAGTTCGATTTTTTCAAGCTATTTATAACCATTTGCTGTAATTTTCCAGAACGTCACCTAAGTAGCTCTGATAGAAAGAGCATTTATTCGCTCGGCAAGCGAAAAGTCGTGGGTTCGATTCCCGCCTTAGGTAGGAAGTTCGATTTTTTCAAGTTATTTATAACCATCTGCTGTAATTTTCCAGACCATCACCTAAGTAGCTCTGATAGAAAGAGCATTCGCTCGGCAAGCGAAAAGTCGTGGGTTCGATTCCCGCCCTAGGTAGGAAGTCCGATTTTTTCAAGTTATTTATAACCATCTATAATTTTCCAGAACATCACCTAGGCGCGCTGCGACATGGCCACGGGCGGCACGTGTGGTTCGAAGTGGCGGGCACGCCGGGCGATGCGTCTGCCCTACTCACCGCCGAGCTGCGCTTGCACCAGGCGCCTACGCACACGGACCTCCCGACTAGCCTGTACACGGTCGTGGCCCATCGCGTGCTCAGCGTCGACAATTTAGGGTGAGAATTCCGTGGTGCAGTTGATAGCACGTCAAGTCCTTGGCAGGGGATGATAGCTGCCCCCTAAATGTTACGTATTTTCCACATGTTAGGTTTTCGACAAGTTTGGTTTTCCACAAGTTAGCTTTTAAATAAGTTAGGTTTTCGACAAGTTTGGAATTTCACAAGTTAGGTTTTCGACAAGTTTGGTTTTCCACAAGTTAGCTTTTAAATACGTTAGGTTTTCGACAAGTTTGGAATTTCACAAGTTAGGTTTTAAATAAGTTAAGTTTTCGACAAGTTAGGTTTTCCACAAGTTAGGTTTTAAATAAGTTAGGTTTTCCGCAAGTTAGGTTTTCGACAAGTTTGGTTTTTCACAAGTTTGGTTTTCCACAAGTTAGGTCTTAAATAAGTTAGGTTTTCGACAAGTTTGGTTTATCACAAGTTAGGTTTTCGACAAGTTTGGTTTTCCACAAGATAGGATTTCCACAAGTTAGGTTTTCGACAAGTTAGGTTTCTGACAAGTTAGGTTGTCCACAGTTTTCCACAAGTTAGGTTTTCGACAAGTTAGGTTTCTGACAAGTTAGGTTTTCCACAGTTTTCCACAAGTTAGGTTTTAAATAAGTTAGGTTCTCCACAAATTAGATTTTCCACAAGTTAGTTTTTCCACAAGTTAGGTTTCCACAAGTTATGTTTTCGACAAGGAAGGTTTTCGTAAAGTTAGGTATAAAAAGTTGGGTTTTTTTATGGTTTGGTATGCTAAAAAAGCTTAAAAGCTTTTTAATGAAATGTAAAAACTAAATTGTTTTGTGTATGATCTTACCTTGTTTTTTAGTTATTACTTGAAACCTTTGCAGAGGTCTGCAGCTGGAGGAGGTGGCAGCCGTGAACACGAGCGCGGGCGCGGAGGGCTGGCTCGAGCTGAACGTGACGAGCGCGATGGGCGCGTGGCTGCGCTCCCCTGCCGATAACCACGGCTTCTTCATCACCCTTCACCCACACTCGCAACCAGGTTATTACTAATGAAATGCCTATTAAAAACTAAACTGTTGGCTTGAAAAATCTGGAATAATTTATGATAATAGTTAGTGTTTTTTATGAATTTTCAAGGAAAACTATAGCGGTTAAGATAGATCAGTTAGTTCAAGAGTAAGGCGGTTATCACACTGCGCCGCGCTCCGAGGGCGACAGATTTAATCATTGTATGCAAGTACCTCAGTTTGTATAGAAAACACGCGCGGCACTTCACACTGACAACGCGTCCGCGCGTGTGATTTTTTATATGAAAATCACGCGCTCCGTGGCGGAGCGCGGCGCAGTGTGATAACCACCTAATAGTCGTTTTACTCATGTATTATAAAATTTCATACGTACTTAATAAATATTCCTTAGAAGAAAATATTAAAAGAAACTTTAGATAAAGTAATTGCTTACTTCTGAAATATATTGTGGTAACGACGGACAACTACGGAACCCTACACTGCGCGTCGTCGTGGCGTCGTGGCACGACACTCACTTGGCCAATTTATTGTTAGTCAAGAAAAGCATGTCAACTTTACATTTTGGAAGTCATGTCCACTTTTAGACTCCCCGCAGACTATTTTTTATTCGGCCGACTACACGGCTTATAATTTAAGGAATCAGCCAATCAATTCGGGGTAATGTGCGTAAAATATTCATACCTACTGATTAACATCCCCATCAAACTATTCGCTGACAAAAATTCTGTAATCTCTGGAGAGTCTTAAAGAGGGTCAGTCAGATTCAGCAATGATTCTAGCACATGACGTTTCACTTTCTTAAGTGTCTGCTCTAACTGCTTTCCTAAATCAAAATATTGTGTGAACAGTAAATTTCAAACCGTGATTTTGGTCATGAGGAGCTAGCTCCTCAGCTAGCTAGCGTGATGATTTTTTACCCTATCAACACTTCGAGACAAATTATTATTCTTCCAATGAGATGTTTTCAGTAATTAAGAAAAGTGTAATTTTTTTAGAGCGTAATATGAAGCCTGAAGAAATCGGTCTAGAAGAGCCTCGTGGTACGGTTGTGGAGGGAAAGCAGCCGTTCCTCGTGGCATTCTTCAAAAGCGGGCCAAAACTTGACACGTCGGAGGCGGGTGCGCGCCGAAAGAGAGAGGCTAAGCGCTGGCGAACTAACTCCGATAATTACCTGAGGAATCCACTCACTGGTAAGTAAACACTATTTTTGAAAATCCAACTGAGTTAAATAATACTTAGTGAGTTCACTGCAATTGGTCAGAGTCAAATTAGCGAGCCTGAACGTTTCAGGAGCTGAGTTATTGTTTCCTACATTTCAATCTACTTATCTAAAATTAATTCTAAGAAGTACCTAGATTTGTTTAATCCTCTTACATTAATGTTTTATCTAATTGAATTGAAATGCTTATTCGTAGATTCGGCACATTGGACGACGAGAAGCTGTGAGATTCAGACTTTATACGTCAGTTTTAAGGACTTGGAATGGCAGGTTTGTGAAAGATCATTCTTATATTTTTTGGTCTTTTATATTTAAGTTATTCTATCCTTGAGGAAGTTTGTCTTCTGACTGAAGAAGATATAATATGGAATCTATTTGCTAAATTATGTGGTAGAAATTGTTGTAGAAGTAAAACAAATGTTATACAGGATTGGATCATCGCACCGAACGGCTACGGGGCTTTCTACTGCAGCGGCGAGTGCAACTTCCCGCTGAATGCGCACAAGAACGCCACCAACCACGCCATAGTGCAGACGCTGGTGCATCTGTTGAACCCTACTCAGGTATCTTACCTTCACTTATTTGTGGCCATGCCTTAGCGTAGTGCACTTCTACCTATGGGTGTCTTTTGTGCATAGCCCTACTCACTTAGGCCTAATTCAACCAAACTTTTATCCGAGAATAACCCCTGGTATAACTGGCATATTGAAAACAAAGATAAAGCTTTTACTACAAAAGAGATTCGGATTTCATCCACAATACGACACGTGGTATTTTTTCATGTAAATCTTAAATGACTTGAGTATATTTTCTCTTTTATCCATTAACCAGCCTCTAAATAATAGTCTAATTTAGTATAGTAATAAACCTATAAATTTTATTTCCAGGTGCCAAAACCATCTTGTGCTCCCATCAAACTGTCCCCGATATCGGTGCTCTACTATACCGACGACTCGAATGTAATCCTGCGCAAGTACAAAAATATGGTGGTCAAAAGTTGTGGATGCCATTAGGACTTAATATGTAGTTAGTATTAATTAGCTAAACAATCATCAGATCCAGTTAGGTTATTATTATGTTGATATTTTAAACTTTTCTAGTTACAAGTCGAATCTCAATCTCTTTATATCTTTTTTTATGAGTTTTCAAATATTTCTAGACATTGTCATTTAGTAAAATACTCTATACACAATAATCCTTGACATAATCGTACCTTGTTTGATTGAATGTTGCTTAATGACTTGTGTACTTAGACGAGAAAGTAATTTTACTATTACGCTTAAAATCGTCACATTTAATTACTTGCCCAATTAATTTTGCCACTTATTTTATGTGTGTAAATGTAGATATTAAATATTTTATTTAACGGCAAGGATTATATTTTAATTTTCTTTAAAATGTATTTAAATTAAATTAAGGAAGGAGTAACTTATGTGCCAACAAACCGAGTCACTTGTAGAATAATTCATATTCTTAGATGTACCTAGGTAAGATATTATGTTTTGTATCGATGAATAAATAAACAACTTTTTAATACTTATATTTTGTTTACTAAATACCCATAATTATGTCATCTTATATTTTTACATTAGTTTTTTTTTCATATTTTTTTTCACCTACTTACCTATTTACTCTATACAAGAATCAAGAACCAATCTTTTTACGTTGACGGGCCATGATTGTAGTTTATTGCGCGTTTAATATTAATAAAATTGTGGTAATGAGTGATAATAACAATGTCCTATCTTATAAATAGCGTGTTGTGCATGCGCTGACTAATAAATTGTTTCACAAATTGCGACAATATTGCATATCCACATCCATCGAAATTTATCATGGGAAGGGTAGAGTTGAGCTCTCAATGAAAACAATGACTCACCTAAGATTGGTATTATTTTATGGACAGTACCTACCTACCTAACATCCTTCGTCAGCCGAGAGCAGCCAAACTACGTAGATTTCCTTTGCTCTAAAATATAGCTGGACTTTTGATATTGATCTCAAACATCAATCGCTAAGATATACGAGTATATTGAAAGCAGTCGAATTTTAATTCAAATATCTAATATGAAACTGTACCAAAAATTGTAATGTTAAGTAGTTTGCTATTATTTAAGTAAAGTTCGGTGAAATTCTGACAAACCCTCTTTCAACCCTCTCCATTGGACATGCCATGAGTTCGATGATCATATAATAATTTCCAACGCAGCAATTCGGCAGTCTCCAGTGAAGACCACCACGCCTGGAATCTCTTGGAAATTCTAATGTAGGGTAGATAGAGTTGACTTTTTCGACGCGACGTGAAAAAGATTAATTATTTTTATTAATTTCATTAGCTTCTTTGTTATTAACTGGATCAATATGACGTCATGCGATACCGGATTATTTCAAAACACGTGGTTATATTTTTAGTTCAGTACTGTATTTATCAGTATGATATTTAAAGATAAGTATTTTTTATCGATACTCTTTAAAATTACCTAAGATTCTCAACAATCGGTGACGATGAGCAAAACATTTTATATCTACGAATACGATTTAGATTCTTGGTAATCAATCAGAATTTTATCACTTATCAGTTCGGTTTCTGAATCGTCGTCTTTGTTACATTAACACGACATCGCTTAGCGTACCCATCGTGTTTACGTGCGCGTACCTTTGCTTCTTTTAAAGAGGAGGGGAAGAAATTGTTGATATTATAAGTTTGAAGTGTGTATTACATAACTGCATTTATTTGTTGTTGTGTTATTGCACTGAACACAGAGCTTACGGCAAGTTTTGAGAAGTTTGCATAAAAAGCGTGTGAATTCAGACGCGTAGAGCGCTGCCCACTTCGCTGAATTCAAGGCCACAGCAGCCTCTGGGGTTCCCGCGGTCGCCGCACACCGGGATCACTGCCGAATTATTCACTCCTCCGCCGCCGGTCAGCCTCGACGGACGCAGCTCCACCCACCAGCCTCAGCGATGCTCCGCGCGCCGACCGTCATCCACTACCTGTTGTGAATCGAACTCTACCGCGTTGCCTTCGTACCGGTTACGATATAAAAATGTGGCGAATCGTTTTTTTGTATATTTGTGTTTGTGCTAGTGCCAATAATGACTTTCCAACCTTTCGCAAGTGTTGCCCGGAGGGCCAGAATCTGATAAAAGTGATGAACCCGGATGTTGTAAATCTTGAAGATTCGTACGAATGCCTCGATAGTGCATTTGAAACCGTTTACAATATTACCAATCCAAAGCCTACTCTTTTTGTGTCCGAAGGCGTTACTGTAGAGTATGGTATGCCTATGGAATGTGATTTTGAAATGATTCCTTATGATGGTAATATTCAATTATCTGAAAGCAGTAATTATTGCTATGATAGACTCGTTGTGGAAATAATCAATGGGACGGTGAAAAAAGTGATTCCTAAGACAATAGCTTTAGTGTGCAATGGAACTGAGCTTAACAATGAATCTAGCGTAAAAGTCACTAATATCCGGAAGTGCTGTCCACCTGGACAGACGTATGACACCGAGTTTCATATGTGCAGAAGAGGCGGTGAAGGTTACGATGAGAGGTGGTTGATAGAAAAGCTTCAAGCGTTTAGTGGCGTGGTTTATGAATTCGACGATGGACTTCAATGCAAGTCAGCTGAATATGCTGTAGAATTGAGAGAAGAGAAGTTCTTTATAGTTTTATTGGAGAGCAGATTAGATATTTCGAACCGTAACCGAGAGGGTGGTGGTGGACAGTCTCCTCAAGGCAATTGGTGCGTGGACCGGGAGTACAATAGTCGGGGGCTGGTGGCACGGGTGTGCACTGAGGATTGCTCCAGCTTTGATGCCTTGTGTGTTAGAAAGTGCTGCCCAGTAGGACAACACTACTTGCCTTTCCACTGTGGAACACTAGCTGGTCGGTGTGTGCCTAATAAAGATGACAAGGTGTTGTATGACTTATCCGATTATGTCCGTCGAACGAAGAGCAAATACGGAGTTGGAGGTAAGTTCGAAATCGAAAAGTATTTATATAAAAAGGGATAATTTGTTATACTCAGTAATTCAAATAAAGATAATGAATGATGAATATTACATTACATTAATGACTTATCTTGTGCACACACACATAAATAATCTTTACCACAATTTCAATATTGCATTGATTAATTTATTAAACACTTGTTTGCGTTTATCACCATGGAGTATGAATGCTCATGTAAAACGATAAAATACGTATACATCTGATACTTACGAAGACATAGAAGTAGGATCTTATCAAAACATAGGCTACTAATACTATTGTGTGGTCAGTGAGATGTGTATCTCATGAAGCGTAATATAGGGTAAATTTCCTATTGCCGGTTATAACATTAACCTAAGCATCCTATCTACTCGTATGAATTACGAGTATGTACTCGTACTTAAATTGGGCTGGGGTAGGGAACCCTAGAAATAATGTAGGTAAGCGATTACAATATTCTCAGATGTTACGGCCCATTAGACCGATCTATGGAACAAAGCGTAATTTACGAAGAAGTCAAAGATAAGGCATGAGTTTAGTCTTCGAACTTGTTACAGTTACATTTGCATCTATTAAAGTTTCTAAGTAATCTCACGTTTTACCTATTTATTTACAGAGTATAATAGTTTTTAAAAGGAGTGTACTGTTTCCCACAGATATAATGGGGTTACGGTCAGATATACAGTGCAAGAGCGGCAAGATATCGCTGAACAGGTCGTATCCTTCTGACTGGCACCACCTCACCAGGAAAGGTGACATGGAAAGTGCCTTAGGAGTGCGGAGCGACTACTGCCTCGAAGTATTTGACACCAGCTTCTGCGGGGTGGATCCGTACGTGTCGGCCGTCACGTGCTTCATCAAGGAGGCGCTGATAAAGGACTTCAGGTTGTCGTTTGTGGTAAGTTTTTTAAGAACACGTTCAGGGATATGATTGGTCAAAATACTGGAGTTCGAGCATTCAGACTTAAATTCGAATCAAATAAAATAACGTACTTTAATAATGGAATTTTCTCGCCACACGACATCATAATATCGCGATTTATTGGATGAATACGACACTCTGGATTAACGTTTACGATACGAATATTTAACTTTACTAGGTATACCTATCTGCATTTAGGTAGATGACATTTGACGTTTCAGGCTTTCCCTTAGCGGCATTGATATCAATTTGAACGTACCTACGTTTCAGTTTTTCCTTTTATCTATTCCAAGATAAAGTGAACAATAAGTGCTAGGTACATTTTTGGTCGTATTTCCCAGCATTTTGTAATGCTATAGGTTCCTCTTTTATTTATCATGTTGTTGAACATTTAATACAGTTTAATATATTATATTATGTAAGGTCATGTAAAAGAGTTAGATTATACCTTGTGTTGAACTTGCCTAAGATCTTGAGTTGTTATTTCCATTAAAGTTAGTTGATTGATTACAACTTTTAACTGTTCAGATATGTACTCCCTTTAAAGCAGCTTCTAAAATAATTTCAATCAATCTTTCAATCACTTTCATTTACATTTCAATATAAAAGCATTAAGATCGATGACGAAACATTGTAATTAATTAGGTATTTTAAAATAAAAATTGCAATTTAAAATCTACGATTGCTTACGCATGTCTATTTCTTCGTTTCGTTCGTTCGTAAACATTAATTTCGAAGTTAAAGTACCCAAGTATGCATAATATAATCTCTGTGGTCTAGTGGCACCTTTTTCAAACCCAGAGAGCCCGGGTTTAATTCCCAGTGAGACGAAATGTTTGATGGGTTAGGGCTTGTTCTAAGCCCACCTCTCTTACTGCCACTACCTTAGTCGCCATAACACTCGTATGTTGTTCGTTTCGTTCGTTGTTCAATAGGAATTGGAAGTAAAGATACCAGCCAGCCAGTTCTACAGTGGTTTAAAATTCTATGTTAAGCTCACATGTTAAGTTCCATGTAAAGTTTAATCATGAATCTTTCTACTCATAAATAAGCTGCACCAGGCTGCCCCATTGTAGCAAAACGATCCAAATCCCAACTAATATTATAAATGCGAAAGTAACTCTGTCTGTCTGTCTGTCTGTCTGTCTGTCTGTTACGCTTTCCCGCTTAAACCTCGCAATCGATTTTGATGAAATTTGGCATAGAGATAGTTTGAGTCCCGGGAAAGAACATAGGATAGTTTTTATCCCGGTTTTTGAAACAGGGACGCGCGCGATAAAGTTTTTCTGTGACAGACAAAATTCCACGCGGGCGAAGCCGCGGGCGGAAAGCTAGTATTAAATAATTTTGATTGTCTCCAGCTTAATAGCCTGTCAGCCGTGTGCCTGGCTCTGACGCTGATAGTCTACTGCGCGATCCCGGAGCTGCGAAACCTGCACGGGAGGAACCTGATCTGCCACGTCAGCATGATGCTGCTGGCGTACTCGTGTCTCGCGCGCGCACAGTACGAGTTCGTCAGTAATCGGACCCTCTGCACTGTTCTAGGTGAGTGATGTAACTGAATTTTTCTGTCGTCGTTTCAGCCAAATGATGTCCACTGCTGGACAAAGGCCTTCCCCAAAGTTTTCCATTATTAACGGTCCTTTTTGTTATTTTTGTTGTGTCGTGTTATAATTCTGAAAGCTTATTGATCTGCTTTTCCTACCTTCCTCTGTTTTCCGTGTACTTGTCTAACTGTTATTCTTTGCGAGCTGTGATAAGCGTAAAGAATGGAATCACGATTATTTTTCGATACTCAGATTAAGCGAATCGGCAAGGCCTTTGTCCATCATTTGGCTGTAATGAACGAATCGGACTGATTCAAACCTGCTATTATCTTTTCCAAACTGGGAATATACACAAAGTAATTTAATTACACTATTCCTACATGGAAATTTAATCCGAGAACTCTACATGGAGATATCAACGTACATTAATCTGTTCTACCGTGTAAGGCACAATCACTCAATCATACTGTCCTGCTTGAATACTCCATACAATAACTTCCTTCATGTTACTGTTAAAACGAGTTTGCTAATTAAACTGGAATTCCTATTTTTTGTGGTTAACAAAATGTTAAATCAAAATGCTGAGTAATTTCCTTGAGATACCTGTATCACCCAGATTCTTTGAAATGCGTAGGTAGTCTATTGTTAATAAATCACCGTAGCTCTGTATACCTAAACACACTGACAAGAGGATTTAAAACGTTTAACCACAAAAACATAAGTAGCTTATGAATGAAAAGCATTGATAGGTAATTTGATCTCTTTATCAAACAGGGTTTGATCAAGGTTTGTTATTTTTTTTGTAAATACCGAAGCAGTTATTTTGATTTATACAGAAGATAGGTTTTTTTAAATAAGGAAAAAAAGCATATTCTAACTACAATTATTTTGAGGTGGTCCGTAATTTATTGAGATTTAGTATTGTACTAGTTGAACTCAATATCCTGTCTGAGAAATTAAATGTATTGTGTTACGAGTACCTACACTTTATTAGCTCTACACAATATGATTATGTCACCTTCTCTACAGTTAAATACATTGTTAATCATTGTCATTGTTTTATGATGAATTACGATAAGTGCATAATAAGTTTCGATAGTAAGTGACTATGATCTATGAATTAGAACTTTGGATCTCTAGGGAGGCTCAGTGCCTTCACATAGTATTTCTATTAATATTCATTTTTTAAAGATTATTAGTTATTGCACAAATTACTAATAGTCCCGTTTGCCCCTCTTACTAAACTGTGCTTACATCACGAGTGACAATAGGCGAGCGGCGGCGGGATTCGAACCCGTTCCTCGGAACACGAATCAGCCAGTCCGACCCCTTCACCGTTGCGTTGGGCTATCGTGGCTTTCAGGAAATATTGCTTCATAATAATAAAAAATCTAGAACATGATTTTACTTTTGCACATATCACTACTCTACTACCCACGACCTTCCATTACTTTTATCTATGAGTTACAGTGAACGATCATTAACAAATGTACTTAATGAAGTGTCTTGTACGTAATAAATATTGTCTCTCGTCTGCCATGACTAAGAAAACGATATTAATAAATAAGTTCTAATCAGCTAGATAAATACGATCGCAGAGGACTCTTATCATGTGATTATTGTTTGATTTGTCTGGCAACCCTGTTTCGGGATAATTTGAGAACAAAAGCGTGTGTGCGGCGCCGACCGTTCGGAGTTGATCAATTATCGCGAATGTGTTGTTTGCTCAGGGTACGGGATCTACTTTGGCTTCGTGTCGGCGTTCGCCTGGCTTAACGTCATGTGTGCCGACATCTGGTGGACATTTGGGTAAGTTCTGATTCTAACATGATGTTCAGCTAAATAATACTAACTGTATCACAAGTATCATTTACTAACTTTAATTTCAATTACGGTTTTACTTCTTCTTCTTCTTTTATTAATAGCGATGAACTTGTGTTTTTTCGCCACAGGGCACGGTTTTACTTTGAACTAATACTTACTCGTAAACCTATCTATATATACTATCTGTGGTCGCGATCTTCATCAGTGAGGGAACGAGGAAGAAGAATACTTAAACCTACCGAAACTCAACAAATAATTTCAAATTCTATAAAACTATGCCCGCAATCACCACCATCGATAACCAATTTGACAGATGCCTAATTTAGTTAACTTACTTTATGTTAGTTATTAATTAATAATTCATAACATAGTTAACCAATATTAGCTTATAATAAAATAAAAATAATTATGTGAATAAGTACCTAAACTTAATTATTGTAAAAAAAGCCAATGACGCGTTTCGGAACGATAAATAACTTTGTTTATGTTTCATTATCATTCACAGTCACTGATAAATAATGCGTATTTTAAAATCACGACCTAGTGTGTAGGGAGTACGTCATCCAATATTTGTAATTAAAGTTTGGCAAATATTGTGCCCAAATGAGCGAATAATTTAGTAGCGTTATTGTCTTTCGAAGTTAATTTGTAAGAGTTCTTTAAAAAATGGGATTAACTTAATTTTCAATTATGCTTTTTAAGTTAAGTCACGTCGCGCGGTTAAAACTTTCTGTGATAGAACGAAATACTTGCGGAGAAACTACGTATACAGATGCATATGCACAGATGCATACATTAGTGCTAGTTAAGATGATGACATCAGTATTTCCCATTCTTAACAAAACCATGCATGTGAATATTTGTTTATGTGATTCATTCATCCTAGACATCGTAATTTGAGTTATAGCTCACTGTGCCGTCATAATAAATATGGGTAATTGGGCACATTAGCATATATTCAGCAACTAATTGCCCACATAAGATTTCAAAGTATGTCTTACTTTGAATTTACGGCTGAATAGTCATAAATGCGATAGGTAGAGCTTCGTAGTCTGATTCTGAAATGTTAGTTTCATTAACACTCGTGATGCTAATAGAGTGTGATGCTAGTAAGTGACTCTACATTTTCAAGAAGTTACTGTCTCACAAAGGGTTTTCAAGTCGCAAAATGTCCAGATGTTTTTTTGTCAGATCGTCATCCACATTTAACTGATAAATGTTTTTGCATTGGTACTTATCACTAAGCTTTCGCCAAGTAACTAATTCTTTAGCATTAGTTTTCCTAAGTAGAGTTTTCCTAGACGCTTCCCAGAGGCTTCTTTGCGAAACTATGCATATAATATAGATATGTTTTCTTAACATTATCATGTTTATGATAACAGATCTTTAAAATTATGACATACATAATATAAATTACCCACATTTTTAAACATAGTGAAACACTTGTTAACTATAAATATTCCAAAATAGATGCCGGACTATTTATAATTTATGACTACTTAACTTATTTATAGATAAAAGCTCCAATTAATATTCAAGACGGCTTTCTTTCTATACATACTCGTAATTCGGGATATTTTTAATTTTGTATAATTCAAGCTAAACATTTGAAAAATTAAGAAAATCCGATTACCGATACTAGTTCTCGTTTTATCAGAATTCGCCATTTCCCTCGTAAGAAGGCCCGCATTAAACTTATGAGTAATCTTCCACTTTTGTAAATAAACACTTTGTGGGAAGCGAGTTGCCCAGTGTTAGCGGACCAAATACGTCATAGAAATTTCAACATACGCATTTTTTATATAAAAATGTGTAATCTGTGTACCTATCGGTTGAAATTGTATAGAGATGTTTCATAACATTTAGTGAGTACGTGCGAGAGATAGGTTGATGGTGTTACTATTTTTAGTACGACGAATAAAGTTAAAGCCATTGTTTTCATGATTTGGTAAATTGGCGTGGTTCATGCCTTGTAAAGTATAAAGGGTTTTAGATAAAATTTTCGGACACTTTCTTTCTGAGTCCCAGCTAGTTGTCCTAATAGACTTTCAACATTTTAATCACTAAGCGTTGACAGAGGCTTGTACCCTCTAAGTAGGTCTAGTGGTTTTTATCAAGGACTCGTTGTATGTGTAACATATATTCCTAAGAACATATTACCTCGTTGGCCCGTTTGTCGCAATGTGGACAAATGTTTATCTGACCGAACCGAACTGTTTACTTTAAATCAGTATTGTACTATTTGCGCAGAGCTCATCGCTTATTAGTACAGCTAAAAATGTAAATATAACGTCCATATTTAAATATTGCAGTTGGCTGAAAGTCTATTTTTAGACTACGTTTGTTTTAGGTTCGAGAATCATAAAATTTTAGTGCTTTTTTAATTTACAAGGTAACAAAACTGGCTTGTCTTGTCCTGGCTACGAGTACTACGGATGTATTATTGTCATCAAATAGTTTATTTACTTAGTTATTACAACAAGTATTGAAATAGTGCTTGAAATTTTCAAATATTACCTGCTGAAAAACAAAACACAAAAATATGATTTATGTTTTTCAACTCTTTCTTTTGTTTTTAAAGCTCTAAATATAGCGATCGTGCGTGTGTACCGGTTTTGAGAATTAGGGACCTCAGATCTGTCAAGGTTAAACCAAAAAAGCTGGAAGCTTTAAAGTGTATTAATTTCTTTAAGATTTGTGTGTGTTAATTTCTTTAAGATGAGGATGATTTATCATAACAGTAAGTAACACAAAGTTTGTTTCATTATTAAATAAATAATTAATTAACAAAGATATCGGAGCTGATGGAATCTATTTTGTTTGAAATTATTTTCCTAACTTATTTGTAGACACTTGAACGTGTTTGCACTCATGATTACTTTGTTCTTGAGCATGAGCTTTTGGCATGTTGACTGAGTAAATATTTAACTTGAACATATTTCATCTTCTGATCTAACTAACCTATTTGATCTGATATGAATGTATTTTATCATTTTAAAAAATTATGAACATATCAATCGCCCTCTACGATGTTGTATGATTAGTTAATACGATTTTAAATAAATATAGCAAGTCTAGGCGTTGTCAGGCGGTTCAGACAGAATAAACTCTACATGGACATTTTACCAAAGCTTTTAGTTCTTAATTAAATTAAAATGAGGCCAATTAAAAGGTCAAACATAATAGCATTAATAGAAATAAAATTAGGCCACATCACATCTAATAAACTGACAGGATTAAAAAAGTCACTTTCCTTATTAGCCACTAAGTGGGTGGAGCTAATTGAGGGGTGACGCGTCTCCGCCATGGACATGGCTATTATGGCTTTCACGAAACTCATTCATAGAATTACCTACACGTCAATCAAAATACATTAATAAAAGCCTAATTAATTTAACTTTTTATAGAGGGAGGATCGAATTTGTATTAATTAACAGGAACTTTAGAAACTTATTTGTACGGATTCGAAGAGCTTATCCACTATGATTTGTTTACAAACGCTTTGTGCTTTTTGCATGGTATGTCGATAATTCCAATGAAGAGTCGTTACTATAATAGCATTTAAAATAAAACGTATGGTAAATGTTAACGCGCGGGCGTGTTTACGATTTCATAGTTTGTTTGAAGAGCCCACTTACACGGTTACACACTAGTTACCAGTAAAACAGTTCAAGTAACCATGCTTTACTCATTTTAACTAAAATGACGTGTACCTTGATTTCATTATCAAGAGCTCTGCTGATTTTTACTTAGTCATGATTTATTACATGTGATGACAAGTTATTGTGAACAATGTTAGGTTTTCATATTCAAGTACCTATCAAGTTTTAAGTGCAATTACTCGTAGTTTAACAAGGTTGTTTTGCCTGAAAGTCCTGAAACCAAACTTTTACACCTAGTTTCAGAAAAACGGGTAAGGTCGACAACACAGACTTGTCGTAATATTTTATTAATAAAAGACGAAAATTGCTTAATGGACGGTGTTATGGCAGCTTTAACGACTCAATCAAGCCAAGTTAATAGTTATTGCATGTCGTTGCGCTTAGCGGTGGTGTTTCTATGTATTCGAACCACCCGTAAAACATAACACATTATATTCATAGCTCTTGAGCGAAGAACAAGCGAATAATGACATTCGGATTTTCAAACACTTTGGGTCTCGACTCGTGTAAAATTGACTGACAAAGGCAGTGCCGTATCATCCATAAGGCACTTTAGGCCAGTGCCTAGGGGCCCACTATGACCAGGGGCCCAGCAGCACTCCCGATAAATAAATTAAAAAAAATGTTAAAAATTATTTTTATGCAACAAAACTCAAACCACCTCAAAACTTCGCCTTATTTTGGTTTACACATTCAATCGTCATATTTCGATATTGTGGAACCTAATTCATTTTCGTAACGTTGGCATTACTGCTTTGGGCACGATAATACTATCTACAGTGTAGATTCTACACGGTAATACTATTTGTTTTACATGAAAGGTCGACGGTCAACGCCCTTCAGAGGCTAAAAAGCCTCACTGCGGAGGCTAGGGAGAGGGGTGAGGGTGTGTTGGCTGTATCATTCGATATAGCCAACGCTTTCAATACCATCCCTCATTCTACCATACTCTAGGCACTTCAACATCACAGAGTGCCTCAGTACTTTCGAGCGCTGCTGGCCGATTACTTACGGGACCGCGAAGTCCTGTATGTTAACAGAGACGGCCATCTCAAACGGCGCGGCGTAGCCAGCGGGGTTCCGCAGGGTTCGGTGCTCAGTCCACTCTTGTGGAACTTAGGCTTCAACTGGCTCCTCCGGGGCGTCCTTCTCGCGGGAATGAGTGTCATATGCTATGCGGATGACACTGGTCACTGTCCGGGGAAGACGTTTGGGGCCGCGGCACGGCTGGCGTCGGCGGGCGGCACATAAGTCGCTCGCAGAATACGATGCCTCGGCCTGAAAGTCGCGCTGGAGAAGACTGAGGCTTCTTTTTTCCAGGGCCTTCGCCAGCCTGCCCCTCCCGACGCCCACATTGTGGTTGAGGACGTTAGGATTGACGCCAAAGGCCAGATGAAATATCTGGGCCTCACGCGTGACAGAAGGTGGCATTTTAGCCCGCACTTCAACGGGCTAGCGCCACTTCTCAAGGCAGCCGGCGCACTGAGGTGTCGTCGACTTTATACCGGCGTCCTGAGGAGCATGGCGCTGTATGACGCCCCAATCTGGGCGGACGCACTCAACAAGAGGGAGAATGCTGCCCTTCGGCGCAGACCCCAGCGGGTCATAGCGCAGTGGGTCGCAAGGACCTACCGCACGGTAGGGCACGCTGCGGCGTGCGTCCTTGCTGGTGCTCCTTCTTGGGAGCTAGAAGCTTGGGAGATAGATGACAGACAAGATCCCTCTTGTCTGTCATCTATCACTGGATGGTAGACCAGAAGGCGCGTGGAAAGCTCCCGGCCCCGGAGCGGCGCGGCGCCGTCAGGCAGGAAGAGCGCGAGATCAAGATCGACCGCTGGAAGGAAGGAAGGCTGCCGCACTCTGGACGCCATTGATCCTGTTCTGGACCAATGTTGGAACGCGGGTTCCTCACGTTCCGTCTGGCGCAGGTGCTGACTGAACATGGCTGCTTCGGTTCGTACCTGCATAAAATCAGGCGAGAGGAATCCCCGCTGTGCCACAAATGCGACGTGGCGGATGACACGGTGCAGCACACCCTCGCGGTCTGCACAGGCTGGGAGGAGCAGCGCCGTGTCCTCACTGCGGTCGTGGGCCGGGATCTTTCGCTTCCGAGCCTGGTCAACGCCATGCTGGGAAGTGAAGGATGCTGGAAGGTGGTCGCCTCCTTTTGCGAAGAGGTCATCCTTCAGAAGGAGGCAGCGGAGCGCGAGCGGGAAAACGATCCTCTCGCACCATCGCTCCGCAGGTGGAGAAGGGGGTGGAGAAGGCGGTTGTACGACCGTTCTACTCTCCCCCCAGGTGGCAGCCAGTAGGCCGGGGGTGCGGCGGCACCCTTGTCTCCTCCGTCTGACGGGAACGGCTTGGCCTTTCGGGCCTTTCCCGTCGGACCCCCACAAGGCGGGCGTGTAGGGTGTAGGCGAGCTGTCTCCGGTGGTGTCGCGGAAGTCTAAGGCTACGGCCGGATACTCGCGATTCCCCCACTCGCGTGATGACGGAACGCCGCGGAGGTTTTAGTGGTTATACCCCGTCCTTTTTAGGGCGCCGGGAGTCCCACACACCACCCTGTCCCCCGGAAGTGGTGACGGTGCGCAAAGCATTTCCTCCGCGACAAAAAAAGGGGGGCCCGAAACGAGCTGTGCCTAGGGGCCCCGAGATGGTTAATCCGGCCCTGGACAAAGGTGACTGAGTTTCTTCCACCGCTTAACTTCTCAGCACCAGTCCTTAAGTTGTCCCGAAGTGGTGGTAGGGCAAGCTATACTTACTTGGGACGTGTTTAAGTGCCCTGGAAAGGACCTAATACTGAATAAAAAATTGATTTCATTTGATTAAAAAAAACCTTTTTATTATGGGTAGAGATGGATACTAGGTAGTGACAAAATGTCAAACAACACTTTTCCATGAATAACAGGAATTCTCACATTAAAGCTGCAATATTGCAATAAATGAGTAGGTTGTTTATAAAAAAGCAATTTTTCTCCAGCCATTAATTTGTGTATGTCTGCCACAGGAGCGTCCGTACTGTCAACCCTCTCCAGAAGGGCAGCGCAGGCCGCCGCCGGTTCTGCTGGTACTCCCTCTACGCGTGGAGCGTGTCTGTCAGCCTCACCCTCATAATGTTCCTGTTCGACAAGTTTCCAGTGGCTGACGTTCTAGACGCAAACATGGGCATGTATAGATGCTGGTTTGCAGCTGGTGAGATGTTTTCTTTACCATCATTTTTATGTGGAAAATACGAATATGTCACTTTTTCGAAAAATGATCACGCGTTAACAAAGAGTGAAGTGTAATAAGTTTGATCCCAACTAATTTCGTGTGGTATAAAAATTAGTTTCTTATTTTATTGTCAACAGTCTGAATATACTGCTCCACAACAAATGAAAAAAAAAAAGCATTAACTGAGATGTAGAGTCTCGACTTTGGTTGTTTGATAGAGTGATGATGAAGATAATGATCTGCTTTTTATAAAATGACTTACAATACACTAAATAGCACACAATGAAAAGTTTGAGCCAATTAATAACCCAAGGTCAATTTTAAATCTGAGTCTATCGTTATTATTATGACGTAATGATTCATATTTTACTCGACATTTTCTAAATTTAGAGTTGTACCAATTAAATAATAAAATGTTTGAAAAGGTCACCAACATTGTTTAGATTCCACTATAGCTTTTTGTTTCATTGTGTCGTAGTTGGTAGAATTATTTATTCTGTTAATTTCCTTACTTATGGGTAAAGACTAAGTACCTACCTACCTCCAATATTGGATTATGAGTTTCAAGTAGGTACCGAACGAAAAGTCTTCTATTCTTATTATACCTTAGGAGAATTTGGAATGAATTTAACGGGTCCTAATTGTTCTTCAGACCAAAACGCCGAGTCGGACTGGCCGCATTACATCTTCTTCGTGATCCCGTTGGGCCTGGTGTCGTGTTCTAACTTCGTGCTGTGGGTGCTGACGGCGCGGCACTGCTCTCGCGTCAAGTCCGAGGTGCACAGGCTGCAGGCTGGCTCCGTCGGTGACCGGGTCAAGAGACGCTTCCGAATCGACAAGGCCAAGTATGTACCTAGTACCTACAACCCAGTCAAGTTAACTGCGCACCTGGCTGAAATGCGACTCTCCTTCGCACTCATTTGCACACCTCCTCGCGTTTGCCCCGTCCATACCAGAGCGTCGATGTGACGTCACGGCAGCCAGGTGCGCAGATTACTTGACCACGTTGTATACCTAATACTCTGAGGTAGTTGCTTTAATTTTAAAGATCCACACGTTGTAAAAGACCCACACAATGCATTGTCTGGCGAAGCTTCGGAAGATGGCTAGGCTATCACTTAGTTCGTCTGAAAAATAAACTAAGGTGTTATCTTCTTAGGTATGATTTGTCACACCCTTGAGTGTGAATTAGATCCTATCTGGATCTGACATGTCTCATTCAGATTGACAGTTAACATGGAATCATTCTTTGCTTATCAGACAATCAGTCTGATTCAAACCTGTATCATACTAACCAAATTTGAATTTGGTATTTTTGTATTTATTTCACTCACGTATTTTTTTTGCGCGAAGCCGGAATTGAAACTGGGTCCAAATGTCGGCTTCTTCTTCTTGTCGTGTCGACAACAAACCTTATACAGCGTCAGTCCAAAACTCCGCCACAAGAATGGCGTTGTTAGTAGCCTTCATTAAATCTTGTCTTCATAAAATATCTGCTTAAATCTTGTCTTCAAATAATGAACGAACTAATAGAGTAACAAACTGTTCTTTATTTGTTTTCTCACAGTTTTGTGCTGACGGGGAAGTTGTGGGTAGTGATGGGTGCTGGGTGGTGTTCCGAGCTTCTTTCGACCCTCGCCTTCAACCCTGACCAGTGGATATGGACAATTGTCGACATGGTCAACGAGCTGCAAGGCGTGTTCATCTTCATCATCCTCATCTTTAAACCGAAGCTGTACTACCTCATCAGAAAGAGGCTTGGTAAGGACATATTACGTTTAAAAATAACTACACAAACCGTACAAAGTTAAACAGCAGTGAATAAAAATAAGATCCAACGGGATATGTGCTAATTTTACGTGCTTCATAGTTTATGTTTCCATTCTTAGAATTGTCTAACTCCGCATACCGATTTCTACGAATGTTATGTAATTTGTAACTACCTATCTGTAACAATGATGGACATGGATTCCATGTGATTTTTCATCAGATTGGTGTATTTGATAAGCGTTTTTGTTTCGTCATAACTTTAATTGTTTTGAGTAGTTAATGTAAGAGCGAACATAATCTTTTCCAGGTTTCTCAAGGACATCGAAAAATCCAAGTATATCTGATTATATTTTAGTTTCCGTCTTCCTACTCCTAATAACATTTCTTTTAAAGCTACAATTGACGTAGTATTGATGTTGTTGGTGCTATGCTTAACTAGACTAATTAATTAGGTACTTATTGAAACTTACCCCCCGGTATTTTGACCCTATCTGATCCTATTTTGATCATAGCAATTCATGGTTATTTTAAATAGCCAAGCTTACACTATTAACCTTCGGGGAAAACCTGAATATAATCTTACTAAGAACTTTATCAGTAAATTTATAGTTAATGGTGGGATGTGATGTGGTTCTGCTGTCCTGCTGAGTAGATCAAAATTACATGGATAATCTTATCATATAATGTTACATAATGCACTCTTTCAGATCGATGTTTTGGCACACTCCTACGCTTTATCACGTAACATGCTATTAGTTGTATCATTTTGTTACTAACTAATGTAATGAGAAACTCAATCCATTGAAGTGCGTAATAAAGTTAATGTACTCAGCTAGTCCGTTGCCGTGGAGTTGCATTTGCATTTAGATTGTGAGTATATCATGTTCCGAGAAATGATAAAGACGGGTAATGAAGGTATGGGACCCTCAGTTTGCGAGAGTATTTCCTCGAGCTGTTTTTTTAATCTTTCTGAGTGGATATTCAGTGTTACTAGAATTGAGTTTCTCGTTACCTATTCATGGATTGTAATGTAACAATATTAATGTTGACTAATCTGACAGGGCTGGAGAAACCTGACGCGCAGAAGAACGGCACCTCATCGACGGCTCGCACCTCCTCCACCTTCTTGTCCAGGACCATCAGCTCAGACGAGCGCGCGCACGCCCGCGTCTCACTCCCTAACAACAACGCTAAGCAACTCTGAATGTTCCACACGTTTTCCTCACAGACGGTGTTTTTTAACTAACATCCATGACCTTCCACTCCACTTTTCATCCCTAGGGTAGTGAGCGAAACAATCGCATGCGACCAAATAATTTGACTCGATGTTAATTAATAGTTATTTAAGGTTACTTTACCTAGCTACAGTCGCAAGCAAGGTAGACTACCTTTTTTTGCAAAATCATACTTATTACAACTGCGTTAGATTGCCACACTTTGTTTGCGTGGTCGACGCAAGTTCACCGTCCCTGCCCTAGGTTGTGCCTACTTTAAATTCATTCGTAACAACAGACTGCCATTTACTGCCAATGTGTCTCGCAATGTACCTATGCCTACTTCAAATGATAACGTAGGTACATGGTAATTGAAAGAAAAGTAGTCATAAGTGAAAACTTGTGGAAAGTCGTGGATAAACCAATTGCAATAAAAGCACTGCTGCACCCAAGTAACTAAAGATGGTAGAGCAGCATGGTATGTTCCAGCAAGAGGATCCTAATTAAACTACCAAGTTAAATAACTTATACGAGTAGTAAGAGCTTAACTTCCCAATATACAGGGTGGAAACGATAAGTGATCTCACTCGATTATTTCTAAACTATACAAGATATCAATAAACTAGTTACTGATTCTGTAAGTGCTTCATAAGCTCTATTAAACGGTATTAATAGGTTACAGAATAAACTGGATCTATCCGAAAATTCAATGTTTCCAGCTTCCATACATTTGGTAAAGTCACATTATTTTAAAAACTACACATGATATCGTAAAATAGTGACTGAGTTCCTTGCGCTGCTTCTTCTCAGCACTGGCCCATTTATTGTCCCGAAGCAGTGGTAGGGTTAATATTGGGACGTGTAAAAGCGCTTTTTTAAAGCCTATTTGCAAAAATAAATGAATTTTATGAATTTTTATGAATTTATTTTATGAATTTTTACTGATTACTGATTCTAAAAGTGCTTCACAAGCTCTATCCAATGGTATCAATAATAGGTTACAGAATAAACTGGATCTATCCAAGAATTCAATGTTTCCTTCTTCCTTCCATACATTTATTACTGTCATGCATGACTCAGTACACAGTCATGACACTCATCTCTTGACAATATTATAGCAAGTAAAGCCTAAAACCAATGTTTTCCATGAATAATTTTAAATAAGAATACAATTTACGAGTTTACTTTAAGGGTTTATTATTAAATAAAAAAAATTACACTTCTAATATTGTGTGGCTGGCATAAATTTAGTATGGAAGCTGGAAACATTGAATTTTCAGATAGATCCAGTTTATTCTGTAACCTATTATTGGTACCGTTCGAAAGAACTCATGAAGCTCTTTCAGAATCAGTAACCAGTTTTTCAACATCTTGTATAGGTTAGTAATAATCGAGTGAGATCACTTAACGTTTCCACCCTGTATGTATAGGCTAGTTTGTTAAGCAGTAGGTATTTTTACAATATCTCTCTCGTTTTAGTGTCGAGATAGATTCTAGTGTCTCTTAAACAGATATCGGATGAATGGTGTCGCCAGTTTTTAATGAAGCTTAACGAATTAAACCACCTTTTCGAAGCGTGCAATTTCCACTTTCGCCCTTAAAAACTTAAAATTAATTTAATAATCTTTAAGGTTTGATTTATAACAAGGCTAGTTCATTTTTAAGTTTAAAATATTTAAGATAGAGACGCGATCTAGTCATAGTTTAAGACTTTGTAGTTACGAAATTCGGGAGGCATTTACAACCATATTCGAAATTGTAATCTCTAAGTATTTTTATAATACACAAAAAAAGCTTTAAACATGTGCGTTAAAATTTGAAAAGGCACCTTTGATTTATTTTAGGGCGTTCCAAATCGTAGAGTAGATTAACTGCATATTGATAGGTTGTTTTAATGATTTATTGTTACTTATTTAGGAATTACGTGTCATTAATTATTTAAGTTTCATGACGTGTGATTCTAAAAGTGACAAAAGCTTGAAATACGTAGATGTAGTTGGTGAGTGTAGTGACCAACATATGACCGTCATATTTTGTAGAAGTGTAAATATTTTTTAGATAATAAGTAATATTGTTTAATTAAATCATCTGCCTCTATACTGTATTTAAATTAACATCTGTATCGTCGTGTATTATGGACATGAGGAAGTCTACCCGAGTAATGTGGGAGGGAATCGACTTTTCCTACCCTAAAATATCTCCTTACATCTGTTTCAAATATGTATTAAATTAAAATATATTAATGTTCGGTGAATCAAGTGAAATACAATTTTGATTATCTTATTAATATAATAAATATTTTCATTCCATTGATATGCATTTTTTTTATTTCCTTTTAATTTTAGAATCCAGTAGGTTTCTGTACATAGGTACCTAGTATTTTGCCAAGCTATGTTTTCGGAGATTTTTAGCTTTTAAGAGGTGGAAGAACCTTATTTCCAGTCATTTAACTTACAGCTCAATTGCACAATCTTAATTACTGAATATTTATGAGACACATGGGGGAAGAGGAATTAAGAGTTTTTGTCAGTCAAATCTCTGGGCTCTCTTCAAACACCAGTCCCTTAATTTAGTCAACAAAATATGGGAAACATATACTTAAATAACAAAAAACAATTTATATTTCTTGCAGTAGTTTATTGCTTTTTTCATACATTTTATGTTGATGTTTATATACTTCACTTTTATAATGATTGAAGTACAAATAGTGGGCAAACGTGAATGGTCCCTGCTTGCAGGAATGTTAAATAGTATCCAGTTGCATTTCTACAGCAACCAATAAAATTACCCTATTAGTACTATACAAATTACGTTAAAAATAACACGATTAATTGTCATTAAAATGTGTAGGTCTACTTGTAATAACATAATAAAGTACTTACATAAATTAAAATAGGTACTTTTGAAGGCAAATACAGTTTGCTTAGTAATTATGTCACTATTAATTTATTCCAGTTTACGCAAATCCTCAATTACGATCTTAATTAAGTAATGAATATGACGAAAGTATGGCGAATGATTAAATTAGTACTAATCTATACATTTAAATACTTAGAATGATCGTTACCTAAGGGCGATGAACACTTATTCTAGCAACTTTTTGTACCAAACATTAATTTATTTTGATTCGATAAATTAATTATTTTTATAAATAGTGACAATACTGATTTGTTTACAATTAGATTGTATATTAAACAATTAAAACTAATATCGTAAGTAATACTTGTGCCTTATATGCCTCCGTATTGGTAACAATATCTAATTAATTGTATAAGAACTAATAGCGAGGTTTCCTCTAAGGCATCGATTAAGTATACTGTTATATCACATCCGTACAACAATAATCCTACGTGTTATTTAAGGTTTTATTTCGAACCACGCAATAAATCGCAACTGCAGAGTATACGCAGCTCTTACGAAATACTGTACATTCAAACAAATAGTGGTACCATAAAAGAACGTAGCGCTACGTGCAGTCTACAGCTCAGCGGTTTGTCACGGGGTACGAAATCGTACCTTTACTTGCTAGTTATCAACTTTTTCACTGCTATAAGAGTAAATACAATTAATTTTAAATACCTACAGATATGAATGTAGTGTTTCTTCATTCATTACCAATTCCCATGGAGTGATCACGAATTCTAAATGCATAAAAATATCCTATACATTGGGTACAAAGTACCTACAAATTACGGACGGTACCAGTCGTTTAATATAAACACATTGCCAAAATGTACTTTGGACGAAGAACACTCTGTAATTAAACGTATTTGACATACACGATTGTAGCTCTGGGAGGTTAATAAATATGATATATTTGTGACTTCTTCTATAAAGCAATATATACGTTTTAATATCTTTCTGTAACTATTAATTATACTGTACAATAATTATTTTTAATGAAAAATAAGGTATATGTCGACACAACGCAAGTGGTTTATACGTGTTGGACTGTAACGGTGCGTGTTTAACATTTTGAAAGTGAATTAATTACATTTAGACAGTACATTTATAGACTTATAGCATGATGCATATTTTTATACAAAATTAATAATTAAAATATATGATCACTAGCATGTGTCTTATAACTGAAAGTAACAATATTACTTGTTAAGTACTTTCTCTTTAATTACATTCTTAAAATTGTATTACCTATATTGTTACTCCTTAATAATAACAATGTAAAATTTACATACAAGTAAGTAAATTAAAACATAAATATTTCTTCGCGAATTTCGATAAAAATGAATAACACTGGACACATTCGGAATGATCGAGCATGATTCAGGCTTTGGGCCTCCATCTACATTAAAGTTACTTAGGCTTTCGATTTCAGTTGGCGTTTCTTCAACACTTATATAACTAATTTACATTTTATAAACTAAACAATTGGGAATGTTAACGTATCCCAAATAGAAAAGACAGCCTCGGTGCGTCTCATCGATTTTAATAACGCACACCACACAGCATCACCCCGAAAAACATTGTGATTAACTGAATTTATGCTACTTTTAAGAATAGATTTAATGAAATTTCAGACGGTTTGATACACATATTTACATCCAGTATGAATAGTCAATTAACTAGTATGTCAGAATCAGAGGGCCTACATATCACGAAACGTTTTGATACATCTTTTTAATCACTGAAAATCTGACATGAAAACGAGCGATGGATACTTCAATGTAGAGCCATTTTTACGAATTATTGGCACACATGTCGGGTAACACCTAAAACAGTCTGGCAAGGCCATAAAACGTTGCCACTGAAAAAAGGCCCCAGACTGTTACAGAGTCGAGTAAACTGTCCGTCCTTTTTGGGGTGGGGATGTGATGTGCGCGTGGGATCATGTGAGGCGGTTGGGCTGCACTGTGATGGGCGTCGGGGTGCTGAAGGCCGCGGGCGTCGGGGCAGGGGAGCCCGGGGCAACTGGGGTGGCGGGCTCGCTGGCCTCCGCGTCTCGCTCCCCAGTATCCTCCTCGTCGATGATGGAGATGTCTCGGATAGATGGCCGGTGAGATCTGCGCCAACCTGCGACGAAAATAATCGTAATTATTTTATAGCCCGCTAATGATATTGTGATAGGCGCTAAATTTAATGACTTTGAGACACTCATGATAGTATAGAGACGATCATCTAATCGTAATAACTATAAATTTTGACGTTTTAATTAAATAAATAACCTAAATCGTCTTTGATCAAGTGTTTGTTGTGGCCTTCGTTTTGTATTGTTTCTAACTCAACGTATCACTTTGAATTTTAAATGAAACATAAAGTCACATCAAAGGTGATACATGTGCTGCTATTAAAACGGCGGTTGATGGCGGCACATCAAGGTAAACATGTGCCATCTTATCTTATTAATAGGTGCGAATTTGCAACAAAATAATCTTAAAACCTTTAGCTGTTGACAACTATACCTTCAGCTCATAAGGTTCACGCTAACAAGTCAATTTTAAAGTTGAGATAAGTATTGATAAAAGTCGTTTAAAAATACTGAAGCGATGAAGTTCTTACTCATAAGAATAATAGTGTTTCTGATATTAAACTCATCGCGGTACGTGTTATGCTTCATTATTGTATCATGCTTATTTATTGACTCAGGTGTTTATTGAATAGATTTTAATATATCAATTACAG